ATTCGAATTCGATCGAATAGATGACTAATCCCCGTGAAGGTAGAGAACGTTAGAGGAAATGGTGACATGCCAATAAGAGGACCGTCTGACATGGAGTGATCCAAATCTGGTTTGTGTAAGGGCAATAGGCAACACGAGGAAGCATATGGAGGGAGTATGTAACATAGCGGTAGGGCCCTATAGGAAATGTCCCTCCGGGCGGAATAAACATCATCATTATGATCGTGATTTGGGAAGAGACGTCGCAGAACAGAGTCAATTTGTGGAAAACAGGTGTTACTAGGCAGATCAGAAGTCGCTCGTGTCCTTCAGCGACGCAAGTACATCAACCCATTGGTCATCACTTAGGCTAAGCAGCGGCAGCGAAGGCGTGTAGATCCCAGCCTTGCTCCACGATCGAATGCACTGACCCATAGCCACTATCTCCCTCCCCAACCGATTTCTCAACGGCGCCATCATAAGCCCTGCGCTGCTAAACGTCCTCTCACTCTCTGCAGACGACGATGGGATACTGAGCATATCAACAGCCATGGTAGACAGCCGCGGGTACCGATAGGCATTGGTCTTCCACCAGTCAATTGGTCTGCTCCTGTAGTACTGACTGTTGACGATATCTCGGCGCAGTACCTGGAATATTCATCATCAATCGCTGCCGCCGTGGTCGTCTGTTTCGCCTTGCGTGTGGTCTTGCGGAGGTTGGAAGCGGTGGCAGGTGAAGTCGTGGCAAATGCCGAGCTGGCGGCACTCCTGGCAAGCCTGCGCTCGATGTAATCCATTGAGGCCTCATCAGTTGTAGCGAGGACCTCGTTATCAACGTCGCGTTGACTGTAGCTGTTCTCCCAGATCTGCAATAGCTTCTCTTCGTAGTCGGCTCGCCAACCCTGCGCCTTGCGAGTAGGAACTCGAGACCACAATTGGTCGAGGAGACGCCACTTCTTCGCAGGGTTAAAGACAACGGCGCCTACATATGCGGCACTGGTCAGAAGGGCATAGTACTTATGAAGCTTCTTCCACCCGAGCTTGATGAAAACCTTGAACAATTTACGAGTTCTGTTATCAAGTCCCGCGTAAATGGCAACCTCGACGTCTTTCCTCCTCTTGCTCACCGGATCCTCAACTTCTTCGTAGATTGTACCTTCGATAGCACTTTCGAGGTGGTCAAGGAGCATCTCGAAGACAGGGAAGTACTCGTCGAAGCTACCACAAGTCGATCTCACGCCGGGAACACCGCTGCCCTGAAGCTGCTTAGTGGCGACCTCGAAAGGCTTCAGAAGCTTGACCAGCATCTCGATAATCTTCCAGTCGTACCCACTTAGCCGATACTGTAGAACTGCGGGCTTGGCATTCTCACAGGCGCCCTTTGCTTCCCAGCGGTTCTGAACGTCATTGAAGAATGTGTTAAGTGCTGGGCGGAGGCGAAGGGCCCTTTCCATCATACGCATGTCCGAGTCCCATCGAGTGGCGTTGTTAAAGACCCAGTGGAGTGTTAATTCCTTGCCAGATTCCTTGCGTTGAGACTGAAGAAACTGCTCATACAGTTGTGGACTCGCTCGTAGCTGAAGGCCCAGTGTGGCTAACAAACCGACCGACCTAGACCGTCCCCTTCGGTCTGTCGGTTTGGGTTGGTCAATGCTCCCGGTCGGTCGGTCTAGGTCGGTCTGGGTTAGCAGCCCGGTCGGTCTAGGTCTGATTATCTGATGCCGAGATTCTACCCGCGCTAGTTAAAGGGGTGCACTCAATGGCTACCTGCGCCACGCCCCACTTATTTTGTGGAGCGAGTTCGGGAGTGCCAAAATAAGTGGGGCGTGGCACGGGTACCTTAGGGAGGAGCCGACCAATGGCGGCCCTGGAAACCCCCAACCCAGACCGACTCAGACCACCCAATCCGACCGGCAGCTCTGGTCGGTCGGTCTGACGAGAATTGCCGGTCGGTCGGTCTGCGGTCTGAAGGTGGTCTGTCAGACGGTCTGTCAGACGGTCGGTTTGTTAGCCACACTGTGAAGGCCGATGTTGTGAAGCATTCCCGGGGCGCCGTTCTGGCTGTACTCCCTGAACGTGGTGCTGTTGATCTCTTCCGGAGCCGGGTGGGACGACGTGAAGTTTTCATCAGGGCTACTGACAGCAACGTCAGGCTGTATCTCTTCGTCCTCGTCGTCTTCCATCTCTCCATCCAGTGTCTCGTTGATAGCTTGATCAACCCGTTCCTCATCGTCGTCCTGATCGTCGCCATCGGCTGCGACAATTGCAGCCAGGTTGTCCCGCTTGGAACCGTACAGCAGTGCCCGCACGCAGAGGTTGACGATGTGGCAAGCGCAGCGAATCCGTCGCTCTTCAGGAGAGAAGCTGTATTCGAATGCAAGGTCCCTAATACACGTGTTGTTGTTGGCTGCATTGTCGAGAGTGAAGTACCCAACCTTGTCAGGATCATTGATTTGCCAGAATGCAAGAGTATCCGCCACCTCGTCGGCAAGCGATGCGCCGGTGTGTCGCCCGGTGAGAGGTCGAAGCCCAAGGAGGATTCGGTGCTGGACGAAGTCGCGATCGACGAATTGAGCATTGATTCCAAGGAACGAGACGAATGATTTTGACGTCCAGCCGTCGAAGGAGAAATGGATTTGGGATCGAGCACTGCGCAATACTTCAGTGACCGGCCCAACGGCGCCTCTATACTCAGATTCGAGCATGCGAAGAAGAGTCTTCGCAGAGGGAATATGGGCCTTATCAAGGAGTGGGTTGCCGTAAAGCAGGATCCGCTCGAACCGCTCAGTATTGACTATCTCGAACGGCAAGTTGTGGTACGTAATCCAGTCGAGAAGAAGAACTCGGAGACCCTTGGCGTTGAATTGTCCACGTAGGTTGCTGAGGAGGAACTGATCGTTAGGGTTATTGAAGTCGGCGTTGAGGAAATGAGTGATAGTCTGGTTATGCAACAATGAGCCTCCCCCGCGACGGGTAGCTTCGTTCGGGCCCTTTTAAATCAGCATGTCAACCGGCCACGGACCAGGGGACATACCAAAATCCCGTGGGCTGCGCGAAGGTGTTTCTTGACAGAGGCCCCTGTCGAGCAGACGAAGCAGAAATCCGACTTCTTCTTGAAACCACGTGCGAAGCAGTCTGCGCAGATCCACTTCAACTTATTGCCCTGTCGACAGGTGGAATGGTCTTCAACGCGGTACCCATATTCCTGCCACCACGCCCTGGTGTCTTGGCCGCCAGTATAGCGCTCGAATCCTGGCCATTTCATCCACTCTTGGCGGCCCCAAAGTGTCCAATCGACCTTGATAAAGTCGGCGGCGGTCCCGCGAGGACGAGGCGATGGTGTCGCTGGCAACGACGTTGCTGGCGACGAGACAGCCGGCGAAGACGAAAAGAACTCAATGCGCTCTATAGCCCCTGGCTGATCGGAGAATGGGCTGTTTGAAGAGAATGTTTCGGAGGACATCGTGACACAGTTAGCTAGACGTGAAGGTCGGTCGTACGGGTCGAGTGAGCTGAATGATGTTGTTGGAAGCCATTGAGGCTGCGTGCGGAGGGTCAAGTAATATCCATCCATCGCTGCACAGGTGTGTAAGGCCAATTACACGCGTGTATCACGCGCATTTTGTCGTCAACGCGAAATTCGCGAGTCGCCAGTGCCGTTGAACTTGCCGAGTCTTGTAAGAATGAATGAGCCATTGACCACCAGTGCGAGTGACGACATGGCGCGTCCCAATCCGAAGCAATCGCGCGTGAAGACGCCAGCGTAGCGAAGGAGTCAACCTTCGTTCCAGCCATTGGCGGAGGGGGGTTCTGCCAAGTGTTGATCTACTAAACCTCCCCGCGCTTCGCAACCAACCAATTCACAGGTCTCGTTGGTCAGGTCCACAGACCCCAGGCTAAAGGCAAGCTTCCGGTGGCCAGGTTCCATATATTCCCTGTCCCTCTTGGTTCCAAGGCCCCTATTGGCTCACGCCACTGCGCATACGCCTCAAAGAGTCTCATCCCCTCGTTGTTCAGTCTCTGCCCGTATCGGCTTTCACGTTTGGTCTCATTTTAATTTGGCGTCAATTGAGAACGGATTCTTGAGCTCTTCGTAAACTGGAACACGTGAGGCAGAACGGTGGACACTTGAAGTTGATGTTCTAAGTGAAAGCACTGCGAGGGTCCTGCGAAGTCGCTGGTACTTCAGTTCACGGGTACGGCTTGGTTTGTTTGCAGGTCTCCGAGACAAAAGAGGGACGATTGGATAAACAAAGGAAGACCATGAGTCCCATACATGTCAATATATGAAGTCCAAGTCTGAAATATTCATCTGATCATGCCAAGATTGGCAATAATAGAAAGCTCTCGGTGAGAGAATCTAGAGGCACTAATTTTTAGTTGCATTCATTTGATTCTGCTGAAAAATCGGCGTATGTTTGGGATATTTCGGCCTTGCGTGCGCCGCCATGTTACTGGTGTCGACCTACCCTATACAAATGCGTTAGAGACTACTGCAGCTCTGGCCTCCGTAATAATGGTAGTGCCAGTACCTCCTAACTTTGCAAGTTGGAATTTGCAGCCAAGATAACTCGCACTTCAACATCTCCCCCAAATCGTATATTCTTCATGGAAATCGACTAGATGCCTCATTCTACGCCACAAAATGGATTGTCTTCGAACTTTTATGACACATTCAATTATGGGTTGTTGTCGGGATGATGAGTGAAGTTGCAAGGTACCTATGGCGCCATAGAACTCTCGGGGAGGATGGACGTACTCACTAACCCATCTTAGCAACAAGACAGATTCGTGGCGAACGATGCAGCGTACTGGGGTCGTCACGTAAGATCGCGCCAGTAGATTCTTAACGCGTCGATCAATTACGCTAAAATTTCTGCAATCGGGAGCACTGTTCGACCGAATCGATCGAAAATCGATCGAATGCTTAGCGCCGTTCGATTCGATGTCGAATGAAATGTGGCATGTTCGATTCGCATGTCGAATGGGGTGCGCCCATTTGATTCGATGCGAATCGAACGCCAAGAAATTCGATTCGACATTCGTAAGACTTGGCATCGAATGAATCTATCGATTCGATTCCCGTTCGTAAGATGTCCAACCCTGACCAGAAAGGCGAACTATGGGTCAAGTCGCCATCTCTCGTGTTGGGGTACTTGGGTAATGATGCGGCCGATAAGGAGACGTTTGTCACGGATGGAAATGGTGACAGATGGCTGCGCACCGGAGATGAGGCCATGATCAAGAAAGCACCCAGTGGCCATGATCATCTTTTCATCGTTGATCGGATCAAGGAACTTATCAAAGTAAAGGTGCGCGAATGGTTTCATTTCTTCCAAGCGTTCTGGCGTTCACTAACTTGATTATAAACGTATAGGGGTTTCAAGTCGCCCCAGCTGAACTAGAAGCCCACCTCCTTCTTAATCCGCACGTCACGGATTGCGCCGTCATCCCTGTACCTGACGATGGTGCTGGCGAAGTTCCAAAGGCGTATGTTGTGAAATCGCACGCCTTGGGTCTCCACAAGAGTAATGCCGCAATCAAGGAAGAGATTATAAAGCACGTCCAACAGCATAAAAGCCGTTACAAGTGGCTGGAGGGCGGAGTGGAATTTGTGGAAGCGATACCGAAAACCGCGAGCGGCAAGGTCCTGAGACGATTACTGAGGGACAAGGAGAAACAAGAACGAATGAAGAAAGGTGCAAGGTTGTAGGCTGTTCTCACTGATTAGTGTAACGCTCTGAGCCCGCAGTGTTTCACGTAGAGGTCTGATATACGATTGACCAGCCTCGGCGGGCCATCGCAGTCATGTCTCGCTCCTTTTGGAAAATTGCCCGATTTGATAATATGAAAGATTTATAGAGAGGTTTCTTCAGAAACTAGTAGGCAGAAAAGTTAAGCTCGACAAGTTATGCGTTCATTGTTGTAGAGTTGTGATGCCATTTCTCAGTAAGTTCCTGCATCCAATTGGCACGCGAGAAAGCTTTCATAGTGCACTATCGGCCTTATTTGATGTCGCGGCAGAGTCAGGGATTAGAAATGACGGATAAGTGAGAGCCACATGACTTTATTAGGGTGAGCGTTGGGCATAGACGACTGTTCCCGGTGTAATTACAACCTTACACCCAACCTTCCGGTTTCTTTCTAAATACCAGAAGGTTCCTAATCGGGATATGCCTGAGACGTGTCATTCATTTGTTCCCTCTCTTCTGTGTATTAATTCCCAACCCATTTAATAGCTCACTTGCTTCTCCCATGTATATCGTCAAGCAGTATGTCTTCTGTTGTTAAAACACCACCTGAAATAATGGCTGTCTGGCTCCCATTATCACCTTCTCTATCAATGCGACTGTCCTGCTTGAAGTAGCCGTTGGCACCAAGCCGGTCACTGCAAGACTGAGCGAGTACACCGTTTTTGTTCTTCGTACTCTTCACTGTACTGTCCAAGCCACTTCGAAGGCCCATCTTGTAGGAGACGAGGCGGAGTAGGGGCTGGAGAGCCGGGAAGCAGGCGCACCAGAGGCCAACGTGAACTTCGGTCGTTGTCCATGCACCTACACGGAGAGTATTGTATGTCCTAAGTTATAGGTCAGTTTTTATAGCATCGTATTTTATCCAGTAATAGACAAACGTGTTTATTGTAAAGTCAATGGTGGCGACGAATGCCAAGCGTAAGATGCCCGTGATGATAGCGAACAGACCCACGGAAAAAACGAGGATAACTTGAATAGCCTTTGTACTGAACTTCATGTTCCTGCGGATGACCCAAATTGGTAGGCCAAAGAGGATGATATCGATGCATACTCCTAGGACCGCGTGTGTGCACATGACGTACGTCTCTATATCTTTGTCAACGCAGTTTCGGTTTGGCTTTCTGTAATTGAAGGTGTCACTGCACTGCGGTCAATGGATAGTACTAGTATATTAGACTGGTCGGTGCAGCATACCTAATGGGCTTGCATTCTGCCAGGGTGAAGAAGAAGCCAGCGATACTGGTGCTGACGATGATGGCGACCAAGGTCCAAATCCAACGCATGAAGAAGGCTAATCCTAGTGTTAGTGGTTGGCCAATGGGCTTGCGGGCTTCTTCTGAGCGTCACATACTTTCTCTGCATAGACGGGGGAGGAATGCCAGGATTGACAGTCGAACAAAACCTGATGAGAGGAAGTACACGAGTTCGGCGACCGCTAGCAGCTGTGGTTGTAAGCATTAGTACAATACATTCAACTGTGGCGGATAGACTTTATACCATGAAGAAGATATTCAGGTCTTCTTCCGATACGTATTGCATCGGCATTCCGGATCCGTGGTCAACCTGGGCGATGTCTATTGCCGATCCGGCAACGCAGAGTGACTAATGGTCAACGAATATCTGTCAGCAGAGGAAGACTTAGACGATTTGTCCAGATTCATAACATACGAATGCTATAGTAGTTATGATGTCGTCGAGTCCGAGAGCTTTCAACATGAAGCGCCGGACATATAATCTCGCTAGGACGACAATGGATGTGATGACAATGAGGGCAGCGTTGATGCCGAGTATTAGCTGGCCCCGTGACGAGGTTCCCTCTGGGGCTGAGGTATGGCTCATGATGGCGTATCTGTGGTGCTTCTTGAGCCCATCCGTGTCGTCTGGTTGGATTCTCAGGCCGCCTTCATCACGAGAGTTTCATGGAAGTCGACGATGGAGGAACCTGCTCGAGCTAGAGGCGGACAATGTCGTGCATCACTCATGAGTGAAATTGGGCCGACGAGGGGCTAAGACAATGATACGGGTTTAGTACGGAGGGATCTCAGTTTATTCAGGTACGTACTTGCAGGCCGATCTATCAGCCGCCACCCCCTTACCTGGCAGCCTCCACACGGGACAGGGGCCGGATAGGAGCCTTTTCCTCTCTAAGATCAGCGCGGACTAGATTTGAGAATGCATCTACTTGGCATCTATAGAGCCCACACTTAAACATCCATCTATTCCTCCACTGCCATCTGAAAACAACGAGTGAGATCCAGTTCCTCTCGTGGCCCGAAAAGCAATCGAGTTTTGTGTATACCTTCCATTTGTCATTGAAGTCTTAGCAGACCAACTGAGATGCTTCTATCCCTTCAGAGTCCCTCCGACGTGTGGACTAGGAAGGAAGGCCATTTCTCCTACGTTCCATGTGAAATGGGTGGTGGTAGCCCGGCCTGCATGTTTAGTACTTGGTAAGCCGAGAGGAGTGGAGAAGAGGACCGTGACCTCTTCCGAGCGCAAACTGACTCGGGAGATGCGCCTTGACCCCCGAGGGGTGGTGGGTGAAGCTCTCAAGGCTGAGATGTACCTTTACTTCTGACTGTCACAGAGGACGTGCTCTTTTCTTGGTCTAGCGGGTTACCTTGGCAATAGCCCTGTGCCGCGTACCAACTAGTGGAGATTACTAGCCCAATGGAAATGTCCAAGCTAGGAGTGGTTGGCATCGGACTGAAGCATGAAGCCGAACCGCCGAAACTAGTGGAGATTACTAGCCCAATGGAAATGTCCAAGCTAGGAGTGGTTGGCGTCGGACTGAAGCATGAAGCCGAACCGCCGAAACTCGAACTCGGCTCGGGCAACCATGCGGATCCGGGACATCCGGGGAGCCGACAAAGGCATTCCGCTCTGCTGGAGGCTTTATGGAATGGGAGACTACTCCGTACGTGGCAGGGTTTGGTACTGCTACACAAAGGATGAATAAGCCTTGTGTAAGACTTGGTCAGTCCCATATCGCTGGTCAGGATGGGTGCGAGCCTTTCGGTTACCCCGATAGGCGGAAGAATCATGTCTGATATGGGATGGATGAGGAGATGCAACATATATTGGCAGGTTGCATGTTGATCAAAGCGCTGAATCTTATACCCAATGGAATGATGTGGATCGTGGCAAACTGAGGCCTATAAAGATGTGATATAGGCATATTCTTTTGCGTGACTTGACAAGAGCTAGATCCGTGAAGGGCTTCCGAGAGAGATGGTGCATTTTCTTGTTCTATGGTAGTAGCCTCGTAGCATGGTAAGCTTGGATGCTGACTACTAGCTCTGATTAAAGGCTGGAGAAACAGTGTGTTGGGTGCTGGTGCTTGTAGCACAGACAGCAGCCGTGGCACGGGGTGATACTTTTCTCGTCACAATTTCTGTGTCAGTTGAGAATCAAGCCATGCCATGTTCTCTCATCCATGGGTACCAACCTGACTCATGATCCAAGAGGTGGTGTCTGAGCCAAGCTTGTTTGAGCGGGCTAGCTTACGAGGATCACAAGCACAGCAATATTTCCGGGGTAAAATACTAAGCACGAGGTACGAACTAAGTTAAAAGGTACGAATATGGCAACGCGCCGCCGGGATAAAACTTGGCAAACTTTAGCCCTCGCATCTAGGTGGAGAAGAGAGCCTTGGCTTTCCCCAGGACTACTTAGTGCACCGGGAACATGGACAATGCCAGCTAAAGCGTGTGCGTGTTATGGGCTGGCCCCTTGAGGATCTTCCGTGCAAGGAGTGCTGTGAATTGTCTATCTAAATCTAAGGAAGAGAAGGGGATTTCCTTCTGCCGGAATCTTCATACCGTCTTATAGTAGTTCCAGGGAAGTCTTCGGGAAGTCTTCCCGCCGGTTGCCAGGGGACTTCCCGTAGCTTTGGAAATCTTCCAGCCGGTTGCCAGGGAACTTCCCGTATCCTCCGTAGACCCTGTCGGTTTAACACTAGTAGTTGCTAGCGTCTTGATCCCGGCTCCGGCACAGCCGCAGCCGTGTCCCCAGGCTCCAGCCTGTAACGGTGCGTCACCACGGAAGCACCGATGTGAAGACCGAGCTCCATGGGATTCTAAACACGCCTAACCTAGTTTCCCTAGTTCTTAACTTTGTACAGAGAACTTTAACAACTAATATTGAGAGCTGAAAACTGGGTTTCAGGTTCTAGTAAATACCTGTTTTATAATCAGATTTAACCCGAAGATTATTAAGTAGTAAAGATAAGGTGAAATACTTTAAAATATTAGATTAAGATTTTAAATTAAAATATATTATAAATGTTCTAGTTATAATAAATTACTACTCTTCTAATATATAACTAGTTTTATAATTTTTATAATTTTTATAATTTTTATAATTTTTATAATTTTTATAATTTTTATAATTTTTATAATTTTTATAATTTTTATAATTTTTATAATTTTTATAATTTTTATAATTTTTATAATTTTTATAATTTTTATAATTTTTATAATTTTTATAATTTTTATAATTTTTATAATTTTTATAATTTTTATAATTTTTATAATTTTTATAATTTTTATATTTTATTTAATTTTAGTTTTTGAAATAATAAACTGTAGCTTCTATTACTATAGTCATTTTTCATGTAATTAAATAAGAGCTAACTTTTTATAAACGAGTTTCTGTTTCCATCTACTTACTGGGTACCCTGTAGCTAAACCCGTTGTCAAAGATGTGCAGCTTAATCCTTTACAGTAAACACACGATGTCTTCCACCCTATACTGTCTCTAGTATTTCTCTTGCACTTCCACGGAAGGTTGTTCAGCTACGCAAACACGACAGCACTCACATCTCACTTAAGCATTATTACTTGTATGTTATTCTTTAATAGAGCGCCTCGTACTCGATCTCTCCTGTAGACACCATAGCTTCATAGCATACCATTTTCTTATTCTTCATCCATTATGACTGCCACTTCGATTATCAATCCTATCATGACCTCTGCTAGTGTCAAACGCCGGCCAGTGCTAGACAAGGCCAGGTCTACTGACTGGACTAAGATTCCAAATCCTCAATACGGTCTCAGCTCTCCGTGGTCCAGTTATTATACCCCGGCCGGTACTTCTGCTCAAGGTCGCTGGGAAGGTGAACTTGATAGTCTCGTGGTATACGGCGAGGTGCCTAAGGAAATCGATGGCACCTTTTATCGTTTACTCCTGGACCCCCAGCATCCACCACACCCGGACAATCCGTTCATTGACGGTGACGCCAACATCTGCGCCTTTCGCTTCCACAATGGCCAGGTCGACATGAAGCTCAGGTACGTTGAGACGGAGCGATACCTCCTCGAACGCAAAGCGAACCAGCGGCTCTTCCATATCTACCGGAACCCATATTCGTGGCATCCATGCGTGCGCATGGCCAACGACTCGACGGGCAACACCAACATCGTGCCCTGGGCGGGCCATCTTCTGGCGCTGAGTGAACGCGGTCTGCCATGGGCCGTGGACCCGGAGACACTTGAGACGCGATGCTACGATCCATTTGGGGGCCAAGTGAAGGCAAAGACATTCACGGCGCACCCAAAGGTCGACCCTTATCAAAACGAGATGGTGGTCTGGGGGTATGAGGCGAAAGGTCTGGGAACGCCAGACATATGCTTCTATACCGTAGATCCCGAAGGGGCAATTACAGGCGAGACTTGGATCAAGGATGAAATGGGCGGCATGGCCCACGATGCGTGGATCACCGAGAACTGGATCGTCATGTCATCGATGCCATTCAAGGTGAATTCCGACGAGGAGATGAAGGCTGGTTCGCAGCACTGGGAATGGGTGCCGGACCGGCCTGCCGCCTTGCTGGTTGCTCCGCGGAAGCCTACTACACCTCTCCCGGCCGGTTGGAAGGTCGGGGAAGCTCGACGATACACATGGGATAACGGCGTCATCTTCCACACTGGTGCTGCATGGGAAGACGAGGACGGCACCCTGAAGCTCGAGAGCCACTTCGTTACCTTCAACTTCTTCCACTTCTTCAACCCTCCCGGCATGCAGCCACCTGCAGTTCCTCTTGGCGACTGGGTTCGCTGGACCATTAACCTGAGCCAGCCCAACAACAGCAGGCTCCAGGATCCTGACGTCCTGCTGCCTTGGATATCAGACTTTCCGAAAACGGACGAGCGGTTCCTGACGCGAAAGCAGCGCATCGTTTACCTGATTTCCTGCGATGCCGGCAAGGAGATCAAACCAGGCACTCTCAGCGCCTTCAACACGATTGTCAAGCTCGACACCGAGACCCTTGAGATGATGGTCTTCGATCCTGGTGAGAATGGCCGCGTGGCAGAGCCTGTCTTCGTCCCGCGGTCCGATGACGCACCCGAAGGCGACGGCTGGGTTATAGGCTGGGCTGACAGCGCCAAGAGTCCTCGGGGGGAGCTGGTCGTGCTGGATACCAATGACTTTTCCAAGCCTGTAGCCGTCATTCACTTGCCGTTTGCGATGCGCACCCAGGTCCATGGAAACTGGGTGCCGAATCCTACCCCGGGTACCCCGATGCCTCGCTTGACAAAGCCACTGAATGTCGACGTAACTCCTAGCAACAACGGAGTCCTGGATCGGATTAAGGATTGAGAGAGCACTCAATTCATTCATGCTGTACTTGTAACTCTCAAATTAAGAAGCAAATTAGGCTCTCAATGATGGATTTAGTTGTCTTGTCACTCCTCCTATAAGACGCAGTTGAAAATTCAAAACTTAGGTTTCGCAGTCGTTCATCATATAAGCAGACTTCCGTATGTAAAAGAAAGACCCGTCAGAAACTTTGCTTGAGTATTGCTTTGGTTAGATTTCAAACTATTTCCCAGCTCCCCGAATCCGTGGAGCAAAGCGCATGTGACTGATGGATGCTCTGGGACTATCTGGCCACTTGTGATTTTCTCATCTATTATTTAGTGATGGATTGGTGTCTTGACACTCGCTCATGATTGAGATATGTGAAGAAAACTAGATAGAAGTCTAGAATCATTCCTGCTACATGTATATTAGGGCGTCGTCTACGTGCGTGGCATTAACACGGGGAATGATTGCGTCAAGAATTATGAACTCTCTTTGTATTTAGAAGCTCTTAGGCTAACACCATCACACACCCATGTCAAACATTGGGTATGAAAGGAAGGGTCAAGACAGTGTCATATCGACCGCCGAAATGAATGTTGTTTTTACCCTTGTTGACGCCAGAGACGTTGCCCTTTTGAAACTCCGGCACTTCCCAAAAGGCATCCTTAAAACCTTGAACGCGCAACACGATACCTTCGTCCTCGTAGAATTTGATTCCCATGGGCCAGATTCCAATCTCGACCGGCACGATTTCGCCCGGCTTGATCTTGTCAATGGACTTGTGAGGATGGTACGGCATGATGCTGTCCTGCTTGGACGGATCCTGGGCGCGGTGCGAGACGCGAAGAATACCCTGAGGTCCCAGATACTGCGAGTTGCATAGTTAGCAAGTGTGTGGTGGGACTGGCTGCGGATTGAACTTGTCCCATCATACCTTGACAATGTTCGAGTTTGGCACGTCTTCCTGCGCGCTCACATCAGGCGGTAGGGCCGACCAGGGAAGATTGATGTGCTCCAAGAGCTTGCCGTTCCTGTCAACCTTGCGCAGGGACAGATAAATGTCCAAGTCGTCGGCCTCGTCGGCCGAAACCCAGAGCTTGGCCTTTGAGTAGCCAGCGAGTGTCGTGGTCTTGGAGAAGATGAACTTGAACTCGGCCGCCGGAGCCTTTGCATCGTCAGACTGGTAGGATACCTTTCCGATGGCGTCCGAGTAGTAAGGAGAAAGTGTGTTTTCCGAGAGGAAAAAGCGCTTGTACTCTGTCTTCTTTGGGGGGTAAGTGTCTTGGGGAAAGTTCACAATAGGTTGCTGCGTTTCTTAGCTAACTAGGTCTTTTTCAAGGATTAGAGTGAAAGAATGACGAGACTCACGGGCCCATAACGGTCTCCAAAGGTGAGAATAGAGACGCGGACAGGGTTTGTCTTTTCCCAGTCATTCTCGACGCCCTTGAGATAGCGGTCAAAGAACTTTTGGAGATCGTCCGTGTTGTCCTTTCGATAGAGGTCGAACCACTCCTGGGTGCTGTGAATGCGCAGCCACTTCTTGTCGCTCTGAGCCTTGCGGAATCCCTGGATCGTGCCGTAACCGTGGATGCCCGATCCGTAGCTGGCAACGGCGTAGATGGGGATCTTGATCTTCTTCGTCTTGATGATCTTGTCTTCCCAGTATTCGTTGATGAGGGGCCACTTGATGGCCGCCGCGACAATATCCTCGCGCTTCTGCCGGCCCCGGACGGTGGCATTGTACACCAAGTTGACAAAGGTGCCATCGGTGATGCCACCGCGAGTAATCACCTCGCGGTACTTGTCAGTGAACCCCTCCCAGGGCGCAATGCACTTGAGAGACGGGGGAGCCAGTGTCGCTGTACTCCATTGCACGGCTGCCAGCCACGAGTTGCCTTGCATGCCTACCGAGCCCGAGCACCAAGGCTGGGCGGCAATGTGCTCGACGATCTCGGCAGCATCGCGAGCTGGCTGCATTCCTTCAATGTACAGGTTGCCCTCCGAGTCCCAGGACCCGCGAATATCAACGTTGACAACGGCATAGCCCCTCGGAACCCACTCGGCGGGGTCGACTCTGAGGAGGAGGAGGAGTGGTCAGTTGGCATGTTGTGGTGGAATATGATTCATAAGAACCGCCAAGTCTAGGGCTTCAACGTACGACTCGAATTTCTCTAATCCAGAGAGACTTTCCTCGGGCATCCCCACCCTGTAGGGAAGTATAACGTAGTTGAGGAACCCGTGACCTCCCTTACCGTAGGGGCTCAGAGCAAGCAGAGCAGGGACTTTGTCCGTCGTGTTGGGGCGGCAGACATCGTAATATATCTTTTTTTTTTTTCGTCTTGTCAGTGCCAGCACGCCGAGCACTGTGATGCCCATAGGCGGATTTGCCGACGTACCTTGACACCGTCGGAATGCCTCATCTCCTCGTTCTGCTCATAGACAATCTCACCGGGCAATGGCCGGCTGTTGGTGGTTGCCTGCCAGCCTCTGGGTAGAATCTCACTCTTTTTCCCTTTGAAAGAGTAGGGGAAGCAATTGTCGGTGTTTTCCGGATTGACCGTGTCGCACAGTGGCACGTTCAAACCGTGGATAATCATTTTAGACGACATGGTGATGCGAATATGCGGCTTCTTTTTCTGGTAATACTAAGTTAGTTCGGCTCGGTAGAAGCAGAGATAGACCTGAGTGTTGTCCGGAATGAAGCAGACTTGGTCGCATAAAAAAGAGCCGGCAACAGGACGAATCCCAAGGCTCTTGATGGTCTCGTGTCGGAGTATGGAGAGGCCCGAGATGCCGCCGCGTGAGATGGCGGCCTGTGGTTTGCAAAGTTGAGGCTAGCTTCGTGGCTGGGGTCTCTTCCGTGCCGTGGACTGGAACGGAATGGATCATATGCAGAGGGGCATTGACGCGGTTGAGCCATGGTCCCCGGGAACAGAGAATTGACAAGGGGCAAGGGAGCAGGGAAAAGGCCTAAGCTACTCTGTACTGTGTACCTCAAAACTACCGTAACAACTCAGTCATCTCGGGCAAGAGGCGTACTCCACAGGGTCTCCACTGGAAACCCACTGGCTGCAGCAGAGCAGAAAAGAACCAATGCTATGAGAGATTTCAACGGGTAATAGTGGAAAGGTGGAGGGGCTAACCTAACTGAGCTTGACAACAGCACATCGGATTGGCTCTCTTCTGCTTTCTGCAGTTCAGTGGGGGCACAGTGGAGCACGCCTCTTGCCCGAGATGACTGAGTTGTTACGGTACTCGGTACTGCATCCGTGCTCCGTGCTCCGTGTGTAAGAGACGAGACGGATCCAACCAATGGCTAGTTGCTTATTCCGTCCATACCGAGTAGACCAGGTTAGATGACGGGGCTTCCGAGACACCACATAATTACTCGGCAATGCGTACGGAGGAGCATTTCAAAAGTCTTTGCTCGCGCCCAAGCCACACATTGCTTTTTGCTGCATGTTGTACATTAAGTACATTGAGCAATAACCAGTGCGCTAAGAAGCCCTACATTCTAGCGACTCAAGTCCGCTAAGCTGCACTTGCCTTGCCCCTGAAGCCACTAAAGTGATAGTGTCTTCAGCGGGCGATCACCTACGGCTACCTGTCATCTCATGTACTGTCAAGTACCTGACAGGGATCAAAGGATATGGCGTTCTTAGTGTGGGCAAAGACTTTTGAAATGCTCCTCCGTAGACTAGATAACTTCAGGTAGGCCTACCAACTAGACTAGTCTACTGTGTTAGCAGCCGCCATAGCCTGCCTCCTCCCCCGCCCTTTCCCCAGCTTCAACCCCGGACTCTGGAATCATCCCCCGCATTGTAAACTATTCCGCTTTCACTCTGGTTCTCACGTTACTCATTCCTCTGATCCGACCATCCCATTTCATCTATTCAAAGCCTCCTGGCTCCCCCAAGCCTCCCTCACTCGTGGCTCGTCTTGACCGGTCTTACTTTGTGCTCGTCTCGTCTCGTCTCGTCTCTCTTCCCCTTCTTCCATCACGCCTCTACCTACACCTCGTCATGGACGCCTATCAATACCTGGACCAGCCGGTCCACCCTGGCATGGACAAGGCCGAATGGCCCATCCCGGAAACCAACTTCGACAACGCTGGGCCAACAATGGCTGGCTTCAACAGACCCACTAGGTTTGAAGGCGAGATGCGCAACCTCGAAGTTGTCGGAACCATCCCCAAGTCCATTGCAGGCACGTATTTTCGAGTAATGCCCGAGCCTTACCATGTGCCGTTTGTCAAAAACGATATCGCAAGTCACTCCAACCCTCTTCCCTTGGCTTACCTGATCGCACACCCGCTGATGGCCTAATTCAATTCATCGCTGACCGAAACCTTTAGTGGCTCAATGGCGATGGCGCCGTGTCTTCGTTCCGCATCAAGGACGGCAACATCGACTTCAAGCAGCGCTTCGTCAGAACGGAAAAGTTCCGAATTGAGGGTTTAGCAAACAGGGCTCTGGTCGGTGAGCAACAGGCCACGCCCTTGTAGATTGGAACGCCTATTTCTAACCTCTGTGTGTCTGATGCATAGGCAAGTACCGGAATCCATACACCGATCTTGTTGAGTTCTTGGACCGCACCACGGCCAACACAACCGTCATTCCGTTCAAAAACGTCATTCTCGCCCTCAAAGAAGACAGCAGGCCATATGCCCTCGATCCCCGGACCCTTGAAACCATCGGCGTCTTTGACTTTGACGGCCAGTTGGAGAGCGAAACCTTCACCGCACATCCCAAATATGACGCTACCACGCGAGAGCTACTTGCGTTTGGTTACGAAGGCAAGGGAATTGGGACTCCTGATAACTTTTACATGTCTATCGACGAGCATGGCCGTTTTACCGAAAAGGTTTGGTTTAAAGCTCCATTCTGTGCCTTTCAACACGACATGGCCTTTACGGATAACTGGGTTCGCTCATAACTTCCCGATGCTGGCAAGCCCGAGCTAACTGCCGACTAGGTCATATTCCCACTTGGTCCGCTTGAATGCATCGTCGACAACCTCAAGAAGGGCGGTAACCACTGGCTGTGGACCGATCGCGGCCATGCGATTGGAATCCTCCCTCGACGCGGGGCCAAGTCATCCGACATCAAGGTATGTTTTCGCGGCGGCATGGCTTGCTTGCTCTACGAGCACTGACGACAGCCTATAGTGGTTTGAGGGCCCAAACTGGATCACTGGGCACGTCGCCAACGCCTGGGAACAAGACGGCAAGGTCCATGTCCAGATTGGCGTGTCCAAGGAGAATGGGTTCGGTTTCTTCCCCGACAAAGACGGCAAATGCCCCCCGCAGGAATCACCAGGAGTGGCACCGTATCTGCATGAATGGGTAATCGATCCTCATTCAGACAAACTCAAGCTGGACCCGCCAACCCAGGTTATTCCCAACGCTGCCGAGTTCCCCCGCATCGATGATAGGGTCATGGGAAAGAAGCAACGCTTCACTTACGGGAATCTCATGGATTTCACCCCCGGAGTAACCGACTGGGAGTACTCTAAGCCGCTCATGGGCAGTACGTTTCTATCTCCGCGTTCTCGGCCTGGGCCTTCGTGCAATCATCACTAACATGCATGTAGAAGCCATTGGGCACATGAACACGCTCTACATGCACGACAGACAGACAGGGGAGGTCAAGAAATACCACCGTGGCCCCCGCCACTTCTTTCAGGAACCACAGTTTATCCCTCGCTACCCCGAAGCACCGGAAGGCGATGGGTACCTGGTTGCGCTGGTGAGCGACTTCGACGCCATGGCCAGCGAGCTGGTCGTCATCGATTGTGACGATTTTGAAAACCATGTTGCCCTCGCCAAACTTCCCGTCAGGCTTAGACCAGGGTTCCACGGCAGTTGGGTGGACGATGTCGATATCGAAGGCCGACCCGAGCCTGCTGCTGGCTTCACACTGGCTCGCCGGCCTCTGGCGAAAGAAACCCAAGGTACAAACGGCAAAAAATGTGGCAATGGTACTAATAGCCTCAATGGGCACTGAGCCTACGGGAGCGGTCGGGATCGGTCTTTGTCTGCACATCATGTCGTGGACATTCGCGAGAGGGCAGGAAATTGGGCCCATGCTATAAAGTAGTTGTCTCGTTGTGATAGCATTGCTGAGTCTAGCTGTCTGTACTCAAGCTGCTTCATTTGCTGAAGTCTGTTTTCTGAATTGATATCAATAAGTAATTTGTTTGGCCAGGCGGAAAAGTGTCAAGCATAGACCGAATAGCTACCACAGAAGTCCTCTATCCATCTCGATCTCAAAGGCTGTCAATTATGCCCGGCGAGTAAGTGATGAGGATTACAAGCATTGAAATCTTACTAGCATACACACACGTCGAGGCGGCCATTCTACCAAGCCCATATGAACCAAGACCGACGCATCTAGCCAGTAATTCACTCCCAAGAGCTTTTGTCAGCACTCGTAGAGGCCTTTCTCTGAGAATAAACACCATATTCCAGGCTTGTGGACATCGATAGGTTGGATGGCGCGGTTATGATGTTCTTTACAAACATCGTAGGCCGTCTGAACAGGTGAGCGCTGGGGACTGTGTACTAGGAAGTGCATTGCCAATTCATGATTACTACCTCTTGACATGAGAATAAGAGAGATGATGGCAAGCACCCCTGCCAGTGGCGATGGAGGTACAAGGCCCAAAGAAGACAGTTCTTTTCTCCCGGGTGTGACTAGCCACAATATCACCACACTCTCTCCCGTGGCAAAGAGCGGGGCTGATGCATCCACGGAACTGCGATTGCCAAGCCAGACCATGGCGCCCATCCATGCCTGAACACCAAGACTAGCCTGTCCAGGGGTGTTGGTGTGAGGTGGCAGAGTGTACACATTCTTAAGAGTCCTTGTACCCGGAAGGAGTAGTTTTCGCCTCTAACGTATCCGTGCCGCCTCAAGTCTGTGAATATCCCTGCAGCACTGAAACTCCAAGTTATTCAACGCAAGATTGAATCTCCACCCGCCCTTTCCGCATCCATCCATCACACCACTGCTCTTTCTTCGTCTTACTCGGCCTCTAAAATGACTGAGCGAAAGGTTTATGTCTACAAGCAGCCGACGGAAGGCAACCCCATTGAGGCCGCCGTCTTCTACAACCCGCGAGACCCAGACGCTGACAAGCCGAAGCCCATCGGTCAGTACCATTGTCTCGAAATCATCAAGGGAGACCAAGTTCTAACATCTGTCCGCAGCCGTGTATTACCACGGTGGCAATTTCGTGGTTGGCCACAAAGACCTCATTCAGCCGGCGTATGTCAACAAGCTCCTGGAGCTAGGATTTGGAGCTGTGGTTTCTCCTGATTACAGGCTGTCCCCTACAATCTCAGCGTTTGAAGGTCCAGTCACTGATGCCAGGGATGCTTATGCTTGGTCCCAGGCGGAACTTCCTGCGAAGCTCGCCCAGGATGTCGGTGTGAAACTGGATGCTGATCGCATCGCCACATGGGGACACTCTGCTGGAGGAACACTTGCTATGCTTGTTGTGAGTAAAAAATTCGGCCCAGTGCGAGGGGAACTGTTCAACTCATCTAAGCAATGGACAGGCATCTGCGCCAAAGCCTCCCCGCGCAATCCTCAACTTGTTCGGCATGCTGTATTTCCAGGATGAGTCCTACCACAGCCCGTTGAAGATGCCCCCAGTGAAGATCCCAGACGCGGAATTCAGAGACCAGGTCTACAAGGACGTGCCTCCGCCCACCTCGGCGCCGCCACCTTTTGGACCCAAGGGGCCTGACATGTCCACGGCTCGCGGTGCCTGGCTTTTCAGCCACATGGCTGACGGGACTTTTCTAAAGAATGTTCAGCCAGACGGGGATTACAACAAGATAGACCCTGCTAGCTTGTTCGTGTCTTCTTTTCCGCCTACCTTCTTCGGACATGGCTCGGCTGATATGGCTGTCAATGTTAAGCTGACTGAGAAAGCACACCAAGCCCTACAGGAGCTGGGTGTTGACTCCAAGCTTGAAATTGTTGAAGGAGCCGGCCACGGCTTCGATATGGGCAAGAAGCCTGGAGACAAGGCGTATGATACTGTAATTGAAGGGCTGCAGTTTCTGCGAGATCACGTCTAACTAGATCAGTTTTAGAGACAATGGTTTTTCCAGACCCTTGATTTCAATCCCAATATTGCAGTTGAACGCTTTTCTTGCCATGAAAATGAATGCTCATCCGTGCTGTGCGAAAGTGACAGTCAGAAAGAGCTACTTGCTAGATATGTAAACCCAAGCGCTAAAATTCGGATTTTCCTGGCACACAGCATGCGGGCTTTAACAATCAGGATATTGTACTGAGGGGCTTCACCAATGTGAGGGACGAACGGGGATCGAAATATAATGAAATGGTGATGTCCTCTTAGTACTATTGGCTGTTTCACTTAGTGATGCAATCACACTTAAGCCAAGAGCTCAGTCGGGGAAACCACTTAGATAATTCGTATGCATTCCGCTTTAGACAGTTTTCGGCGCTGTACGCGTTGACCGAGGCATGACGCCGTTTTTGTGGACTTATCAGACATTGGATACTAATTCGGACTCAGTCTCTGGCGACACAAAGGTTTCTTTTTCGCCTTAACCTCGCTTTTTTTGTCTACATGAGGTCTCTCCCTCTCAGAGACCGGCCAAACAGCAAAAAAAGAAAACGCAATTCTCGATTAGCCATGGTATTAGCCACGGCGTGTGTCTTCCGGGGTACTTCATATCCGCGGAAAGCGGAGAGCCAGTCTACACATTCCGGATAAAAGTAGATCACCTGCCAAATTTCGGAGTGCCGAATGGCGACCGAGAGAGATGCTATGCCGAAGTGGCTTACCCCGGCTTTGCGACTTGCCTGGACCGAGTGGCATCCTCAGAATCGGATTTTTTGGCGCCGCAAAAGACCTGTACATAACTCCAAGCAGTCCAATTGACCAATCGCTCTGTTGTCCCGTCGTCAACACAACTTGAAGCGCAGACAATGGCCACGGTTGCGCAGGATCGTGCTAGTAGCAGCCCCTACACGGGCTCCTCTGCCTTCTTTGAAGCCTTATGGGATGCAGGAGTCACCCATTGCTTCTGCAATCTCGGATCAGACCACCCCAGTATTCTTGAAGCGATCGTCCATGGGAAACAAACAAGGCCGGATAGGTTTCCGACCATCATAACATGTCCGAGTGAGGTAAGCCTCAAGCTGTCCCTGGTATCTTCGAAGCAGATGATGAATACTTAGAAAGATGGTGGCCATGTCCATGGCCGATGGCTTCGCTCGCGTGACAGGGAAACCTCAAGCAGTCATTGTTCACGTCGACGTGGGCACTCAAGCCCTGGGATGTGCTGTTCACAATGCTTCTGTCGGGCGGACGCCGCTGCTCATCTTTGCAGGGCTGTCGCCCTTCACCATTGAAGGGGAGCTGAAAGGATCTCGTACAGAGTATATACAGTGGCTTCAAGACGTTCACAATCAAAAAGACATTGTGGGACAATATTGTCGGTACTCCACCGAGATTCGCACCGGTACAAACATCAAGGTCTGAGCGCCTCCCTAAATCTCCGAAGGTCGGAACATTTGGAATAATTAATCTAACTACTGAGAGTAGCAAATCGTCAATCGAGCGCTGAGCTTTGCTTCAAGTGACCCCAAAGGACCGGTGTACTTGTGCGCAGCTAGGGAAGTGTTGGAAGCAGACTTAGCTCCTTACCAAATCAATCAGAACTTTTGGAGTCCCGTGGATCAAGTGGCACTCTCGTCTACTGCGGTACAAACCATCGCTGATGCTCTCGTCAATGCTCGGGAGCCGCTTGTCGTGACAGGATATAGCGGCAGAGACGCAAGGGCACCGGCTGAGCTGGTAAACTTGGCCAACACCGTCAAGGGGTTGCGAGTCTTTGACGCCGGAGGAAGTGACATGTGTTTCCCTGGTATGCATTCTCTATCAAATGAACGAACCAGATCATTACTAACCCTCTCTATGCAACTAGCCGACCACCCGGGCTGGCTTGGTTGTGGATACGGTGGACATGAGAGCATCCGGTCAGCCGACGTCATTCTGGTTCTCGACTGCGACGTTCCCTGGATCCCGACGCGATGCAAGCCCCATGATGAAGCTCTTGTCTTGCATGTTGATATAGACCCGCTCAAACAAAGCATGCCAGTCTTCTACATCAACGCCCAGCACCGCTACCGCGCCGATTCATACACAGCGTTGAAACAGATCAATGAATATGTGGCGTCAAATACTAGCTACAGGTCCATCATAGAGTCCAACAACTATGCTCTGCGATGGGAGAGACTCTTGGGCTCGCATGCTCAGCACTTGAAGAAGATTACAGAGGCTGCGATGCCGACTGAAACAGGACACCTTTCAGCCCACTATCTACTCAATCAGTTACGAAAGGCGTTGCCCGAGAACACCATTTTTGTGGTTGAGGCCATCACAAACACTGGGGTTGTTTCAGAACAGATCCAGGCGACACTGCCAGGCTCTTGGCTGAATTGTGGCGGAGGAGGTCTGGGATGGAGCGGAGGCGCCGTGCGTATTTTCTTTTCCATCCCTATAAGGCTATAACCCTTTGACCCCCACCGGCAGTTGAACTTGGACGAGACTAACCGTTTGTACAACCATGCAGGCTTTAGGTGTCAAGCTCGCGACCGACTATGTGGGAGAGAAGCGGTTCGTTTGTCAGATTGTTGGCGACGGCAGCTATCTCTTCTCGTTTCCTGGCTCCGTGTACTGGATAGCCAGGCGTTACAACATCCCCATTCTGACCATTGTTCTGAATAATAATGGATGGAACGCGCCAAGGAATTCACTCCTGTTGGTCCGTCCGGATGGGCCGGCTTCGAAAGTAGACAGGAGCGAGCTCAACATTAGCTTCTCGCCAGCCCCCGATTATGCTGGAATCGCCAAGGCGGCTGGTCATGGGGATATTGGCGTGTTTAGGACAGCACGCGAAGATGATGTCCCCCACAAACTAGCTGAGGCTGTCAAGTTTGTTCAGGGAGGTACGTCTGCTGTATTTGACGCGCAGCTGGATGGGCCAGACGGGAAATATTCAGCTGATCCATGACGGTCATCCAAGAACATCACGTCAAATCATGGCCGAATACTATTTCTTAAATTCTCAAAAGATAGAGCGTGAAGTAGTATCGCCTGATCATGAATAGTTCTACGATGACCCCTTCTTAGAGGTCAAATGATAGTCGTGTATCAAGATTCCAGGCGCGTTTCTCGAATTGGGGTGCTTGTACTTCATACTCTCTAATAAATGCTTCCTAATCTACCCACGGCCATCTTTCAGTCTATAAATTGATGATAAAGTCTACGCCGTATGGTTAGGCATTATATCTCTTCTCAAGATAGGTTGATTACCTAGAATAGAGGTGTGAGCTCTAGGTAAGTTATCAGTTACTTTGGTTGCCAGACGGTCCGAAGACGTATCTCCTAGAAATAGGAAAACAACGAAGTCCTAGGTTCAATAGTATTCAGAGAATTGTATTTAGCAATTGAGATAGGATGGCTTTAACATTAAAACGGCAATCCGAAGGTACTGGCAATTCGATCATGCGCATAATCGCGAACTTGGCTTAGAATTATCCCACTACCTACACACCATTAAGGGTAACAGGCAGCATGAAAACCTCCAATGAATCAAGAGAAGATACAGTAGTAAAGACTGAGAAAAAGGCAAGGCAACAGATGTCGTTAACCCTGTCCTCAAGGTTGCATGCGGCATGCTAATCTGGACCTGTCTAAGCCGTCTTCTCGAGATCCTGTAAATTCTCCCTGTGAACCATCGTAGGCTGGATGTCTTCCTTCTCCGCTTGGTGTCTCACGATGTCCTCTTGCACTGCTGCATCGATGTGATCGTCAAAGCGAGACTTATCATCCCGGAAGAAGGCAGAAACTGAAAGAGTCAATACTTCGCGTTTTGGCGCGATGGGGCTTACGGCTTCAAAACTCACTGAAGATTCCAATACAGCTGAATGATGCGGCCGTTATCCAAGTATTTCGAAAAGCAATCGAGTAGGCGTTCTTGTAGGCCGTGAAGGCTGCGCCGATCATCTCTGTGTTCCCTTCAAGCACCTGGGCAACCAATTGCTGGCTCTGTGACTCAAAAGCCTCTATCACGGCCCCGATTTTGTCAAGCGGAAAGTCGAACGGTGCCAAAGCGGCAGCCACCTTGTTCCCCAAGTTTTTCTCGAGGGCACTGCTGAAGATGGCATTGTTAATTGCCATGCCAACAGCGCCGCCGATTCCTCTGGCTGAGACGACAAACCCACTGGTGATAGAAAGGAGTTCTGGTGGAGAGCTCATCTGAGCAGCGACCATGGAGTTGATGATGACGGTGCTTAGACCAATACCAGCAAACACCGGATAGCCCCAAGCGCAGCCTTTGGGGCTTGAGGGTGTCAAAGTAGCCATGAGGGCGTTGTAAAGAGTGATGAAGACAAATCCAATGACAAGAGAGTTTCGAAGTGACTTTGCGACGGTGGTGTAGATGCCTACGACTGGTGACATGAAGATGGTAACAATAAAGACGATCATGAACGGGGTACTCGCTATGAGCGTGTCGCTGTCGTAGAGAAGTGTGATCTCGCGGACCAGGTAGCTGTTGGTGGTGAAAAAGGAGAGGCCTTCCATGAACATGGCGAAGAGCGCGATGGCAAAGTTGCGATCTTTGAAAAGGGTGCGATTTATCAATCGCCCGCCTGTGCCACGCCATTCATAGATTCCGAAGCAGATCAGAAGTACAATGCCTACAACAAATGGAGCTGTGACATGTGCATCGTCCCATCCATAGGGGTTCGAGGACCAGGTTAAACCTATGCAAAAGAGTGTGAGTCCCACGGCCACAAAGACAAGCCCAATCCAGTCGAGACTTTTGAGCTTCTCCCAGTCATTCATGGTAGTTTGAAGTTCTCGAGGGGGTGGGCGGTAGCCAAAGAAGATACCCAGGTTACCAGCAGTGTATATGCCGCATGCAATGTACCAGAAGATGCGGTAGTTTTCCAGCTTGCCGCCACGCATGAGGAGGCCGGCCGTCAGCATAGCCAAGATGGAGCCGACGGCGGTAGCAAAGTTGATGGAGGCCTGGCCGGCCGAACGGTATTTTCGAGGCAGAACTTCTGATATAATGGCATAGAACGAGGACTGACACCCAAAGGCGATGCCGAAGATGCATTGTCCCGCAATCAGAGTGGCCACGTTGTTCGCCCGGGCAATAACCAGCGGCCCAACCGTGCCGCCAAGAGAGCATATGACAATGATCCATTTTCGTCCCCAGTAATCAGCCGCGTGACTCAACGGGATGTTCAAGGCCAGAGTAAAGATGGCGAGGATCTGTGGAAGCCAGCCTGCGAGGCCTATGTGTCCGAAGAAGAGGGTTGTTTGCACGGCAAGGAAGCCAGAGCCAATCAAGCCAAACAGCTGCGCAATACTGATAAAGTCCATGGCCTAGGAAAACAGTTACATGATTAGCTCCGATCGCGCATTCTGACCCGCGGTCGATGCGAGAATGGGAAGATACGCACCACCACCACCATCCATGTTTTCCATCCCAAGCGTGGACGCGGCTCCATAACTTCTTCTGTGTCTGGGTGCATCTTGCGAGTAGTGTAGTGGAACAATTCTGTAACGTTCCAAGTGGACGTCAATTTGAGGAGTTGCTGTGTTGAAGGTGAAAGTTGTGATGATCTCGCTGGCGTGGAACAATCTGGCATACGAAACTCGAAAGTCCGTCCTGGAAGGGGGTGGATCTCATTCCTCTCTTTTAATAACAGCTAAAGGAGGGGGTTCTGTCTAACCGTTTCTCGTCTGCTTGACTGCAAAGCACTACTCAAGGGACTCAACCTTGGCCCCTGTGATTGATAGTAGTCTCTAAACAACCAATCGTTGACTAGAACCCATCCCCGGAAGAGGTATGCGGCATCAGGGCCTAGACTAGCCGTCGGTCTCGATGTAACAGACTGCGCTTTGTGGAGGTGGCGTATCGCTTCCCCGCACTCAAGATGCAGCGAGGCCAGGGTTTGGTGGGGAACCATAGCGCGCCCAAGATCTGGGGAAGCTCCATGTCACGGACTTGTTGGGTGAGGCGTATGGAGCTGCTTAGGGATCGTAGGTCAAGGCCCCCCTGAAGGGAACTCGTCATCTCTCACGAGCGACACCCTGGCTGACACCACAAAGAGATTAGGCTGTCTAGTTTCACTTTACATCACATGTCGACTGCCTTCTCAACCACAGGGAGGTTGTCAGATGTAAGAATCGATTGCATACGCTGTGCCTGCTGATTACAACTGGCCTCATACTGATAGCCAAAGGATTCATGGGGGAGAGGAATTTGGTAGATTGGGCGGTATGACCACAGTCGGGAAGAATCTGTGGATCATGTGGCTTTCTACTTGTCTGACCTCAGAATCAAAACTTAGTAGTTCAGTAGCGTATAGGTGGTGGGAGCTGACTTGTTAATATGAGCATTCAAAGAGTCTAGGCTTACGCCCCAGATATCATACTCCCTAATCTCTATTAGGTACTTAATCTTACAGTAGAAGCCAAGTAGCTACAAGTGATTGCTTTGCACAAATACTGAGTTATAAAGCGTACTCAAAACAGAATAAGTACAGCTTCATAGATGAAATGTTAAAATATACACTCACTCACAGTACCAATACTAGTATAGTATACTACATAACATTATCTCCTGTAGCTAGCCCACGGAACAATACGATCCCAGCCACCACTATACGCCACCACTCGCACACCGCTTCACATCACCATTCTGGCAGTACCTAGCAAAAGCTGAGCGAGCCCTTAGCCGAAACTCTGGGGAGACCACGCGACCGCCTATCTGGTGCTCTGTGCATATTCCATCTACCCCTTGTATTATGAAGCGTAAGGACGATAAAATAATGGCTGGGTCCATGTGGTCTATACACCTAGAACGATACAATTTGCTGAAGGGCAGTTGCAGCTGGCAGCCACTTCACCATCCTACCACTTTCTTGTGAGAGATGAATAACGAAGACAGCATGAAGGTATTGTCAAGACTTCTACCCATAACATCATCAGGTTCTGCTCCACATTCCACTGAACTAACCCCCACAATAAATGTGCTCAACATAGATAATACCCATCGCGTGTCTGCCATAGTCATCAGGTGGAGAAGGTGAAAGCGCTAGTGTGGTCTAGGCTCGGTCCCCCGGAAGCCATCTTGACTTCCGGGGAATCCTGCAACCCCGGTTTACACATCCTTGTCTTGGACGTACCGACTTGAGTCCTGCGGGAACAGACAACGAAAACTGCGCATCCTAGTGGTTCATTGGAACAACCCTGGGATGTGGACTGCCTGGCAATCAGCCCCGGAACCATCACCAGCCCTCCCACGACATAATGGAAGGCGTAGCAAGTGTACCGAGTGTGGGGAACTCCACGGTACAAACTGAATCTCCTCGGAAGATGTCTTCGGTCTCGGCAACCGTCGCTATTACTACGGACAGTGAGTGAGGGAAGAAAAACACCGAATTATGCAGTGACATTTGCTCTGTGAGAAGTCCGGTGTATTTCCCCCCCAAGCAAGTCGCTGTAGTGTCATTGTCACAGTCTTGAATTCATCCCTGCGGGATTAGTAATCAGTTGTCAAACAACCCTCAGAGGTGCGAGAATTAACCTCCGGCGCAACTATCAACAATAACAGCACTACCAGATTCGTATCCAGTGAAACCAATGAGGAAGTGCGGCATGGGGTAATTACAGGGCACGTTCGATACAGACAGGCGTACATATCCCATTTTACTAGAGCGAAATATCACCTTTTCCAGCCTACAAGATGATTATCGTCAATGATTAGCTCAAGCTGAAGAATCCGATCCACCGATAGCATTGTAAACCACCTTGGAATTTGAATAACTTGATCACAGCTTAGCGTCAACTATTGGGCCTTTGTACCGCCTTGCTAGATCAATAGGCTGCCACCAAGGATACGTCTGTGGAACATCGCTCTCAACTGTCCCCTTGAACATGGCCTTTCTCTTTTCTAGGAAACTCTTGACTCCTTCAGTATTGTCCACCGACCCAAACAGCTCGTATATGATCCTCGAGTCAAGCAGGTGAGTTCCCTCGGCTGTCCCAGGGTTCCGCCACATCAACTCCCTATTCAACAGCCAGGACACGTTGCTGCAGTTGTCCACGAAGTCCTGAGCAATGGAAAGAGCTCTGGGAAGCACATCGCTGGCGTTCTGTAGCGTCTCACTAAAGAGACCCGAGAGGAGCTGGTGGGATGCAGGATATGTTGACCCCGTCGTGATGAGGTGCATCGCTCTCGACATGCCGATGAGTCGTGGGAGGAAGTAGGAAGACGCAGCTTCCATCACGAGGCCTCTTCTTCCGAAAACGAAGCCTATCTTGGCATCGCAGGGTGCCAGGCGAATGGCCATCGGCAGAGCCAGGGTGATGCCAATGCCGACTGCCGCGCCATTGAGGGCACCGATGACAGGCTTGCGACATCGATGAATGGCCAAGGCTGCACGTCCACCTCTGCGGCAATTGATTTGTGTCAGCAAGTCATTTATCATCCCACAAATCTGGGACATCTAGCGTAGGAAGGGTGCGAAGGCTTACGAATCTCGATGCTCGTTGACCTTCTCATCTGATTTCCGAAACATGGTCTCTAGGTCCGCTCCAGCGCAAAAGACATCGCCATGACCCGTGACAACCACACATTTGACTCTTTGATCCATATCCAAAAGTTTAAAAACATGTTCTAGCTCGTCTGTCATCCGTTCTGTGAAGGCATTTCGTCGGTCTGGACGATAGAGCTTCACCACTTGTATCGGTGTAACAACTGGGGAGTCCTGAGGATGGTTTTCAACTCTAATCTCTTTGAAATTGAGAGTCGAGTATGAATCCTCAACCACAGTATTTCTTACATCCGGAGAGCTCATTGGAGCAAGTAGTTGTGGACAGCTTGGCGCCTAAACGTCGTTGCGCGGAGTCGACTCAACGTCCTGCCGATGTAGGGACAAGACGCTTTCTGTTACTCGCCTGAGACGACTTATGCTGCTCTATATTCAGCCGATCGCCCGAATGCAATGGTGAGTATGTATTTAAATATCTGTCGTATAGGTTCCGGGCCTCGGGACCTACTCTTAGCTGCGGATCGTGGCTGTGCCGGCCCCAGAAATTAGATCCGATCCCTGGATCATTGAGATCGGAAGCATTCACAGTCCTCATCTTGATATAGCAGGGGGGACAAAGTTCATATAACGAAGGCCCAGCCTACGATGAATTGATCTATTGGTAGTCAGTCTACAGTGCAACGACAGGTTCACGTACATCCACCTCACATTCGACAAGCTTCTCATGGCTCAAGGCAAGGACAACTTCGTGAGCGATGTTTGGCGCGATGGCCTTTTCGGTATGACATGTTTCCTTTATTAATCATGCATTTAAAAGTAGCAAACATTGACTGATGCGAGCGTGAAGAGAACAAGGTTGTCTACTGCACCGGCGGAAACGGCACCATATGCTCTGCTCAGGTCAAGGCACTTGTGTACCTAGGCGCCAACGCTTGCATTGTTGGCCGTAACACGAACAAGTCAAAAGCAATGGCGCAAGAGATCGCGGCGGTGAGGTCTGGAGCCAGAGTCATAGGCTTGGGGGGAGTGGATGTGCGAGACGTCAAGGGGCTACAGGACGCAGCAGATCGTTGTGTAGAGGAACTGGGAAGTATTGACTATGTCATAGCTGGTGCTGCGGGGAATTTCCTTGCGCCAGTACGCGAGTTGAGTCCCAATGCCTTCAAGAGCGTCATCGACATTGATGTCCTCGGGTCGTATAATACGGTCAAAGCTACGCTCCCGCACCTGATCAGAAGCGCCTCCAAGAACAGTGTCAACCTCGTCAATGACATGAGCAGGTCTCAAAGTGCTGGTGGGAAAATCATTTTCATCTCAGCAACAATGCACTATACTGGCACACCACTGCAAGCACATGTCTGCGCGGCCAAGGCTGCTGTGGATGCCCTCGCACACGCAATTTGCATCGAGCAGGGGCCTCTGGGAGTCACGAGCAACGTCATTAGCCCCGGCCCAATTGCAGATACAGAAGGCACAAGTCGCTTGTTTACCGGAGAGAAACAAGCTCTCGTCAAGCAGATACCAGCCGGAAGATTGGGATCCATCAGAGACGTCGCTGATGCAACCATCTATCTTTTCAGCAACGCCGGGAACTATGTCAATGGCGAGGTGCTGGTCGGTAAGTTTGTTCTATAGGCTCCAACGCCTATTCCTGCATCTTCCTCGGGATTATTAGTCATGTAACGTAAGCTGACAGACGTGCTCGTCTCATAGTCGATGGCGGTGGATGGCATACCAATTTCCAACCTAGTGTTGGCTCATTTGTGTACCCCGATTTCTTGCTTGGCAGGGAGGCCGTCACTGGAGTGAAAGGACTGAAGGAGAAATTATAATGCATCTGTCACCAGCGCGAGGCGTCCCTTGTAAAATCAGTTAGCCTATCCTCCAGCTTTTCAGCGGTGATTCCCATTCTAGTAACTAGTTCTGTAGTACCTTGGGCGCTTGCCAATGATGGTCGCCCAGCGACGGGATTTGATCCGCGGAATACAAGGCCTCATTCGAAACCTTCCGTGGAAGACACCATGGACAGATTTGATGCTCAAGTAGCCAGGAGGGACAACATGAACAACACTTGACCAATTTATAACTGTCAGCAGCCCTCGCACAAAGAAAAATCAGCACAGATACGAAAAAAGATCAACTAAAGGCCGCTCACCAAACCAGCAATGGCCTTCTCTCGTCTTATCCGTTTTCAAATCGCCGGGGGTGAGGAAGTTTTCTTCGCCGACCTCGGTGCTGACGGTTCCGCCCCAGAAGACAACAGGCAACTTATGGCTTTCAAGTCTTTTGGAGATCTCGTTGCTAGAAATAACGGTTCAGTCGTTTCTGTGGGCAAGGTATCATAGAAACCAATCTCCTCTCCAGTTGCACCATCGAAACTCATGGTACAATGACAGCTCATGGCACCACTGCCGCAGCCGCAATTGCCCATCTACTGTGTTGGATTAAATTACAAATCTCATGCGGAGGAGTGCAAGGTATTGCCATATCCTCCCCAAGCATACGATTGCAGTGGCTGGCTAGAGTTCTAACACCTACCGGCTCTCAATATCCAAATCTCCACCTTTGTGGGGCAAGCCAGCGGCAGCATTGGCTGGTCCTGGTGAGACAATAGCGTTGAATGCATTCCAAGCATCCAGCTGGCCTGATTATGAGGCAAGTCATCCAGGGCCGACAACTCGTTGTCGAGTCTACTTCCTCTTGTGAGTAGGTCCCTAACCCGTGGCCTTAGGGTGAGCTGGTGTTTGTCTCCTCACGAGAGGTCAAAGACGTGACAGTTGAAGAGGCGTCAAACGCTATCGCTGGCTTTACCATAGGTAACGATCTATCATGCCGCAAGTTTCAGATGCCTGGGGAGGGGGGTGGACAATTCTTCTTTGCAAAGGCGTTTGACAAGTTCGCTCCCATGGGGCCAGTTCTCGTCAGTCCAGATTTATTTCGGGGACCAGAGAATGGAAGGATCACGACCAGTGTCAACGGTGAACTGCTGCAAGACGCACACCACAAAACCGATGCAATTTGGTCTTGCGCTGAGATCTTGAGCTTCATGAGCAATGGTAAGTTTGGCTTTGCGGTACGACGAGGCTAGTGATAGTGATAAAGGGTTCACTGTATTCGACTAACAATGATATTCTCTTAACAGGCACAACCATTCCAGCTGGGACGGCTGTGATGACTGGAACACCGGCTGGGATTGGTTTGCTGAAGAAGCCACCAAAGTTTCTGAAAGATGGAGATGTCATAGATATTGAGATTTCGGGTATTGGGAAGCTAACCAACAAGATTGTCTTTAGATAAAGAGGGGCTAAGGCCGCTGCTCATAGAGAACGAGAGAACCTGCATCGACTTTCAACGTTTCGTTTTAATCAATACAAAATTCCATGCCAATTACTCGTTCCTGCGATTGGCAAAAGAATCCTGCTCGACTACTACTGTCATGAACCACTCGCAGTAACTCGAACAGAGTCTACCAGTTGAAAGATCTTTGACAGCATACCCTTTATTTCCATACAACACTTTCTGCCGACAAGAGCATACTGTTGATGACATGCGTCAATGCAGGCCCTATCGCGCTGTCGGTGCTATCCCTGTCCAGGTGCATCTTGCCTGCTCGCAGGTGTTCCAGATCGGATCGTGCCGAGAAGGAGGATGGGTTTCTGGCGATGCTGCGATACAAAGTTGCTATAGCGGCCATGTAATTGTTCGTGTGAAAGCTGCAACAGAGTAGTTGGTACCAAATAACCGGAAAGGATTGTGGAAGTGAAATAAATACCAGATGACGAATATTTTCCTGCACCCCAAATCATTCATAGCTCTATGGATGCATCAGCATTAGGCACGAGAGATGATTTATAACCTCTCATTTCTCCATATTTAGATTGCTCTAACATACCCATTCAGACTTTTGATGAATGATCGTGCCGCTTCAACACAGAGTGTATCGCTCGCTTGAAGTCGCGCCGCCAGTTTCTCAGCATCAACTCCTGGAGTCAAGGCTGGCCGCAACGTGATGACTGCCCAGTGAATGGCCCGTAGCAGATTGAAGCACTCAAGATGTATCAACAATATATGCAGCCGAATGTCAGAAGATGACAAGTTTGGATAGCCAGGTCGGCAGGATGTGGGAAGACTATCCATCCATGCGGTAAGCTCTCGGTCTAGCTGAACAAGGGCCTCAATCCTTGAAGACCCATCGTTCCTGGAGTGCATGGCGTTACAGAAGCGATTCTGGACCTGGCCGAGCTGGCAAGTCCAGATATACACCAGTGACAAGGTGGGATACGACGGATCCGAGTGAACATCACTCTTTCCTTCGACAACCACCTCTCCATCATGCGCTGTATCCTCGACTCCCGGAGGCCGTCCCTGGGATAGTGAAAGATTTCTGAAACAATACACATGTCAGGTTCGGGACACGAGGCATACCACGCGAGGGGGATCAAGCATACGAGTCAAAGTTAAGCAGTATCCACCAGAGCCGTGACCGAAGACGTAGTTGGCTATCCGAAAGGTCAATTTCTTCAGGGATTTTCCGATGCAGGCCAAGAGATTGGGCTATACGGATAGCAATTCCGCAGAAGACCCATGCAATGCCGCATTTGCCAAAGTATATCTGGCGTACAACCTTAAGCCAGGACACGTGTTAGCAAATTCCATGCATGTTCGGGGAACGAGCTAGGCTAACGTGAAGCAGTAGAATCTGCAAGGATGTCTCGCATGGCATCCCTATACTTTCGTGTATCAAAGACCAAGCCTGTTCGTATGCAGCGGCAGCATACTTCTCATATGCCCTGGGGTTGTCTGAATCATGCTGCATGCAGAGCGCTCCTAGGGATTGCACCAGGTAGAACAGAGAGTAGTCGAGGACCCTCAACAGTGGCCTTTGTGCCGTATAAAACATGTCAGCCCGAGCCATAAAGGACTCCTCATCAAGAATCGGGTAAAAGGTGTTCAGGTTTCGAAAATAGGCTAAGTGATTCGGGACTGTTAGTGATTGGCTGGGAGACCCATAGGGACGTAGTTGATATGCTAACCATTGATCTGTTGCAAGGCTTCCGCACGAGGGGGCAACTTCCGTGACGACAGGTCACACAGAGATAAGAATCCCACTTCGTCGACATGAGGCCCTGCTTCGATCAAGAAGCTTAATGAACTAGCGTCCAAGGGAACACGCTGGCTGTCAAGCGCGTCTTTCAAACACAAGGCTAACGTTGCCCCTACCGAGCACAAGCCTAGCGGGTTTCAATCAATAACGTGTGAAGGTGGGCGGAGCAGCAGACGCGATACAGCGAGAGGGTACTTACCAATGTAGTTTGTCAAGGTCTGGTCTTTCCGAATAAAGACACCAGGAGGCAGCGACTGTTTTGAAGGGAAAACTTCATTGTCTCTCGTAGTTAACGACTCGATGGCGGATACTCTCCCGTTGGTTGAGTTTGCTATCGACTTTGGGGGAGAAGCAAACGAGGCTGCCGCTGAAGGCCCCTCCATGATGGGAATAGGGATCGCATCCGGTGGCATCTGACCCATCTCGAGCCTGTCGCTACCGTCCACACCACCCATCAGATGGGCATCCGTGTTGGCCATGTTGGTAAGCATTGTTCTGTCCAGTTCCCAGAAATTGGACGATACCCCGATGCCGAGCTGGCGTAGCACGTGTCCGAAGTCTTGTGACGCTTCATTCACGACATCGAATCCTTGATTCTCTGCCCACGGTAGCGCTGACAGGCTGTTTTGATTGTCGGGATGATGTCCGTTCAAGTCATTGTTGTCTATAGCACGGGTGATACTGCTGTTGTCCATATTGTTGTCCATATTGTTGCTGCCATCGTGATGGCCATGGGCATTGCTGTGGCTGCTGTTGACATTATTGTTGCTCGCGTCGTTGTCATTTTCGTCTTCTTCGTCATTGTCGGCCAAGGCAAAAAAGGCATCAGCGCTGGAGTTGACTGCAACATCTATGCTCGGCTCCTCCGGTGGTGTTGTGGCGGAGACCCCCCCTGAGACGGCGGCACTCGTTGCGTCTTGGTCGTTGTTCCTGACGATGATGGACCGTCTTCCAACGCGGTCTTTTGTGGTACATTCGGCGTTGTAGAGCTGGCAATTGAGACAGGGATATCGATTCGATGTGCATTTGAGCTGTAGTCAAGTCGTTAGAAGCTGTCACGGCTGAGGAAACACATCTTTAAAGCATTGCAGCGTGAAGGGGGGAGAGGGTTAGCTACCCTTTTCTTGCGACAGTAGTCACACGCCCTGGCTACTCGCGTCGCACGCTGTACTCGGCCACCAGTTGAAGGGGGTGATATTCCAGCCATTGTAGCTGGGCAATTTCCTACGTTTGCCAACGATGATCCGTCGTGGTGGTCGGGGCTATGTTAGCAGGCCGTAATTAGGGGCAAATGGGTGCCGCTGTCAGGATACGCAACGATGAAACGAGGAGAAGATGAGGAGGACAGAGCTCATCTGGATGAAACTGTACGGGGAGGGGGGACAGGGGACCAGGAAGACGGACGGGAGTTGGGAACCCCGAAACCCCCGAGTCAGACTAGGGAGACATGGGTAAGTACATGGGTCCCCCTCAGATGCGGGGGCGGGACGCGCTGTACCGAATGTGGCAAGCATCTTTCGTCTATTGACGAGTTAACTTAGTGCACTGGCCGCTGTTTTACTGCTGAGTTAGTAGGATTCACTGGGTTGTTAGGTCTAGTTACGGGGTACTCGGGTACTTTACGAATACATGGGTGCCAGCATCAGCCATAAATTCTGGGAAACCTTGCGTGGCACCCAGTCAACTTAGCTGTAGACAGCACTGCATAGCATGAGTATTGAAATACGTCGTTGAATAGAAGACATGCTACTAAAAGAGGTGCGCTATAGCTCTGCCAGGTGGGACCGCCTCGCCCCAAACTGCGTTGTGGCAGCTATGATACCCTGACGAATTGAACCATCTCCACCCCTCTACTCCTTGAGCACACCCATCGATCTCGCCAGTCGCTTCAACTCCCTCCCGTAGTCATTCCCATTTGGTAGTCTCTGCGTTGTGTGGATGTGGTATTTGGCAGGCTCCTTGTTAGTAAGGAACACGCCGGAGTGGTGGTCAAACTCCAAGATGAGAACCGGGCTCTGGATGCGATAATAAAAGGGGTCGTCTAAGCCGTAGCCCCCAATCCACGAAAAGTATGTTTCGGATGCCCACGATCGGATATGATTCAGACGCGCTTCCAAGGGCTGAGGAGGCAGGAGGATGAGGAATTCCGCAACCATGGACATGAGAAGCTCCTGCTGCTCGGGAGTCGTATCCGACATAAGCACTCCCTCGTATGCTATCACGCGGTTATCTTGGAAAGCACCAGCGAGATGCCTCTGGGTGGCAGGTCATTAGTCGCACATTTTGGCACAGCCAGTTAACGGAGGCGCAACACCATACCTGGTCGGCGGGATTCCAACGATCCTCTGGCATAGCCTGGTCGTGCATTCGCGCATATGTTTGCGCCTTCTGCTGAAGCTCAGGTGCCAGTGACCGCATCAAACTCAAGCCCAATTCCCCTTCCCTTGCACAGATCTGGACACCCTTGTCCGGGCCATCGTCGATGATCTAGATGCCAGTGTGAACCGATGAGCCCACTGCGGGAGAAACAATATCTGCAGTATTTCGCATGGGTGGTTATTCACTTACAAAAGGCTCAGCGCCGATAAAGACTGGTCCAATAACCATCTGGCCTCTCAAAACGGATACGTTAATGCATACGTGATGGCCAAAGAACATGTATCCCCAAGGCTGTGTCACTGACGGTTCCCCAAACAAAGTGAACCTGCGGGCAAGGACGACGGAAACGACGGTCAGATTAGATCGAACATGCTTTTAGGTCGAGGGCCGGGCAGTATTGGGCTTCTCACCAGTAACTGTATTCGTTCAGGATGGCTTGGCAGCCACAGATTTCACCCAAGAACTTATTGATCTTCATTGCTCCACGCAGTTTGGAAAAGCCAGCTTCGCTTAGGGATTGCCTCAAGAGCTCCATGATAAGCTCAACTTTTGCTGACGACAATTTCTCCAGGCGGACACCACACTGGAATATGACGAGTTCTGGATTACTCCATTTTCTGCTAAAGCAGGCTTGATGAGTTCTCTCTGATTGTGCTGTCAAGACAGTGGGAACTAACCAGTCATCAGAGTCCACGGGGCGAAGGGCTAACGTTTTCTCCTCCGGGCTGAGTGCGTCCACTATATTACGCGCAGCTGCGACCTTTTATGGTGTCAGAGGTGAGATGTAACCAACGGAACCATTATAGCCCGATCCTCCGTGTCTCACTACCTACCATGTTCTCCGTCGGTGCGCCCTCGTCTTGCAAGGCATAGAGGTCTTTTCTTTTCACACCGTTGTTCGTGACGCCGTAGAAAGGAGCGTCTAGATTCGCCTTCCATGTCTTCCATATCGGCTGGAAAAGATCGCTGGTGACGATCTTCTGGGAGTACGTGTAGGGGTCGCTGACGTCGAGGCCGTTGGATTGAGCCCAGTCTGCAAGCAAATAAATCAGGATCAAATCCCCCTCGCAGTTCAAAGGGGATGGGTGACAGTCCAAAGCGCAATTAGAACAAACCTCTTGCTGGTACAAATCTGTGATATTCATTCTGGGAATCGTTCGTGACAGAATCCATCTTGCTTGGAATGGAACTTAATCAAGTCTATGCGATGAACGACCTGGGTAATTAGAAGGAAGTCAAGAATCGTTTTCGCGGGGCGTGAGTAAGCACCCTGGACGGCGAATTCTGCCAAGATGCTCTAGAGCACCAGTAATAGCCATTGAGATCCGGAATGAAGTCCCTCCGGGATCATTTCCGGTAGAGACGCCGGAGCATCTTTTCCACGGAGCAAAGGACCACATGAACTAAACTGGTCAAGTGTTAGCTAAGTGCTTGGGCGGGGCGCATGTGGTTCCCCGGAACGATTCCAACCAGCATCATGCTGGTACCGTCGTCGATGACTTGACGGCCAGCCAGGTGTATCCAGAGTTATAAAATGTTACAGATGAAGTTGACCGTCTTCCTCGCGTGCTGTAATTATGTATTTGCATTCAATACAGCCGCTTTAAATTACGAATCATGGCCGCCCAACAAGACTTTAGCTCCAAGTACACCAACGCAAACCTCTCCGCGAACGCCGCACCCTACGATTCGGATCTGTTCGCCAATCTTGTCAAGCAGCTTGAGGATACGGACGGTGGGAGCATTAGCAAAGTAGCCTCGGCAATTGTAGTGAGAACCCCCCCACATTCATCCAGTGAGATCCTCTGGGACAATGATTGAGAGTTATCTCTGCAGGCAGTGGTCCTCTGCGCGCAAAAGCGCGGTGACGCCGTGGCTGGGCTCTTCAGAGATATTACCAGGATCCAGTCAGATCAGCGGAAGAAAGAATGCTTTATGTCACTCAGGCATGGCATTAGTCTTACCTGGCCATTCTTTGGACTACCCAACTCTATGCCTGCTTGTCTGGGATTAGTCAATGAACTCCGCCAAGATCACATCACTGTCCCTAGTCAAATTGATAGGTCAGTTGAGATAGTACTTGCCCAAGCATCCTCTGCTAATACGGTTGGAAATCCAGGCCTCTTCTCGGGGAGGCAGATTGGCTTGCCAAGGGATACGAAACTAACCGAGCCATCTACCACGCCGTGGGAAACGCAGAGGTCGGAAATATGATTGCTGAATATTTTCCAGAAATCTGTACGCCTGTCCTCAGCTCCATAACAATGGTCATTCAGGCAATACTGACCTGCCAATAGCATATATAGCCAACGCAGCGGTGTTTGGCTTCTTGATTGGTGGTTCTGAGAATATCCAGACGTTGCCATTGAGTGAACTGATTGTCGCAAGCGCCATCGCAGGAACAGGGGCAACACGACAGACTAAAAGTCATTTCAAGGGTTCACTAGGACTCGGGATCTCACCAGAGGCGCTGCAGGCGGTCTGGAGTGTGGTCAAAGAAGTTGCTGCTTGGAATAAATCTGCTCCGCTAGGAAAGGTTGATGTTTTAGAATTGGTAGAGGAAGTAAAAGCAAACTTGCAGTCTGCTAAATAGGCAAACACTTTTTTAGATTGGCTTGACTGAGACGTAATGCCTGTCAGTATTATAAAGATAGAAGGCCTAAGAAACGCGATGAGAGCCTAGCTAGCTAGCTTCAGGAACAGTTGCTTTGCGCCGATGAAAGAACGGTTAGACTATTATACTACCTGTGCAGAGAGTTTTGGCTGTTTCTGCTGTTTGAAGTATCATCATTGAGTATATTGTATAAAGTATACGCCTTGTATTTTAACCGCTCGTCTCACCCATTTCTTCGATTGCAAGCGACTAGTTTCAACATCTCCAGGACCTTTAATTGTCGGATGTCTTACTATTCGCCCAAATGCATGGCATACCACTTATGTAATGCCGCATGTTGTCTTTTACTAGGCAGCTAGATACCCCCGTGTGTTCCTACGCAGGAGGATGGAGTGTCTGTACAAGGACGAAACTAGCAAACATGGGCTCAAGATCGTGTTAAACACGTCTTGAAGCCCGTTCGCACGTGCTCGGTCGGCACATACCATGCCTATGTTCAGCGGGCCTTTCTCTGTCCAGAACTCCCGTTCCGCGTAGGTTCCCCGGAAAAGCCGAGCTCAGTAGAGTAGGATCCACCAGCTGGCGGACGTTACTACATCCGAGGAAACGCCCCGAGGACGATCTGCACCCCCGGATCTGTTGCGTGCTGGCTTGGGGTAGCTTGATCAAACTTCAGTCTCTGTGTCTTAGGCGAGATATGAAAAGCAGTTAGGATGGCATGGAACGCCGCTGCCAATGTCCTGTCAGGGGGCGCAATATCCATCCAACCTCAATCTCTTCTCCAGTTCACAGCTCACTCAGCAATGACAACTTCAAAGGTCCGTCAGTCAGGTCGCGCGACTTCAGCCAGTCAAACAAATCCGCCAGCTACTGTCCCCGTGGTTGTTGTCGGAGGCGGTCCTGCTGGCCTCTTTTCAGCCTATCTCCTTGCAAGGCAGGGCATCTCATCCGCCATCATCACTCGATATCCAACGAGGCTCGGTCAACCTAAAGCCCATGCTATCAATCCTCGAACTCTTGAAATCTTCAGGCAGGTGGGCCTTGACGTCAACAGGCTGCGAAGCATCGGCACATCACAAAAGGATGGGTTTTGGGTCCGCTTCAATCTAGGTCTGGCAGACCACGAGCTGGGTAAACTGCCGTATGAGCGACAGGACGATGCGGTAAAGGATGTTACTCCGGAGCCGCTTTTCAACATTTCCCAGCCTATCCTGGAAGAGTTTCTCGAGCAGGCAGCTATTTCGACTGGCCATGTCACGATCTATGCCCCTTGGGACTGGCAAGCTCTCGAAATTGACGCTGGCAAACCTGTATCTGTCATCCGAAGTCGCTTGGATTCTTCCAAAGTCCTTCAGATCACATCGGACTATATCATAGGGGCAGACGGCAGCGAGTCAACTGTTCGTTCGGCCATGGTCAACGTTCAATGGCACTCCCCAGACACGGTCGAGCGGCCAAAGCGCTTCTACTGTTCAATCCACGCATCTGGTGACCTGACCAAGGCCTACCACCACAGAGATAGGCGCGGTCAGTTATCCTTCTGCTTCCACCCGGAGCACAAGGCAGGGCTCGTCATATATCATCCAACCGAGTCCTGGGTGCACGCCCGGGTTATTAACCCTGTTCAAGAGCCTCTTGATAGTTTTACTGATGCCAGATGTGAAGAAGTGATCCGGCCCTGTGTCGGACCCGACGTGGATATCACGATCCAGTCGGTGAACCAATGGTACACTTGGGCACGAGTAGCAACCACCTACAGCGACCCAACTCACCGGGTCCATCTAGTTGGCGATGCCGCTCATTCCTTCCCTCCCCAGGGTGGCCTCGGGATCAACACGGGCATTGCTGACGTGCACAACCTGGTTTGGAAGGCGGGACTTCTTTTGCGCTCCAAGTCGGCCACGATGCCACCTTTGCTTGGTACCTATACTCAAGAACGTCGGCCAGTCGCCATTGCCAACTCTGTACAATCCGCACACAACGAAGACATTTGGGCCGAGTTCAATATGCGAGTGCACAAAGCGGTAGACCTCATCTCCAAGCACGGCGGTTCATTTGATGATGCCAAACTGAAGCAACATTTTGACCAGGATTTGGCTTTAAACAAGCAGCACTTTGATTCACTCGCCCTCCAGATTGGGTACATATACGACAATGCCCTAGACCCTACCAAAATCCGTACCGACTGTGGGTCGTACGATCCTTCGTCAGTTGTTGGCGCACGTCTACCACACGCATGGTTAGCTGACGGAAGGTCAACACTGGACTTGGTTCCTGAAAACGAGTTTGTCGTTTTCCACGCAGCGTCGAGCTACGCAGAAACTACCTACCAGTTCGGTGCCAGTCAGATTACTGTAAGATCTGTAGACGTGGTCAAAGCTGGGGCGCCCAAGTCATGGTTAGATATCATGAGGCTAGAAAGCGATGGTGCTGTTGTTGTGCGACCTGACCAGCACATACTCGCTCATGTCAGGGGCGTGAATGGAGCATTGGCGGCTATTGATCAATATCTCAAGGGTATCTGCTAGACTTTGTTTGGGGTTGTGTGAAGGTGCATAAAGCTGTCGTCCTTTCTTCACTTTAGCTGACCAGACCTCGCAGTGTTACTCAAATAGAAATATTAAGTGTGCTAGATCCAATAACTGTTTCCGCCATGCTCTTAACACTGTAACGTAGTTACCATGGTTGAGCACATTGTGCTACTGGACATGTTACTACTGCGTCCATTCTACTCATTTCGTCCTTCCCAGTCTGCTACCCTATACCTCACGTGTATGGAAATAGATTTCAACAGCAATGACGAGGCAATGCCAAATATCTCAATTACTAAAATATTTCCGAGCAGTGGATTGTGCCATATTACATCTGTGTGTCAGGTTGAAACAGTTGACATTAGCTATTGTCGTCCTCGAGATTCAGTCTAACCACAGGTCGAAGCATACAGGAGTTCATAGCTGAGTTAAAGTCTGTTGCAGGCCCATGGGGCAAAAGTCTATTGAGAGAAATTAAGATGGTCTAGTCTATGGGTGTTTCTATAATTTAGCTTAAGTTGCGGAGTAGGACTCTAGCATTGGCCCATGGCATACAGTACCACAAGTATCCGTATGCATCGCCATTCACATGCTACTCGCTGCTCACTGCTCCCTTTTTGGACGACAGACAAGAAAAGAAGGGACACTGACACGAGGCAATGTCTCGGTGTCTGGTGGAATTAGATCCTGACCATCTCGACCAGACCGAATCCGCGCTTCTGGCCAAGAAAACTGCCAGTCACAGTGATGAAGCCCTCGTACGCAGAATCAGAGTTGGTCATGGGTCCGTACATCTCTTGGTCATCACGGATAGACTTGACCACCAGATGGTCGCCGTTCTCAAAGTTGAGCTTCCAGGCCAGAGGGTAGACAATGCCGGACTTTGGCGAAGTCCACACATTGGACGCGTCAGGGGTCAAGGTGTATCCCATCACCGTGTTGCCGGTATCGCGACGAATAGTAACGAAATTGGCCGTGTCTTTGGAAGGCTCGGTAGAGTCATACGCCCAGACGCTCGCCTTGATATCGGTTCCGGGGAAGTTGAGCTGGAACCAAGTCCAATTCTGAGGGGAACCGTAGGAAAGCTGGCGGTCGTACCAGCTGAAAGAGTTCTTTGTATCCACAGCAACTGTCTTGCCGTCAAGGGTGAGGGTGCCGGTCGTCTTGGCCGCGGGGACTCCCCATTCGGTTGCGTTACGCGGCTTGGGTCCGAACGGAATGATACCAGAACCACCGTTGAATACAATCTTGCTCGTAGCTTCCCAGGTCAAGTCGAAAGAGAAAGAGGCATTGGTGGTGACCCAAGCGTTCATCTTGGACACATTATCGTCGGCGAGGGCCCGGAAACCATAAGTGTCAAAGTCTGCGTCCAGAGGAACAGAGCTGTCACTCAGCTTGTTGCCGACCCTCTCACAGTACTCGAGGTGAACCCAATACTTGAGGGCATCCAAGTCGAGAACAGATGATCGGCAGAGGTCATGCCAAGGAGTCATGACATGAGAAAGCGCCAGATACTGTTTGCCTTCTTCGCTGGTGATGTAGGAGCTTACCCACCAAGAAGTGCCGGTGGGGTCATCGTACTGGCTGTGAGTAAGATCGACGAGTGATGGAACGCGAGGCTTTTATCAGTTAGCAACGTAATACCAAAACGACAAATTACAAGGAGGTCAAAAGAAGACCGAAAAAAAAAGACGACGCCGTGGATCGTGCCAAAGGTTCACGTACATCTTGATACACAGTCGACTTTTCCGGCTTGAAGGTGTATTTGGCGCGAGCCAACACCGACGACACCAGGGTGGCAGAGAAAAGAATATGGGGCGCAAGTCTGACCATGATGGCTGGAAGTGTGAGAGGCAGTATCGAAGAGAGATGTAGGTATTGAAGAGGATACTGGTGTAGGACAGTTGTGAGTTGAAGCAATCGTATTGCTACTTATACTACACAATTCTAGCCGGGCTGGTTCATCGGGCATGCAAGCAACCTGATGTTCCGTGGAAACCAGGGTATTTCGAAGCCTGTATCCGCAGTGATGCTCCGACTCTCAGAGATCCGCATTAAGGTAAGGTAAGGACAGTCTCCGCTGACTCATCATGGTCTGGCGCCATGTGGCATGGTCCCGGGTTGTCGGTGACGCGAAACTTGTTTGTTAACCGAGTCATTCCAGTTCAACTGGGCTAGGGTTTCGTCTAGAGAACACCGTCTGGTTCGTCATCCGCTCGGAATATTCCGACCCAGCAAAAGGGCCTTCGTAGTCTAAGTAAGCGGCTGAGGGGTTTGACAGGCCCGCTTGCCTGGGTTGTCTGCTCCCGCCTTTGAGGCCTCGCCGAACCAGCATTACTTCCGCATTGTCCTAGCTATGAACTATTGAACTTTAATCTCCAACTACTATGCTTAGCTGGTAGTAAGGAGTGCGTAACACATATATCTCATGCCATCAGCTGCAGCCCGGTGATTAGGGGCTATTGGGCAATTTGTCCGGGTCCGGGCTATTTTGATGACAAAGACCTGTTACCACCAGCTGATAGATACGGTCCGATGAGCCCATATGGTGAGAATAATAACCCGGTATCCGTAGAGAGTCTTGTTTCCTGGCAGTGATGAGGAAACCCGTGCGCTGTTTTGCACGCGGACACAACAATACCGTAGAATCTCGAAAAATTCGTCCCTGGCTGTGGAGCCTCTGGTGGGCCAGATCCACCACCACTGTTTTTAATCAGCAATAAGAACAGGGATGCCATCCAACCTCCTCCCTCCACGCTCCTCGTGTGAGAGAATCGACAAGGGGACGGGCCCACCAGAGGCTCCACAGCCAGGGACGAATTTTTCGAGATTCTACGGTATCATCTCATCCGCTTACTCAGCTAGCTAATGACATCCCCCTGGTCTCTCTCTTCTCTTTTAGGTCAAAGATGGGCCACTGACCCCCCCTGGGGCCCACCCGCGCTGTGACGTCAAGTAGCGACCCTCTAGGATGATTCCGCGCCAGTTGTCCAAGAATCCATGCATTCATGGGTCTTCCGATACCTCAAGCAGTCACTGTGCCGATCAGACACTCTCAAGCAATACCGATTTCCTCATCAGGTTGATAATTGATTCTACCAAATAAGGGATTTCCCGGTGATCTGCCGGATCTGGTGATCCGCCGGATCACCGCCACTTCGCACACTCAACATCAATCGACAATTACTCAACAACCATGGCGCCGATTGATGAGGCCCTTGATTTCCTGAAATCGTCGGAATCAGTTAATTATGCTGAGACTGCACGGCGTTTCAATTGCGACGAGACGACCTTGCGACGCCGACATCAAGGCAAACAGCGGTCAAGACGAGATGCCGACAGTTTGTATAAGTCACGTCTGTCAAAACAACAAGAACGGGATCTTATCGCTTATATTCATAAGCTTTCATCGCGTGGCATTCCCCCTACCTTACCTATGATAAAGAACTTCGCCCAGGATATCGCCAAAATCGAGGTCGGAAAGGACTGGCCGTACAGCTTCGTTCGACGCAATCGTGATGAGTTAGGTTGTACATGGTTCGACGGGTTGGACATCGCGCGAAAGAGAGCCGATAATGCCTCTAGGTATAGGGCTTATTTTGAGCTTGTAAGCCAATGCACGAAGCTTCCCTTTCACAACTGACAGTGGAAGATCCGCACAAAAATCGAGAAATACAACATCCTACCCTGCAACACGTATAACGCGGATGAGAAAGGATTTCTCTTGGGTGTGATCAATCGAACGAAGAGAGTATTTTCCATTAACGTCAAAAAGCAAGGCAAATTGCTCGGTGCGTCGCAAGATGGTAATCGATCTTGGATTACGTTCCTGGCGTGCATCAGCCAGGACATGACATCGCTGCCCCCATTCCTCATCTATCAAGGCAAACCAGGACAAGTCCAGGACTCTTGGCTCAATGAATTTGACCCAGAACATCAATCAGCCTTCTTTACCACCTCAGAAACGGGGTGGACAAATCACGAGCTTGGAAAAGAGTGGCTCGTCGGTGTTTTCGATCGCTTTACTAAGGCAAAAGCTCGAAACGGTCGTGATTATCGCCTTCTCATTACCGACGGCCACTCTAGCCATGTTAATATGGACTTTCTGGAGTGGTGTGACCAGCACCGGATTATCGTTGCGGTGTTTCCCCCCCATTCCACGCATCGGCTGCAACCCTTGGACGTGTCGCTATTCAGCCCCCTTTCGACCGCATACTCAAATCAGCTTATCCAGTGGACAGCAAAAACACAAGGCCTTATTGGCCTATCGAAACGTGAGTTCTGGACTTTATTTTGGAACGCATTTGAGACTTCCTTCTCTTCCGAGAACATTGCGAGTGGGTGGAAACGGACTGGTCTCCTGCCTTTTGACCCAGAAGTGGTCCTATCGCAGATCACTGAGAAAAAAGATGATGATTCGAATACGGGTAGCGACTCGGCAGAATCACTAGCCCTTCAGCAACCTACGGCCCGAGATTTACGCCGACTTATTGACAAAGTAGTCGACAAATCCTCTATCGATGCTGACCGCAACAGCCGAAAGCTGAAGAACACCCTCGAAAGCCTGCAATCTGAGGTTGAACTGCTTCGATATGAGAATCAAGGACTCCGCGAGACAATTAGCCAAGAAAAGAAGCGCAGACAGCGCGGTAAAGCTCTGAAAGATCTGCTCTTTGATCGTACAGATCCAAATTCAGCTCAGGTGTTTAGCCCAGCAAAAGTCGCTCAAGCCCGCCTAAAGAAAGCGGCGATGGACGCCCAAAAGAAAGAGGAGGTTCTGCAGAAGGAATCGCAAAAGGCTCAGCGACAGCAGAAGGCGGCGGAGCAAAAAGCTCTCGCTCTGGAGAAGAGGAGGCAACGAGAGGCGGAAATAGAGAGAAAACGGCAGGTAAGGGAGGCCAGGCAGCAAGAGAAGGAGACCAATCGACAGATTCGACAAGAACTTAAGCGTCGCAATCTGGAAATGGCACATGAAATGCAACATGAACGACGGGTGGCTTCTGAAGGCCGCGAGAAGAGTCCGGACGTTCGAGACGAGATAATCGTCGCTCTTCCACTCATACCAGAGCCGCCGGTAGCATCACAGGCCCTAGATCTACCAAAAGACAACCGAAAAGGGAAGGCAGCGACCACTCCAATCCGTACCGCTCGTCCGAAAAGACCCTGTCTAGCTGTTGAGAGTGATCGGGAGATGGTAGTCGCATTTCGGGGTACCGGGCGGCCGCAGCGGAATAGCAAGCGACCACGATGGCTTGATGACTGCGAAATAGACTGAGACATATCTTATAGTTGCATTTTCATTATGTGTTTAATTTTGGAAGATTTGGGACTGCGGCTGTGGAGCTATTATAGATTGATGTCTGGAATGCAAGTAGGTGTAAGTCCGGCGAATCACCAGATCCGGCAGATCACCGGGAAATCCCTTAATACATGTTGTATCTTTTCTGGCTGTTTGTTGGCAGCATCTCTCTAAGTCCCTCTGGCCGGATTGACGTCTCTTCCTCTGGGAACCCGAACAGACATACAAGTATTCTCCATCTCCTTCTTGCGCTTCTGTATGAGGGAAGTCGATATTCTCTAGTCTATCTAATTCAAGCTAAGCTGCCGACCTCTCCGCAAGCCCTCGCCAACTGCCTGATGCCTAAGTTGGGTATTTCAACCTGATCCAATTTAACAGCTATAAAAATCAAGATCTACTCCACCATACACTTCACGCCTCGCTCCTGGCTGGGGTAGGGGCGACCGCCACTTAACTCGTAGTTACTACTTAATACTTAGAAGGATCCTGGTGGGACTACCTCGACTACTCCATAGCCAGTCACTGGCTGGCGGCCTCCATAAATGCCCTTTACCTCGATATATCCACCGTAAGCTGGAAATTCGCCTTCCGGGGAAACAAGCTCTTGGTCTTCCCTGACGCTCGACAGCTCGAGCTTTGTGCCATCCACCATGACCAAAGTCCAGTCAAGTGGATACACATTGCCTGACAGCTTGGAAGTGTATGTCCGGTTCGATGGCTCCAGAGAGACAATAGGAACCACCTTCTGTATGCCTCCATCTTCTCTGATGGTCGCGAATCCTTTCACTCCGTCCTTCGCTTTCCACCACCAGACAGACATGGGGATGTCGGTAGTGCCGGAGTTGAGGTGCAGTTGGAACCATGTCCAATCGAAAGGCGCTACTCCCCACTGTCGATCGTACCACGTCAAGGACTTGTCAGCATCGACAGTGACCTTGGCTCCGTCAATGACAATGTGACCCGAAACCACCTTTCCTGCCGGCATACTCCACTGGTTGACGGCTGGCACAGGCCCAGGCGGGGCATTCGGCAAAGGTCCAGTGAATCCTTGGAAGTGGCCAAGGCCGCCGTTGAGAATGGCGGGCGAAGATAGCGAAAATGTCAAATCGAACTCGGCACCTGGAACCGAGCTCCATGTGCGAATGTCTGACAAGGGGTCCTTGGGGTTCGTAGCTCTAAATCCGTAATCCGCGTACTGCGCGTCGAGACTGCCGCTGCTAGCAAAGGCCTTTGGGTCATGAGCAAAAAATTCGAACATTTTGTATCGCGATGGATCCGTGATGTCGAGAATCGACGCACGATACACTGTTTTTTCTTTGGGCCAGAAGGGCAGCGGCGCCATGACGTGGGAAAGAACAAGGTAGTCGTGGTTGTCAGACCCGTGGAGGAAGGCAGATGCCCAGAAAGAGCCCTCGACAGGGGATTCATGAGATTTGGCGAAGTCAACCGTGGCTGGAAGGGTCTGTTTCACATCTTCATATCAGCCTGTTGCATCCAACAGCACGGGCAGGACAGTACTAAGTTACCTCGGAGCCCAAACCGCCAGTCTCAGGGCGAAATTGTACCATTGTGGATAGTGAATGAAAAGGTGTGGGTGGGGTGGAAGCTGTATTGAACTGGTTGAGAGGGAAACTAAATGAGCAACGATGGGTTCTGCAACAAATCTAGGAGATGTGGCCGAGATGCGATTTAGTATTAGTACTTTTCATGCAGTAGCAAGGCCCTTGAAAGGCTCCACGGACCAAAACAGACACAATCCTCCATGGCCGGAAGAGGCGTGACGTGACGTCCAACGAACGGTCCAAGTGACGTCTCAAACATGAAGCCAGTTCAATTGTCTTTGGTCATGCCGACAAATGACAATGGGCCTCCATCCTTGGCTCCGTGGATGATGGCTTGTTCCATGGATCCCCGGAACGGAGCGGCTATGTAGCCCTGGAACGCCATTGCTCGGACCTAGAAAGTCTATGCAAGTCTCGGCTAGTGTCATGAGAGACCGAGCGAACGCGCGTCAATGCGATGTGGACAAACTTTACCTTGCCTAGCATGAGCTATAAATTCGCTGGATAGACACTGGAAGTCTGCCGTCTCTCGTCGCTCCATCAAGTCCTTCACTTCACCCCATCCCCATCCTCATTTCTCTATCTTACTCCTATAGCAAAATGTCAGCCTTCAAGAAGATCCCGAAGAGCATCTTGATCTTCGGGGCAGCCGGCCATGTCGGCCGTCCTCTCGCTGAGTTCTTGACTCGCGAGTCGCCTGCGACTACACTACACCTTGCGACAAGCAGTCCCGGGAAGCGAGAGCTACTTCAGCGTGCATTTCCTAACGCACATGTCGTCGATGCAGACTACAGTGACACTGCATCCCTCTCGCGCGCGCTCAAAGATATCGAAGGCGTCTTCGTTATCACACCAGGCGGCATGTCTGAAGCACCAGCAATGACCAATCTTGTATCCGCTCTCAAGGGGCAAACCAGCCTCATCCAAGTGATCCGCCTGGTTGGAGTTTTCCCAGAGCTGGCCCCGAGCCGAGTTCCGAGTAAATTGGGCCCAGGGAGTCTGCCCTACGAGCACCCCATCGCGAAACGCATTCTTGATGAAAGTGGCCTTCCAGTTACTTACATCAACTCTGGAGCTTCTTTCATTGACAACTTATGGCAGCAAATGGCGCCCGTCTTGTCGTCAAAGACCTTCATTTGGCCAGAACATCGGGTGCCTTTTATTGACCCTCGGGATATTGGTGAAGTTGCTGGGAGACTGTTCCTGTCAGATAATGCAAAACACATTGGCGCATTCCATACAATGAACAACGGTCAGGACTGGTTGACATTCCAAGAGGTTACTGGCATCCTCAGCGAGGTATTGGGAGAAGAAATCAGGTACGATGGAAGCTACGAAGCCTTTTCTGAGTTCTACGGTCCAAAGATGGGACCGCTCTCGGACCTCCTATGGAACTTCTTCAAGTTTGAGGAAGCAAATGAAGTCAACTGGGCTTTGAACAATTTTGTTGAGAGAACACTCGGGCGAAAGCCTACGAGCGTGAGGGATTGGATTGTAGAACATAAAGACAAACTTATGAAAAGATAGACAAATACAAGAGATGCTAGAGGGCCGGAATCCCAGTAGGCAAAGCTATGAGGCAAAGTGGGCGGGCTCACTTTGCTTCCAGCCGCCTTGCCACCTTTGGGGCTTTGGGCGAAGAAAGCCGCGCAGAAACTCCAACCTCAAGAGAGGGGTGCTAGAGATAAATTGGACCTTGAATGTGTACTTCAGAGATAGCTCAAACCAATATATCCCTTTCTTGTCTACTCATGGCAACCCCACATTATCTTCATGTTTTACGAGCTAGGAGGAGAGCCTCAGCGATGACAAAGTCACTTGACCAACTATTAGTACCAAATTCTCCAGCTTCAACGCTGCTGCTCCTTGTCGCTTGTTTTTGGCCAGTTAAAAAAAACCATACTTAACGTGCTATAGCGCTACTTCAATGGCTCCAAATCGTTGACCTGTGGGATACCCTCGTATCATCGAGGCTGAGAGGGGCGATTGTGTAGAGGGAGAAAGTGACATACAAGGACCAGAAGAGCGTGGCGGGGGGGAGCTTCAAGATGAGATATGATAGAAATACAGCTGATGCACCGGAAGCACCTTTCAATCAGATATTCAGCATGACTTTTGCTATGACTAGGCGAAAGAGTTAGAGCACTACGATACCAGTGCGGACTTGGCAAGACTGGAGCAGAAGAAGTCTGGTAAATATTGCCTAATAATACGATAGACAAGGCTAGTTATGCGAGTATTTGTAGTCAAACTAAACTTTTTGAAGCACAGCGCTGGCTATCTGCATGCTCTATTGAAATCTTGCCAGTCTGGGTACACATACTGGGAAGTGTCCGCCTCAGGAACATGTGGATTGACCAGATCGTAGAAAATCCTATAGCCGTCGCCGTTCAAGTGTAATCCATCGGTAAAGAACTGATTCAGTTGCCTTCCAGATAGATCCACTTCGTCGAGCACAGCTTTCCATAGATCAATAAGAACCACCCCAGGGTTTTCCTTTGCAATTTCCCGAACTGCTTCAGCGTACAAGGTCGTGTGATTTACAGACCGGGGCTCATGGCCAAGCTCGTTGACGGTTGTTTCATCAACAGGAGGCGGTGTGACTAGGAGAATTGTAGGTGCGTGAGATCTGATGTGTGCGTGGTTGATGATGCGTGTCAAATTGTCTTTGTATTGGGTAACGGGTACATCCCTCGTTGACGCAGGATGGGTGATAATAGCGTCGTTGGCACCAAGCAAAACGATCTATGCTAATCAGTTCAACTGTCCTAGCAAGTCGCTCCAACTTCACCTACCAGATAATCCAGTTTCGGCAACAGAGCATTGGGCTCGGGTATTATCTTGGGCAGATACTCGAGAGCATTCTGAGTGTTCCAACCCGCAAGCCCGCGGTTTACCACATCAAGGTGTCGAATCAAGCCTGCGAAGTGATTAGGGCGAAGTAGACAGCAGTGGATTGTAAACAACGTACGAGCTTGGAGCGCGGCTTGGAAGGAAAATCCACTTTGGACGGACGTCAATTGACCCTTGCAACAAAGCGTCGCCAAATAGCACAAGCTGATGGTAAGGCGCCTGGCGTTGATTAGCATTGCGATACCAGAACGGTTATGGGTAGCTTACAGCCATTATTCCATCAAATTGCTAGATGTTTGGGTAAGCTAGCAGTCAAAACATTCCTTCTAAGTTTTATTTCAGCGCTTTTCTTATACCAGTCATTGGACACTTTATGTGAGTCATAACAGATGGCGCCATTTTAGCATCGAGTGCGTTATTGCCTACGGTAGTGATATAACGAATTATCTTACGTTTCTTAAGTATTCCCACATCATGATTTCGTTCTAAACCTCTGGAGTAAATTCCTCTGATGACGTTGTTCACCCCTCGATACATCGGACGTTACATCCTGTCTTTTTTGGATGGGCTTACCCTGGCGGTTCCGGTGGCGCGCACTACATGAAAGTCTCTCGAGTTTATACAGAAGCCAGGGTTCCCTTCGATGCCATAGAAGCCTACGTGAGGCCTTGGATAGGGCGATGAGGGTGATTTCCAACCCAATGCTTACTCTCATCGTTTGATGCTGCGCCCTGAAAGACACCTTCATCCCATCGGAGAATAAATAGTGGTCCGCAGAGCAGCCAAGTCAACACCGCGGTCGTGTTCCGCTAAACAGCACTATACTAGCCATGAATAACACTTCTTGCGTTCCCAGACGTACGTTGATTTAAGCAGGCCACGCTCATTCTCTTCAGACGGCCACTAGCTTGTGACGGAGGATGTCCAGAGTGACATAATATGCCTCAACAAGCTAGAGTATCCAGGCCCCTAGAAACAGAAGACCTTACACTACCGTTCCGCTGCCTCCAAAGTGTCATCAAGTTTTATGAAGCGTACAATATACAATTGACCAGGGGGCAGGGGAAGAAATCAGGTTTCTATTTGGGACACGAAAGATTTCCACCCTGACACCTGGGGAAAGAGGTCAGAGCTGAAGACTCGGGATAAGTCGATGACAATTTACGACTATTCGTCAAACAGTCAACAGATTCCATTGTCATCTTTCAGCCTTTGTCCTAATTAACGAGCTCCAACATCCACAGGTTATGTACTTGCGATTTTCGCTTTCAATCGCTGCAGCCAGCTAAGAGAAAAGCGGGGTGAGCTCTGTTCTTTGGTCTCTATTCGTATATGTCCCCTTTCTCAGTTCTAATGCCAGCCATCGGTTCATCTTTAAGACAAGGTTTACCTAGACCTACCCGTGGATTGAGTCATTATTCAACGTTCCGATCTCCTCAACTTCTCTCATTAGCATGGGAGGGGCAGCCACGTTAGCAATATCTGCTTAGTCAAGTCCTCGGATGTGGTTACCCTGAGGGTTGTGAGGAGGAACCATAATCGACCCCGGGAAAAATTCGAAGCACGTGTTTCGGTGTATGGTTACTCCACCTCCGAAGATTTGTTTACATGCTCGCGTTTTGGCCAGTGGCACCCGACTTCGTCCTCTTATCTTCGCGCCTCTCTTTCCAGACCTCTCGTTCAAACTCTGCCTATTGTCCTGGTGAATCAAGATGGACGCCAATTCGACAAGTCAGTCTTGGTGCTCGAAATGTAATGCATTTCGTGATTCCGGGAGCTTCGAGAGGAACAAATCCGGCAAAATAAAGAAGCTGTGCAACCGGCACGGGAAAAAGAGAATCCCGTTTGATGACTGGGACATTTTCGAGAAGCAATTACGCGATTGGAATTGCCCAGTAAGCTATTCATTCAATTGCCTGTTCTCCTATTAACATTTTGCAGAACCAAAAACTCCCTCTGAACCTCGAATGTACCTTCGACATTGATAGTCTACCTATTGCATTTGGTTCCCTCGAAGACGACGGCACGTTTGATCGGACTAAAATAAACAACATAATCAGTAAACTTGCCGAGATAATTTGGGAGAAAGGTGGTTTTCGATTTTGGCACCGAAAGACATACTGGGCCGATCGTGCGTGGATTTATTTCTGTTCCCAAGATGAAGAGCGTGTTCGGGAATCTGTAGCCCAAGGGAAACGCGATACGCCACGAATGGCACGGTTCCCATGCAAAAGCCGCCTAACGTTTAAGCCGGCGCTTGGGGATCGTACATTGGCCGTCAATCTGCAACATATATACCATACGCCATATACAGATCGCCAGCTTTCTCCGGCAGTGGTCGAGTTCATCCAGGCACGAAACGCTATTGCTACTCCTGGTGAGATATATCGAAATTTGCAAACGTCACAGCCGTTAGGGTGGCAATCCGCAACTCCATCTCAGGTCTATTACCTATGGCAACAATCGAACTCAAGCATATGGCGTCGCGACCAAGATCCTTTGGCTTCAGCCCAAATTTTGCTATCGGAGCACCAAGAATGTACTTCATCTTTGTATTTTTCAGAGAATTTACGTGCAATAGCATTCTACGTTTCGGATGCTATCCGTATTCTGGCTTCTCGTGCGAAAGAATTGGCTATAGATGCAACTTTTGGGACGAACAACATGGGCATGGACTTATTTGCGGTCTTGGCGGAGGTTGATGGCACAGGGGTGCCATTAGCTTATTGCTTTACGGAGCTCTTCAAGGACAACGATCGAGGCGTTCGCCGTGCAAAGCCAGGGGCATCGACGGGTATTCTGGAACAATTTTTACGACCACTTCAAACTTCTGGATTTGATCCGACCTTCTTTGGGACTGATAAGGACAGTTCTGAGATCTCGGCAATACGCCAGGTATGGCCAGGGACGACAATCCAGCTTTGTTGTTGGCACGCGCGGCGGGCCGTCCGTACGAAACTCACTTCTACTCGTCAAACCGATTCCCAGGGGGACTACAAACCCGAAGAAGCCCAAGCAGTGATTCCGGACTTAGAAATCTGCTGGGGTTCAATGCCAACACGTCGTCCAAATGGACCTCATCGATATGGTCGATGTACTTGCCCCTCGAAATCAACGGATATTGTTTCCTCTGGTCGAGTAGAAACATCAACCAGCGACGAACAGGATACCGTCCTCGAGATCTTTACTCGCCACTATAATTCCCACCCATTCATCCCCGATCAAAATGGTACTTTCCGATCTGCAGAGGAAATTCATCGTCTCAGTGCTTCGGAAATGTATTATTGGTGTAGGAAGCGGAATTACTTTCGTTTATGGGCCTATCTTTGGGTCAATTGGTATCACTCAAGCCAATGGGTTTTGTGGGCGAGATCAGTCAATGAGAAGGAAATTCCGGTCCTCAAAACGACAATGATTGTTGAATCGCATTGGCGAAAAATTAAACACGATTACCTCCATCGTTTTAATCGGCCTCGAATCGACCTTGTCGTCTGGGTACTTCTTTCATGATTGATCCCCAGTGCCATGATACGGATGCGAGCTCTCCTTCAACACGATCATCGACAAGCAACAGCATCGTGGAGGAAGGACTTCAAAAGAGAATGGAAAAAGGTAAATGGACGCCTAACCGACCGAACTCGCATTCAGCACTATCACACCGACCCTGCACGATGGACGTGTGCATGCCCTTCTTTCTTAGACTCGCGTTTTTTACTCTGCAAACATATTCTCTCTTGTTATGAGCCGGTTTCCGATCGCGTTGACTTCTTTCGATCTATTCAAAGACGCCGAGAACCCCCGTTTTGGACTCATGCACAGTTAGTTTTACAGCCTCAATATCAGCCATTGCAAGCTGATACTAAGGCTGATGAAACAAACGATGTTGACATGGACGGCGCTGTTAGCATTGACTCAGATGAAGATTTTGATCCTGCAATAGTTGAGCAGGATCAACTGGTTGAGCTCGAAGAGGAAGGGGAGGACGTCGAAGTAGATGGCAATAAGTTTGCTTCAAATATGCAGTTCGCTCTAGATGTATTTCGAGAACAACAAGCGAAAGGGAACGAGAAGTTCGTGCAAAAATTCATGGCGATGTATGGATCGATTGAGACTCTCGTCGAGGAAGTCAAGGCGCTTGAAAACCGACGCACAATGCGTCGGACTTGGGATACTTGGAAACACCCTTTAACAATGTATCATAATTGACAACAGACGCGGGTTAGAGGCATAGATTGACTTGGCGCAAAGATTGACTTGGTGCAAAAACGAACTTGGCGCGAAAATGAACTTGGGTTGCCTGGAAAAATATTTACCCGCCAAAAGTTCACGTGCTCGAATTTTTCCCGGGGACGATTATGGACGGTCCATCCGATCGGGTGGTCACGTGGTGACCTCCAGGGTCGAGACCGCCTATTGGGACAGATACCTCAGGACCCCACTTTTAGTCGACAGACATACACTCAAGCGATGACAATAGGGGCAACGGGGAGAGGACAGAGAATACACACGATCAAGTCATCTGAAGTGCCACGCGAGCTTTCCGACAGTAGTTTACTATGCAAGTCGGCGATCTCGACGACCATCAACAGAGTCCGTTGCGGCGTTACATGTTCTATTGTGGAATAGTCCAACTCACGGGTTGAGCGTTACATCTACTAATATGGTTAGTCCATTTGAACTAGCGAAGTTTAGCCGCACTACCCTGCTTGGAGGCACCGGCATTTGCATTTGATTGAGGATGTTGAAATGAGCAGGAAGCTATTGATAAAAGGACATCCACATCCCAGCCACCAATGGATCGGAATAACCATTGATCCGTCAAACAACGGATCTCAACAATTCAAGCCTTCCACGTCAGAAAAGCCAGCTAGAAGAAACGCACAACCACATCGGGGAAAAATGCTCGAGTCCCGCCGATATGGCGAATGCCGCTTACGGATACTACGCTAGTCTATTCTGCTGATTAACAGGGCCTAGGCTTACACATGGCCAATGATTCATGCGATCAAGCGTCACCGAGGAAACAGAAGATGACATTACCCTAGAGTTGTCGGCATCGGCATCCGTTCCGCTAACGAACCAAAGAAATACAGCCCATTGGCCAGATCCGAGCTCGCGTTAACGGCATTTGGTATTGCAAGACACAATGTTTCGTGAAAAACCTCATGCGGCGTACGGACCATCGCCCCCGTCCCGACGAAGAGCCGCTTAGTCACGTACTCCATCCATTCCATTCGTCGATACGGAGAAGCCCGAGAAGCTAAGCCCTAAACATGAAGCCAGGATCTTCATCCGGAAGCCGGGCCTTCTCCCGCGCGCGAAAGGCGACGGCGTCATGACTCTACCGAGATTTGCATCTTGTACGATGACGGCTTGGCGGATCCCATCACAGTCCGACGGTGAAGGACCGGACTCCGATATCATCAAGTACATAATGATCTCATTCCACCTCTTGTAGCTGTGTCTCGATCCCAACTCTCAACCGCCCTGACCTTGACTCTCGATACGAGCCAGACAAAACCATCAATAAAAACGAAAATGTCATCCCTACCACCACGATCACTCAACCGATATCCCGCCCAGTCCACCGTCTGGGCTGGAAAATGGAAGCTCTACATCATCCCAATCATCATGAGCGGCTTCCTGCTGCAGATTCTCTTCCTCGGCAATATGTCATACCTCTACGGCGCCCTGTTCAAATCCGGCTCACGGATGCACAATCTCAAGATCCTAGCCGTCGACTATGACGGTGGTGATGTTGGCCGAGCGCTGTCGGGAGCTTACAGCAACCTGAAGTCTGATGAGTTTCCTACCGTTGAGTTTGCATCCTCATCAGAGTACCCGACTTCCGATACACTGCGCGAGGCCGTCTGTAAGCATGGCTACTGGGGCGCCGTCTATACGAACTCCGGCGCGACCGACAAGGTTCTGGCTGCTATCGAAGGCGACAACACAACAACTTATGATGCCAGCGGCGCTATGACCTACATATACAACGGTATTTACTATCCGGCTATTGTCGCATCAGTTCGAGGAAGCCTGCAGTCTCTTGTCACCGTCACATCCAAGGTCTTCCCCCTTATATCGTCGGACGCCATGGCGGCAGTCAACATAACCAACCCGGCATCAGCTGCTACCTTTCTTAGCCCCATCGACGCGACCGTCTCGGATATCATGCCAACCTCGCAGGGAGTCCGAGTCCTCCTCAATACCGTCTCCCTAGTCATGCCGATCCTTATGCAATTCTTCTTCATCATGGGCGTGAACGCTATCACCGCCAATGCCAAGGTGCTCGACACGCAATCCAAACGTGATGTTTACATCTTCCGACTCTGCGCCAGCAAGATCTACGGCTGCATTTCTTCTTTATGCATGGCTGGTTACATCTGGGCCTTCCGCGAGAGCTGGGGCGTCACGGCCGGACAGTTCTTTGAGACGTGGATGTGCCTCTGGTTCTACATGGACATCAACTACATGGTCGTCGATACAATGATCGGAACCATTATTCCTATGTCATTTTTTGCCTACTTCTTCCTGACCTGGGTCATCTTAAACATCGCCACCGTTGTTTACCCCTTTGATCTCACACCAGGCTTCTACCACTGGGGATGGGCCTTGCCCGCGCACAGCGTCTGGCTCCTGCTGGTCAGCATCTGGTCCAACGGCTGCCGGGTGCAACTAGACGTGACGCTCCCTATTCTGTTTGCCTGGTGGTTCGTCGGCCACTTCACCAGCGCTTGGTCGGTCCGCAAGAGGTGCTTGATGGCCGAGGCTGAGAGCGAGCAAGCCAACAAAGACGAGAAGTTCACTCAATACAACACCGAGCAGAGCCAGCAGTATGTGCTTGAGACGGTCTCATCGCGGGCCTCGAACCAGGGAAACAACGATCGGACTTCCGATAACTACGACGTCGAGGCGAACCGTCTTGGTGTAAGTCAGCCCGAGGGCAGCGATAGTCGGACTGTCGTCGACGCGCCAGCGCCATCACAGGATGTTGATGCTGCAAAGGAGCAGAGGCAATGAGAACGTTCGAGACTGGAGAGAGAAGAGTAATGGAGACAACTAATCTGGCGTTTGCCGTATTTCAAAGGCACTGGTTTAGACTTGAGGTTATAGACAAGACATGGTATCACCTCGATTTTGGACTGGTACGTGAGGAGAACCCAAAGATGCATCATTAATCATTCCAACCTAATGATAATAATAAATCATTATTCAGCCGAAGGCTGTCTCTACATTAATCCATGCCTTTCGGTACGAAGGTCTTCTTAAGCTCTGGGATTTTTCACCCCCAAAATCCCACACACCCCCTCATTTCCCGATTCGGAAGCGCAACTGCACCTCTTGTTGGCCCGGATTAATACCACACCCGGGTCCCTCTAATGGTCCTAATCCTCCCACTCTCATTTGGCACATGTGGATGAACTTCGAATTCACTCCCCCCCGAGATCAAGTGTAAAGAAGTCTTCATTGGCTGGGATTTTTCTGTTAAGAATCATGTGGGATTCACGTGAGCTTTTAATTTATAATAATGTCGTTGCTCTTGTCGTTTGCATTTTGTGAGATTCCTGCTTCTGCTTGAGTTAGGTGAAATCTATTAACGTGGTTCACAAGCGAGCGAACCATCCAAGCGAGCGAACCACTTTCCTTAGCTTATCCTACACTTCGTCTTTAATTCTTATTTCTTCCACCACAACAAATGGAATCTGGATCAAAAGAGGCCAGGTTACTCCTAGCCCTTCAGGCTATGAGGCAAGATGAAAAACTCAGTATCCGACAAGCTGCTAAACTCTACGACGTTGATCGCACAATGTCACATGTATCGGGATATCGGATTTCTGCGGTTGTAACGGAAGTGAAGCTTTCCTTCTGTCATCATAGGCGTCCATCGCCACTTGCCTCGTCACCGGCCTCATCATCAGATAAGCCCTAGCCCTAGCTTTTCCTTGATTTCATCTATAGCTAGTTGAAGCCAAAGACTCCGAAGGATCCGGAGCCTCTCGGCTGTCCGAGGTCATCCGAGGTCATCATCAGTCTCTTCGTCTATAAGACTGACCCAAAGACCCTCATTAGATAGGAAGAATATCAAGAGCTTCTTGCACATATGATCATTTCCATCTGCTAGATGCAACACACAACCCTGCGCAGCAGAATGAACGGACGGCGCGCTCGACGCGATACTCGCGCTAATTCTACGAAATTGACGCTCCTCGAAGAGGAGACTCTAGTTAAGTTCATCTTGGACCTAGGGTCGCGAGGGTTTCCTCCCCGGCTGAGTGGTGTGGAAGAAATGGCCAATCTCCTGCTCTTGGAAGGCGACGCAGGACGCGTCGGCAAGCACAGGGCCTCCAACTTCGTCAAGCGACAACCAGAGCTTCGGACGCGTTTTAATCGTGCATACGATTACCAAAGAGCCTTATGCGAAGATTCGGCTATAATTAACGCGTGGTTTACTCTTGTGCGGAACATGAGGGCCAAGTATGGCATCCTTGATGCGGATTTCTATAACTTTGATGAAACCGGCTTTATGATGGGCATTATCTCATCCTCAATGGTTGTTACAGGTGCCGAACGACGCTGACGAGCAAAATCAGTGCAGCCTGGCAACCGGGAATGGGTTACCGTAATCCAAGGAGTTAATGCGGAGGGTTGGGCGATCCCGCCATTCATTGTCGTTAAAGGGACCTACCACCTTGCCAATTGGTATACAGAATGCGACCTCCCGCCCTCTTGGGTTCTTAAGCCTACCGACAATGGATGGACCAATAATACGACTGGCCTTGACTGGATACGGCATTTCGATAAACATACTGCCTCTCGTACAAAGGGCAAATATCGAATGTTAGTGGTTGACGGCCATGAGAGTCACCAATCCGCTGAGTTTGAGCAGTTCTGTAAGGGCAGAAACATTATTCCAATTTGCATGCTGTAACGGTCTCAAGGTAGTGTATTGCAACTAGCTAGGCCACTCTACAGAGTATACCAAACTTAAGGAAAGAAGAAGAAGAGAAAGAGAGTAGAGGAGGTCCATCCATAAATATACTCGTCATGGTGGCTTACCCGTTGGATCATGTGTGGGGCAAGCCCCAAGGCGATCCAACTAAGCAAGCTTAGTTGGCCACAAAATTGCGAGCCACAAAACCCTGAGACATCGGAAGGGCTGGTTTTTTGCCCTGAAATAACGCTTTTCCCATCTTCGGCTGTTCACAAGCCGTCCACATCTATTAAAATTAGTCAATTTGACGAGTCATGAGGTCTTTTAGAATATGAGATTGATCGTAGCTAGCTTATGACTATAGTATCGGCTACGGGCTCCTCCAAAGTCGCCTTCCTTCGAGACGGTCTGCCACCCAATTCTGCCGGACCAGCGTCTTCCCGAGATTCCTGAGGGGGTCCCTCGTGTAATGATATCTGATCTTGAGGATCTCGAAAGGTCGCGACTTTTCCAACAAGGCGTTGAAGGTGTTGTGGTGGCCACTGGGGTGGGCACGGCGTGTGTGCCCTCAAGGATGACTCCCTGCGCGGCGAGGAACGTGCCCACGGTGGCAGCATTCCATTCTCATCGATTTGCGGCATCGGAAGTAACTGAGGCTCCTCTTCATCATCATCATCATCATCGCTATCGCTCGCGTGAGCGGCGTTAACAGTGATCTCGACGTCATTATCGCTGCGAGCGCCCCAGTCGACGGCGTTAAGAGGGTTTGGCGCGTAGTTGGCTTTGCGAATAGATTCCCTAACTTCCGGTGTAAGTTCAGTATCAATCATGAAGAAATCATCCTTCTGGCTAAGAGACTTCGTCATCCGAGCTCGGTTCTCGTCCATAGACCAATACTCAACATCTTTGCCGGTATGCCGAAGCCACTGCTTGAACTGAAGTCCCTGCTTATCCGACCGCCACTGGGCCTTGATCTTATCCATCTCCTGGATCACGAATTTGCGAGTATTGCGTATCTGAGACTTCATCTCTTTCTCCTCGCACTCGGCGATGTAGTCGTCCTGTTGTTGACGAATTTCAGCAAGGCTGACAGACTGAGAAAAGTCTCCTTGGGGTTTGACACGCTTCCCCTTACGTTTCTGATGGTATGCCTTCTCTAGGCGACTGATGCGGTCATCGATATATGCTTGAACAGTCTCGTGCAAGAGCAGAGCTTCGGTGACGACTTTTCTCACTTGGCGAAGCTCGCCGCGGGTCGGTGAGCTAAGGAGGTGAGAATACTTCTCTGACATATGCTTCGTGACATCGGAAGCACGCTGAAATCGAGCATCGTCGGGAAGAAGTGAAGCAAAGGCCGGGTTGATGGCTTGGCGAGCCTTCATTTTCTTCTGCTGCATGTACGTGATAACGGGAGTGCGGTCTACGGGCCAAATACCACTCTTGGTGAACCCAGAGATGATGTTACCATCCCCCACCACTCAAAGAATCACACCACTTACCATGCACCACCACCAGCGCTCGCAATAGTCCAGACCATTAAGCGGACTATTAGTCCAGACCATAGTCCAGACCAATAGTCCGCGGACTATTAGTCTAGTCTGTATGTCTCGGGCCAGACCGATAGTCCAGTCTGACTCGTCCAGACTGAGCAGTGGTCCCAGTCTGAGAATTCCAGACTGACCAGTGGTCCTTGTCTGAGAATTCCAGACTAATAGTCAGACTATTAGTCTGACTGTAGGGTAGTTTCGTGGCTGAAGGTGCAATCACCAGCCACTATCAACCTAATTCTTCTCACTAATTTGGTAACGCCACCTCACCCTACCCCACCTTGGCACCTCGTAAGCCCTGTAGATGTATTATGACTAAGGAACGCGTCCCCCAAAATTGATGTTTTTATCAACGCGTTCATTCTGTATTTGCATATACATCAGATTGGAACAGTCAGTAAAGTGAAATTGTGGGGCTTCGGGTGATTATGGAAGAACCGTACGAAACGAAAATAGCTTAGCGCAACGGCCCTCTGGGGTGTGTCCCCCCGGGCGAAATAAAATCCATCCATCCATCCATTCTGTATTTGGTATGATTAATCGGAGTGTTGGGTTCGCGCACTTCAAGTCTGCCACTCCCACATGTCGAAGGAGAAAATCGTCAACTACAAGTCTTCTGCTCCAGCAATTTCCCTCCAACTATAATACTGCCATTACGAACGCAAATCTCTTGTCTACTTGCGGCCTAACTGAATCATGTCTTCTATTGGTGATCCTGTCAGCACTCTTGATAACGCTATCAACCATCTGGATGATTCCGACCTTAATGCGGCCACTTCCTCTATAGCACCTTCCTCGTCGCCGTCGACTGATAGCTTTCCCCGCCAGACGACATCTCCCATCTGGAAGTATTGTCGAATAGAAGAGGGCAAGACATTGCCTGCAGCCTGGGTCGATTCCAACGGACGGAAATGGTGGCATTGCCAGCCCTGCTTCAACAAGAAGAGAGAGAAGAGATACAATTACTCTGGCGGATCATCCACAATCATCGATCATTTGCGCAAGGAGCATAGAATCATGGTCTTCGGGAGGCAAGACGACCGCCGAGCGACGACTCAAAGCCGCCTTGGAGACATCACTACCTTCATGACCAATGATACCCTTGTCCCCTCTAAGAAGCGCAAGGCGACAGCAGAGGGAGATATGTTGGATCAAGCCACCTTGCGCGAGTTATACTGCCGCTATACAGTAGCTTGCAGCCTCCCCTTTGCTCATGTTGAACAGCCTGCCTTTCGTGACTTCATCCGCTACCTTCGCCCGGTTGCGGATGACCTCCTCCCGAGGTCTGCTAATACGGTCAAAGCCGACTTACAATGGGGCTATGACAACAAAAAGGAGTTCGTAAAGCGAGCCTTACAAAATGCCCTTTCCTCTGTCCACATTGTTCCCGATAATTGGACATCTCCAAACTGCTTAGGGGTCATCGGTTTTACAGTTCAGTTCGTTTCTGAAGATCACGGTCTGCAGTCCCTCGTGGTGAGAATAAAGGAGCTGGAAGGACAACACAGCGGCGAGAACATGGCAGAAGCCATCATGGAGTTCATACGAGAATATGGAATAGCGTCCAAAGTTGGATACTTCATGATGGATAATGCTAGCAACATGAACACCATGATGGACAAAGTCTCCGATGACTTGGAACATGAGTTCGATGTTTTCTACGACCCTCTTCCTCACCGACTTCGCTGTTTGGGCCATATCATTAATCTGGCCGTAATGGAATTTCTCATAGGAAAGCGACCACCCACAACAGATTCCTACCATGGACCGTCCGACGAGGAAATTGAGCAATGGAGAAAGCGAGGGGCGATAGGCAAACTTCATAATAGCGTCGTCTACATTACTTGGAGCCCCCAGCGGCTTCAAGCGTTCACTATCCTTAGCGACGGTCTTAGGTTACGGCGTGATAATGACACTCGTTGGAATTCGTGGTACAAAATGGTCGAATGGGCTCTGAGGTCTAAGGTCAGGCAATCTATCACCATCTTTTGTGCGCAAGAGCCGGCTCTGCAACAGGATATCCTGACTCCTTCCGACTGGGCAACTTTGACCGAGACTTGCAAATTTCTCGAGCCGTTTCAAGATGCCACAATGGCCAACGAAGGCAATCGAAATTCCATATGTGACGTTCTGCCAACTATGGATTATCTTCTTCATCACATTGAGACGTCCAGGGAGATCACCGCGGTCCCCCACTTGGCGACCATGATGGAGACTGCCTGGGCCAAACTAGCCGACTATTATGAAGCGACAGAGGATTCTCCAGTGTATTCAGCAGCAACGGTCTTAAATCCCTCGCTCAAGTGGGCATACATGGAGAAGACTTGGGAAGATAAGAATGAATGGATCGAGAAGGCTAAAGCCCGTGTAGAGCAGCTGTGGAGCAAGACATACAAGCCAACCACACCCAGTCCCATTCTCCGTCAAAGCGGTGCACAAGAACCCACTACGAGACGGCTGAATGGATACAAGATCTGGATGAAAGAGCAAAAGGCCACGATTTTGAACATGGATGATGACGAGTACGAAGTATACTGTCGCGAACCTGTGATGATGATATCGGATCCTTTGAAATGGTGGCTCGAACTGGCTCAGCGAAGAAGATTCCCTAACCTGTCCTTGATGGCCATCGACATTCTATCGATTCCGCCTATGTCTGCTGAGACAGAGCGACTCTTCTCCAAAGCTAGACTGACAGTCACCGACCAGCGAGGATCTATGAACATTGAAACTTTGAATCTTTTGGAATGCCTACGATCCTGGGACAGGAGCGCTCTGATAGCCCAGTCGGAAGTAAGTTTTGCATTCTGTGAGGTGTACATACCATTTTCTAAGTAATGAATTCTAGCATGGCTACGTTGCTCCGGCAGCTACGGATGCTATGCCTGATGTTTAGGAACTTTGTGGGTAGGCTAGCGGAAGAGACATGATCAGGTAATAGTGTATTAGTTATGTGGTGGGTAGCTTGGGGCCAGAGGTAGAAGGGAGAGCTAGACGTCGTTTATGAGGTCTAGCCTATTAGTCTAGACTGTAGTCTGTATTGTAGTCTGGTCTAAAGGCGACAGACGGACTAATAGTCCAGTCTGGGCTTCTCGGCTAGACTGCTGGTCTAGTCTGACCAAGTCGGATGGACTAAATGGACAGTCTGGGGAGTTTAGACGGACTGATTGGACTATTGCGAGCACTGGTTGTATTGTCTGATTGATTAGTATGTTTTTCCCGTCCGTGTAGCATCCAAACGGCCCGTGCTTACTGTACCAATTACCACTGGTATTGGCACCCAATACCATTTTTCTGGTCCGTGCACGCTTCTCGGATCTGGTATTGGGTCTGAATACAAGAAAACTTGGCCCATGCACCTTCCCCAGCTTCCATGCCCCCGGTACTGATTCCCTGTCGCCTCAAATAGGAAGCAGCTTGATCGGCTCGATTTCTAAAATGGGAAGAGAAATTACCGGATGATGACCCTACAGAGAGATGATCAAATTAAACCCGGCCTACGGATCCACGCACGCATCTTGTTTCGACCCAAAGCCAAAAGTCAGAAACGGCCTTGGTTTGGAGGTCATTGCCTCACATTCGTACCATCGCTCAAGTCCCTTTAGGAATGATGTACGTTATCTCCTTGCCGGGGAAAGAGAAAACTGCGTCGATCTATTGCCGTTTTTGGTTTTGATGGAAACCCCTGTCGAAGACCCTCTAAACGGCTTGATTGACCGGCTGCAGCCACAAGAGGCCGTCGTAGGGCCCGAGTCTTACGGACGGGGCGAATATGGGCACAAGCCAGGCAGGTGCCTAATTACAGGCATCTGATCATGTCGTGGCGGGGACAGATGGGTATCAGACCTTCGGTGGCGCTTGATCAACAGACAAATGTAGACGTGAGCAACGCGAAAGCCAAGAAAGCGTTTATTCAGCTTGGCGGGTCACTTACCAGTGCGAGAGGGGCAAGACGGAGTTGCCTTGAAAAAAGATGCAAGAGAAATTGTGGTGGGGCAGTGAGGAGAGGAACTGTCGACTCAGCAGCAAGGGCGACCGGATTGAGAATATGGGCCGTGGTATCTTGCCTCAGTTTGATGGCTGAAAGTGTGTCGCTTGCCCCGCACACCCTGTCAGGATCAGGTCGTAGTAGGGCAGACCGGCTCGCCCCGCGCAGATCGCATAGAGCCGACAGGATGATCTGCATTATCTATTCGCCCTCAAAGGAAAAATCATGGTGCTGCATTGCAGGTGTTGGTCGTGACAGAGCTTGTTGTGGAGAGCTATGGACTGCTGCCCGCAAACCACTTCGGGGCAAGGAAGCGAAGGTCAGCCGAACAAGCACTGATACTGCTGCAGGAGCAGATCTATAAGGCATGGAGGGCCGGCAGGGTGCTCAGTCTGATCAGTTTCGACGTCAAAGGCGCTTACAACGGAGTGTTCAAAGAACGACTACTGGAGAGGCTGAAGGCGAGAGGCATATCTGGTGGACTGGTGAGATGGATTGACGCCTTCTGCTCTGGACGAATGGCCACCGTGGTGGTAAATGGGCACACGTCACAGCTACGGGAGTTGCCACAGGCAGGTCTCCCGCAAGGATCACCGCTGTCGCCGGTGTTGTTCCTTTTCTTCAATGCAGATTTGGTGCAGAGAAGAATCAACGCAAGAGGTGGTTCGATGGCATTCGTGGACGACTACTCAGCCTGGGTGGTGGGACCAACAGCGGAGGAGAATCGAGCCGGCATCCAATCAATTATAGACGAAGCACTGGGCTGGGAAAGACGGAGCGGTGCGACGTTCAACGGAGACAAAACGGCCATCGTGCATTTCACGCGAAACGCCGCGCGTACCAGCGACAAACCGTTCATGATCAAAGGAAAAGTAGTCAAACCCAAAGCGAGCGCCAAGATCCTGGGAGTGGTCATGGACGCGAAACTGCGGTACAAGGAACACATAGCTAGAGCTGCCGCAAAGGGGCTCTCGGCTGCTATGTGTTTGAGAAGACTGAAAATGCTGTCACCGCGGACGGCGAGACAACTGTTCGTAGCAACAGTAGCTCCCACCATGGATTATGCGTCCAGCGTGTGGGCGCACTCATGTGGCATCAGAGAAGCTGCTTGGCTGGACAAGGCACAGATGGTCGGAGCACAGGCGATCACGGGAGCTTTCCGGACCGTCGCAACGGCGGTGGCAGAGGCCGAAGCTAGCATTCAACCGGTGCAAGAACGGCATGCGCAAGCGGCAACAAGGTTTTGGATCAACCTCCGGACCCTTCCCAGGACACACCCGTTGGCGACACTGAAAGTGAAAGTGTGTCGCCGATTCGTATCGCCGATGCAGAGGATTGCTCAAGTACAAGGGGAAACAGCCATTGAACGAATGGAGATCATTCGGGAGTACGCGTTACCGCCATGGAGAGACCGTATCCCGGTGTGGTGCGACCCTGACCGGGAGAGAGCGGTGGAAGAAGCAAAGAGGGTGGATGGCATAGTCATTGCCACCTGCTCCTCGCAGAGAAGGGGCATGGTAGGCATGGGAGGTGTCGTACGAGATACGGCGATCAACAACGATGACGAGGTAGTGGCCAGCTACTCCATCACTCTCGGGTTGACGGAGGAGCTGAACCTATACATCGCCGAGCTGGGAGCTATAGAGATGGTATTGAGATGTATGCCGTCTGGACTCTCCCGGCGGGATATGACTGCCATGACGAGCAGCCGCTCCGCACTAGAAGCCATACGGCGGCCACGACAACAATCCGGCCAACAGATCATACGGCGAATATACGACCATATCAAGCGTCTCGAAGACGAGGGCCACTCTCTCCGGATGTTGTGGGTTCCAGCAGGAGAAGAGGATTTCGCGCTGGGACCAAAAGCCAAAGCAGCAGCCCGGAAGGCCACAGAAAGAGAATGCAGACCAGATGTGCCACCACATCTAGCAAGATCCACAAGGATAAGACTAGCGATAACCAAGCAGCGGCGAACAGGAACACTACCAGAAAGAGTGGGGAAATTCTCGAAGCAGATAGACACGGCACTGCCAGGCAAGCATACTCGTACTCTATATGACCCGCTGAAGAGGAAGGAAGCAGACGTACTGTCGCAGCTCCGCACCGGAATGGCGAGACTTAACAGCTTTCTGTGCAAGATAGGAGCAATGGAATCGGACACTTGCGAATGCGGGCAAGCATCAGAGACAGTGGAACACTTCCTATTCCGCTGCACAAAATGGACCGCGCAACGAGAAGGCATGCTGCGATGCTCACAGACAAAGATGGGAAACCTCTCGTTCTTCTTGGGAGGAAAGGCAGCATCTGATGGGGACAAATGGGCGCCAAACATGCAGGCAGTACGGGCAACAATCAAATTCGCCATTGCAACAGGGAGGCTTGACATGGACCAGAAGCCTCAGGCACGCTAACTATTCAGATCAAATCCTACTAACATCATACAGTCTCATTTTGACGGACCGTGCTTCAGCTGCTGAGGATAGGATGCTGAACACTTGGAGAAATTGGCCTTCAAGCAGGCCTGTCACTGCATATACATCAGATTGGACCAATCAGTAAAGTGAAATTGTGGGGCTTCGGGTGATTATGGAAGAACCGTACGAAACGAAAATAGCTTAGCGCAAAGGCCCTCTGGGGTGTGTCCCCCCGGGCGAAATAAAATCCATCCATCCATCCAAGTGGGTAGGTTAATAATATTTCATCAAGCCATTATTAAATTCCTTGAGGCCAATACAATACTGGTATGTCACCTACCAAAACCCTCCTCATTGGTCTCATTCTATGTCTCTGTCAAGCAATTGTTTCGGCAAGGACAGTTACAAAAATCCCTTCCCAAAATCAAGCCCGTACGGTGTTTCAATTTTCCAACGGAACCTGGGTTGAGAACATAGCGGTTCGACGCAATGGAGATCTGCTTGTGACCTTAATCGACCGGCCGGAGTTGTACCAGATCGATCCTCTCCACAGCAGGGTTAAACTAGTCGAGAATTTCCAGCAAGCAAACGCTCTGAGTTTGTTAGGGATAACAGAGATGGCGCCTGACGTCTTCATCGTCATTGCCGGAAACTTCTCGGTTAGTCGAAGAATGTCGGACCCAAAGTCATACTCCATATGGAGGATCGACTTCAATCGAGGGGGGAAATGCGAGAAAATCTCAGAGATCGAACGGATTCCAGAAGCAAATTTTTTGAATGGCATGACCACGTTGAATCACCGGACTGATAGCGTCTTGGTCTCGGATTCAGCCAGGGGTGTGGTTTGGCGCGTGGATATAGCGACTACGGACTATGAGATTGTGCTGGAGGATGAGACAATGAAACCGCTCCAAGGGGTACCTCTCATTCTGGGCATCAATGGAATCCGAATCCTAGGGAACTATCTCTACTATGTCAATGCTCCTAGAGGGCTGTTCTGCAGAGTCGAGATTGATTTATCCACAGGGAAGGCGATTGGTCAGTACGAAATCATTGCTACCGAAGTTCCCGGGGACGATTTTGTTATCTCTGAAAAGGGTGTTGCATATGTTACGGAGAATGGACAAAACTCGTTGGAAAGAGTTTACCTGGATGGGAAGAAGGAGTTGGTTATAGGAGGACTGAATTCAACTGTAATCCCTGGAGCCACTTCGGCTGCCTTTGGACGTACACGGAAAGACCGCAACATCCTCTATGTCACAACAGCAGGAGGTCAGGCTGCTCCAGTTAATGGAACGTATGTAGAAGGTGGTAAGGTGGTTGCTGTCGCGATATAGAATTTAATTCTTCTATTGCAGCTAAGTGTAACGGGCTGTGCCCGTAGCCGTGCCATCAGCCCGGCAATCTCCTCTTCGGACTCCAGATATGACTGATATACCACGAGCATCCGCGCACACTTGACGACGGCCGAGTAGATGGGCGTGTAGTCGATCGCATCGATCCACCCGTTGTCTTCCCGGATCCCTAGCACAGCCAATGCGCTGAGTACGACGTTGTCATAGTCGCCTCGCTTGAGCTGATGGTCCAAGAACCCCACCAGCATATCCAAGCATAGTCGTTCGATCTTCCCCGTCCCCTCCGTGTCTTTCACGGCTGCCTCGACGGCTTCTTCGAACGCGTCCCAGTGCTGAGTGCATATTTACACTTTGGCTGGGTACAGATGAGAAGGTTGGTTGTAGGGTCGATACACAAGCTGAGGCGGGTGAGGGCTTCTGGCGTAGTTGGCATTGTAGATGGTGTTGTAGATGAAAGTACGATCAAAGTGAGACAGCTGAAGAGGGAGGGAGATGAGCTGGCGGTTGGCTGTGTGCCATCACCTTCTTTTACTACTACTACTACTACTACTACTACATAACGACCCGGCCTGTCCTTCATAACAACTGTGTCAACTGATGGTTATTGTAGTCGGTAGAAGTTCGGTTGTTGTTGAATGAACTTACTTTTTATAGAGGTTGCACGAACGAAAATGTGGTTTCCTGTGGAGAAAAGCAGATTGTCGACAGAAAACGAGTTGTCCTTTGTACAGTAGTAGTACAGTAGTAGTAGTACAGTAGTAGTAGTAGTAGTAGTAGTACGTCAGTAGGTCGTTTACCATTTTGCAGATAGGCTGCCGTATTAGACCCCTGATCCGTAAGTGGGTGGTCTGACTTATTCCTGCTGCCGCCATTGTCTAGTAGGAATTCGTATATCAGCATTCGGATCTCGACAGAGATTCGCAAGAACATGGTTCCTCCGTCATGGCGACACAGACCGGACTTCACGACATCCAAGGCGATGATGGAGGTTGGAGGTCCGAGAGTATATTCACATGTACCTGGTAGGACGTTTCATTTCGAGGTCAAGCTACAGTGGCGCGAGGACCCTCAGAGTTGACGACGACGTCTTGGGGGCTAATGACGGGCAGGACAGCAGTTGATGCGAAAGCAGCAAACAGGCGAAGGAGGTGACGGCACACTGACGTCTCCTCACAGACGGTGGCACCACGACTGATACTTATGTCCCTGGATGCAGCTAGGAGACGCGGGCCCGTGTACGATGTCCGGCTCTTCATCTCGCTGTTGTGGTTGCTTTGCAGCTCTGCTGGGATCATTGCGCAGTAGCCTTCGAAACCCCACGAACGGGAAGAGGAAAAAAGGAGGGCCCTCCCTTTCGATAGAAAAGTCCGTCGGGCCTTCGTCCTGTGTTGGGAAATGCGCTCCTCAACCGCTCCCGTCTCAGCATCCCCGACGGAGAATATGACACAACTTGATTTATCAGCCGGTGGGGCGGGCGCCCGGCCCTGATTCGCTTTGACCCTCAGCTTTAGCCTCGCCTCGCATCCGAGCTGAACTAGTGCGTAATCGCACAAGCTTTCTGTCTCTTTTTTACTTTTTCTTCTTCACGGTCGCCTGCCGTCGTCATTCATCCGAGGGCCCGCGGCGCCATCGGCAGTGGCGGCTCGCCTTGCTTTATTCTGCCGAGGCCGACGGTAAAGCGAACCAGGCGCAAAGCCGGTGCGGGTGTGGGGGACGTACTACATACGCAGTATTCTATCGTGACGATGCGGTTGTCAATGCCCATGTCGTTGTGAGCGTCATACTACTTGTTGGGGCCTGTAGTTCGGCTCCCCTCGTGGTCGCGTCCGCTCCCACGGGGGGGACACTGATTGGGAAAAGGGGCCCTTGATTCGGAAAAAAAAAATAAGATTTTCTATATAAATAGCAAGTTAAAAAAAATCCATTCAGGTTATAATCTAAAAACCATCTTTTATTATATAAAAAATTAATTTAAATATAAAAACTCTTTATTATTATGTTAATAATAGCTTTTTTATCTTCTAGGGTTATTGGTCAGGGTTAGGGTTGGGGTTAAGATACTTCTCTTCTTAATAAAATAGTTAAGGTTAGTGTCAGATTAACCATTACGCCATTTTGCAAAAGTTTAGGCCTTATTGCATATTGGGCTTGACTATCTGAGTTATATTCTAACAGTTAGTATAAATAAGTACCGAATTTCCCAAGTCAAGGGTACTTTTTCCCACTCAGTGGCCCCCCCGTGGGAGCGGACGCGACCATGGGGGTAGCCGAACTACAGGCCCCCACAAGTACTTCTTTGATCCCCAGATTTTACCCCGCGATACCCCACGCCCCAGACCGACTTTCAAGGGCATGTGCTGATCGCCGAACCCTTCACTTGCATTCGACCATTGCCGGCGCCTTAATCAGGTACGCCAAAGAAAGCATTGATGAAACGACGGTAGCGCGCTGTCAGCACGCATAACAAGTGACCTCATTGACCTCGGTAAGGTCATGGACTGTTAAACTCCGTCGGAGTTGCGGGATTAGATCGCAGGGGTCGATCATTTAGTGGACTCTCTTGCAGGGTTTGGCTGAGACAGACTCGCAGCGTGTGTTGAGCGCTGGTCGCACTCGCACTCGCATAGTCGCATCCTCTCACACTCGCACTCTCTCTCAATGTTAATTGCGCTGATTTGTAAATTATAAAGACCTCATCTTGTCCCTTGAGAACTACATATTCGATGGCAGTGGGTTTCTAATTGTAAGACATCGAACAACAAGCACACAAAAGCCATACTTTTCACGTCTTCTTCCCCCCTTACTTCACATACAACATAGTTGCATCATGGGTGTCAACCATCAATCCGAGAACCGTCAGTCCGAGATTCCCGGTGTTCTTGAGCCACCGCCTGGCTCCAACCCTTTATCATGGGGTTTCTACGCAACACGCGAGATTCAGGAGCCTACAGCGTTGCAAGTGGAGGGAAACATACCGACCTGGCTGACTGGTTCTCTCTACCGTGGTGGTGCAGGTACTTGGGATGTCGGCAACTATACAGCCGAGCACTGGTTCGACGGGTTCAGTCGCAACCACAGGTTTGAAATTGCCAACGGCACCGTGAAATATCGAAGCCGTAACTCCACGGACGAAATGATTAATTTTGCCCGGGAGACGGGGCGTATTCCTGATGGCTCGTTTGGATCGGATCCTTGCAAAATCATCTATGGGGCGATGGAGACCACGTTCAGGGATGGGAACAATACACGCGGCGACCCAGACACTTGCAACATCGGTGTGGTCTTCGTGCCGAACTTCGCTGGCCTCGATCGCAAGACCACTAATACCGGGGCACCTTTCGATACATTGGTCGTTGCAACGGATGCCACCAAGCTTCAACAGATCGATCCCGTCACGCTAGAGCCCATCGAAGTCTTCACCTACCAAGCTTCCAATCCGCTACTGACCAATGGTGGGCGAAGCGCGGCTCACCCCTACATCGCACATGACGGGGCCCTCTACAATTATCACCTCGACTTGACAGCCCAGCCTCCTGTCTATAGCATCTTCGGTATCCAGCCGCCAAGTGGAGAATGCAAGATCCTTGCCACCATCACCGACGCCCCAGCTGCCTACATTCATGCACTATTTGGGACGGAGGATCATCTCATCCACGTTGTCTCGCAGGCTGACTATGTCAAACCTGGAAAGACGGTATTGGATAGCATTGGTCCGTGGCGGCCGGAGCGAAAAACGTTGTTCTATGTCGTTGACCGCGTCAAGGGCGGAGTGGTGTCAAAGTACGAGTCAGAAGAAGCCTTTTTCGCATTTCATCAAATCAACGCCTTTGAGAATGATGCTGGAGATATCTACGTCGACATACCAGTCATGGAGGATACAACCTTCTTGAGCGCAGCCAAGGTCGCCAATCTAAGAGCCAATATCGGGGCTCACGACGGCTCGTCAAAGAACGATATTCCTGCCACTTTTACTCGGTTCCGTCTTCCATTCAAGGGAGAAGGCGCACGTGCTGCTGATGGATCCCTCGTCAAGCATACTGCTGAGGTAGACTTCGCACTGCCCTATGCCCAAGCAAACATTGAACTCCCGCGAATCAACTGCAAGTTCCACGGACGGCCTTACAGATACACCTATGGAATCCACGTCCAAACGCCTGGTCATTTCAGCGACTCGATTATCAAAATTGACACCGAAACCAAGGAAGTCAAGACATGGTCCCCATCTATAAAACATGTAGCGTCTGAGCCGATTTTTGTGCCGACCCCAGGAGCCGAACGTGAGGACGACGGCGTCATCCTGACTGTGGCCATGGACTCTGCGCAGCGAGCTAGTTCTCTGGTGGTTATTGACGCGACAACCATGCAGGAGATTGGGCGAGCTCGGATGCCTATCGTTATGGGTTACGGATTCCACGGCACGTGGGGCTCGGGTTGATTACTTAGTTAGTTGGGAGGACTGAATCGCTAACCATTCATTATTGTGTTCGTCGACAGGAAGGGATGGGGACAAGGCTCGGAACCACTACACCCACTCACATTTGGACCAAGTAGAGTGGATGTACGATTTTTTAGGCAATTACCTAGTGGATGTAATACATATTCGGCCGGAGTGGAATGGACGTACACACGTGGATTTATAAGTGGATTTATAAGTGGATTTTTGAGGCTATTCACAACCTCGTCGGTGCCTATTCAGCCTCACTTTCAGAGGCTGACACTAACTCTTCAGCCTGTTGCTGCTGTGATAAATCGTCAACCTCGCTGGCGCTGTCCTCGCCCTCCAATAGACATTTTGACTCAGCAAGCGCCAGCTCGTCGTCGCTTAGAGTCGCACAACCGGCATCCAGCTTACTTTCAACGTGTGACTTAAGCAATGGATCCAGGTCCTTGATAAGGCCAGCACGGTACCAAGAGCATAAAACCTGATAAATGGCGATAATCTCAGCATCTAGGTCAGTTCGCAACCCCGAGATCATCTTGCCAGCAGCTGAAAATAACCTCTCACACTCGGCTGACATCGGTTGGATTGTCAGGAAGTCCAAGGCCATCCTGGATAACCGAGGATATCTACTTTGCTTAGTGATCCAGTAACCAATTGGATCACGAACGTCGCCATCGCTGGCCTCACGATCCGTCTGCCACGCTTGGTACTCATCACCAACAATAGCTGCTGCGGAGGTTGGTGTTGAGCTTGGCAGACGGCTGTTCTTCCCGAAGGGGTTGAAAAACCGAGGTCTTTTTGCTGGTGGCTCGTCATCGCCTCTGCTGCTGCTGGATCTAACCTCGAAATGAGCGTAATCAGACAGCCAGACGTCGGCAACCATCTCTTTTGCCTTTTCAACCCAACTAGGCTTATGAGCCCAGGTTTCATCAAACCAGTCCCAACGATAAGCTGGATGGAGCGCTATTGCCGTATAGTAGATGGGCGTCTCGTCTAGCCGCCGATAATATTCATCCAGCTTATCCCAAGCAAGGTTGATTCCGATGCGGAAGTGCTCGGGATCAGGAAAGTTAGCAGCAAGCTGCTTATATTCTTCCAGTGTGTTAAGCAGCAACTCATAGCCAAGCACCACGTCCCAGATATTGCCATAGGAGCCGGTCCAGCCTTGCTTACGCCTGCGGATGTGTCCATCACCCTCAAGCGTCTTTACCACGGTCTCAAAAACAGTCAGAATAGCCTCTAAATGGTAAAGAACCTCCCAGTCTTTATCCGTTAGCTGATTCTCGTCTCGGAGGATGCGTGGTTTTTTCGCCAATTTGGCTTGTGTCACTCGGCCAGTCTTTTTAGACCGATTTTCGTCCTCCCATTGCGCCTTGTACTTGATCAGTAGGAGTTCGATAGAGGTTTTTAGCCGTAGAGCCCTGCGGATCATGTAGAGTTGTGACAGCCAACGCGTGTCGTTATCGACAATTAGCTTGAGTGGTTTCTTCGATCGGAGTTTGAGGGTGGTGGCGCGATCAATTTCGTCCTGTTAGATATACCAAATTAGTATGAGACGAACAAGATTTAGTGAAAACCGCTTACCCTCTGGACCTCCTTGAATAAGTAAATTAGCCGATGGCTAATACGCACATCAACTACGATGTTATTTAACTTGCCAACTGGTCCTTTTTTGCGCCATTGAGCGTATTCGGTATCAGATAACGCTTCTGCGCCTGATAATTGCTGCTCGAACGCGCCGGCTTTTTTGCCAAATAAGAGCGCCTTGGCTGACAAGTTAATTGTGTGGCCAATACAGCGTCCTCGGCGTAGTCGGCCATCGAACCCAAGTTCAGCACCAATGACCTCCATTGCAGTATCGTTGTTTTCAGCATTGTCGAGCGTGAAATAGCCAATCTTCTCTGGACTCACGCCAAGAGTGTGTAGGACGTCGAGAACCTCCCCACCGATCGTTGAGCCGAAGTGACGATGAGGCTCTGGAACCCCAATCATGATTTTGCATGGCCGATTCTTCTCATCTCTGAAAAAACAAGCAATGCCGTAGAGGGCAAGCTTATTTCGAGACGTCCAGCCATCAAATGAGATGTGAAGCGCTCCAGGGGAGTTCCTCAGCACCTCGATAACCGTCTGCTTGTGGCGGTTATACTCTTGAATGATCTTATATCGGACAGCCGTGGCACTCAAGTTGGCGCGTTGGATCGAAACGGAGGGATTCAAATAGTCGAAGATTTCTCGGAGGATGGGGTTCTCGGCGAAGGAAAAGGACTGGTTGCTACTCACGATTAATTCGACTAGCATACGCTGAAAGTGTTGCTTATCAAAGCGTGAGATGAAGCTATTCGCGATATTCTGTTCCGTAGGCTTGTTGACGTCCAGTTTCAAAACAGAGGCAATAGTCGGCTGGTTCGATTTCAGTGCGCCTTGGGATTTCAGCTGTGCTGTGCTCTTTTTCTCTCCCTCTGGTGCTGGTGTTTTGTGCTCACGCCATAGATGATTTGCCGCGTTCTGGAGACCTGAAGAGGTAAAACTCGCGATAATGGGACGATTTCTGAGGACACAGTCCTTGCAAGCCCATTTGCGTAAGCCATGACGTTGAATATCATAGCCAAAGTCCCACAGCCAAGAGCTAGTATCACGAGCGCGTTCTGACCAAGTCCAGCCTCTGAAATGGCGAAAAAGCCGGTCTTCGAGGTGGTGCTGTTGGCCAGGCTGGTTGGCTGACATCGTCAAAAAATTATCTCTTGCAAAAACAACAGCAGGAAATCTGTTGAAAACGCCTCAATAGGGGCAGTTTCTCGTATGACGTTTATAAGATTAGCTGGGGGGGGGGGTGATCGACCTTGGCTAACTTGGGTCTCGGTACCTCGATTTACTAGGCAATTATATACAAAAATAAGTACTATGGGCCGTGCAAGCTCAGGGAATATCCCACTATACCTAAATCCACCTAAATCCACTCCATTACATCCACTTTCAGGTCCGAATGTAGTGGATCATTACGTAAGCTGAGCGCGGCAAAGTGGATGTAATAGAGATGGGCCACTTATATGTGGTCCACGTGGATATGCAGTGTAGTTGGTTCGAGCCTTGGATGGGGATATGCTTTGTCAAGACCCGTAGGTCGTTTTGCTCGGGTAGTATACACAATAAACATTCGCTGTCGTGGACTCCCTAGCATCAGCCATGAATACACTTTTTGATATTCCTGCTTCCCGTTCTCATCGACTCCATCCATAAAACGTACTTTAAGGGGACCTGTTGTGGTGAATTCGGTACTGAGGTTTACCGGTAACGTACTCGATAAGCATGCGGCGCATCCAAGTATGCGCCGCACTCAGATTTACACCTTAAATCGCAATTTTAAAAAAGGTAACTACGTAGTTACTTGTTTTTTCGTGTTACGCGGTGTGTCAGGCATTTGTCTCAGTATGTCAGATGTTTGTATCAGGTGATGTTCTCACACACGCATTTGTCAGCCCTACGCAGGATGGCTTCAATCAACTGACACACAGTCGTTCTTTCTATACCTTTCACATGTCGACTGACACAAATACTGAGTGTCGCGGGCATCAAAAACGTCCTGAAGCGCCTTGGAGACCGCGCCGACCACATATATCCCAAGAGGAAGCTGTCCAGCAGAAGCAATGGCGACACTACGTACGACGTGTGCCAGAACCTGAAAAGGTGCTAAGAGGAGCTGTTAGCATCGAAACACGGAGCTCACAAGCGATGCAGCCGCGACATACCTCGGCAAATTCGAAATGCCAAGCGTAGTTTGCCCGTCTTGGAGAAGGAAGCTACCAATGGGAACCGAAGTACGGAGTATCAGCAGCGATGAACGGATGGCAAGTTCGCCTTGACTCGTATCCTCATACCTCCGCTCTCCCGAGAGATTGACTTTGCTTGTCGAAGCAGCACATCGAGCGCCTGGGTCAGAACGCTGAAGTGACGGAGCAAGGGGTCAGAGTGACGCTCCCCGGGTTGATGGTCCAGTTTCCACCCAGTAGCTTCTTGACGCCCGTGAGGCCGGGTAATATAGCTGGCCCCTTTGGCTCGTTGAGCTTGATGGCGATGACGAGGATGGACCTGGGCATCTCGTCGCCGGTGCCCTTCTAGTCCACATCTCAGGCACGAAGCGCGTGTACACAGTCAACCTGCTCCTCGAAGCCTCAGCCGGTGGCATCACTGCTTCGTCGTCTCGCCTCCTCATCATCCTAGAGCAGCAACTAGCACAAGACATCCCGGTACCAGGGTTACCAGCGTTCCAATCACCAATACGCACAATTCTTCGCGAGTGGGAATCGCTGAGCGAGAAGTCGGTGGTGGAAGCATTTCTAGTGGAGCTCCCAGACAGTGGAAGTCCCGTTGTCTCGTACAGCATCCCAGTCGTCATCCATGAATTTGTTAACGATGCGTCTGAGGAGCAGATTACCGCTGCTGCATTAGGTACGCCGCTGGAAGACGTGGAGTGGTTAATATCTTAGAGTGTCATGGGCAATGAATTTTGAGCGGGTTACATGAATGCCGAGGAGCCATGTCTGAAAACTTGGAGGAGGCGGGTTGAGGAGTTGCCGGAGAAGCTAGGGTTACCCAGGTCCATCTGCATCAGAGTTGAGGAGTCGTCCAATTTGGACTTTGCGTGATGTATTGCGGAATAAAAAAGAATTTGACCCATCAACTATAGTCCATTCGTATTACTATGGTCTCAAGGTCTTTGTTCGATATTCACGAGATGCCTCGAGGTAGTCGATTGGGGAGAGAACTAGGACCAGGGGGACACCGCGAGGTTCAATGCATCAACCCTCGATTCATTGCACTAGGACATCGTCCGGCCTGTTCCGTCCTCTACCACCGGTCACCCCACCGGCAGTCGGGATGGTTAGATGTTTGGTGCCTGATATAGCCAGAGTATCACTCGCTCCTTTTTTCTTGTTGTACCTTCGTCGGCCCAGGTCACTCCCCAGAAACGTACGCCAGGAACAGGAGTCTTCATTTGTTAATCATGTACTTTGAGGGCAGGAAACCTCTTCCTTTGGGCATCTGATACTAAGGCGTTCTTTCCAGGTCACCGATGCATAGCAGATCTTTCGCCACTTCAGGCGCAGCAAAAGGAAAAACGACATAACTAAGTCTGAAGTTGCGTGTTTTCCCCCGCAGTGGCTTGGGGCTACTGGAAGCCCTTGTTGCCCGGAGCGGGCCATGTGACGAGTGGAACGAAGAGAACTCCACACGAAAGCTGCAAGGGGGCTGACGGAACGACCATCTTTTTCAACAAATATGTGAATAAGAAGCGGTCAGACATGTGTGAGACACAGGTACGCCGGTAGTCATTCCCTTCGCGGGGTCACGGGGCATCAGCCGTGAGGTCATCGAGCCAAATCGGGCGGCCAAACCAATGATCTTGGACATTGTGACTGGCTGAGGCAAGGTTCGCAATGAGCCAAGCCAACCAAGCTCAAGCTTGCAAGCCAAGCCTAACAAAATAGTTGCCCAGCCAAGCAAGCCTTCCTCGACCCCGGCTTGCGAGGCTCATGAGCTTTTTCTGAGGCCTGGTTTTCCCCGCATATAGGGTTCTTTGCAGGGGTTGAAGTCTCGTGATACCCCTATTATAGTGGTTTTCTGGTGTTCCTACTGACCTTGGTCCTTTGTCAGCCACAAATTTCCTGCAATTCTTCCAAGTTTTTCTCATCTGCCTTCCAACCCACCAAACTGAATTTTAGCCTTCAAGCAGGCCAGTCAATGTTAAAATGAGGTTGGACCATTTAGTCAGAAACTTTCGGGGCTCTAGGGTGATCAAGACCAATCGTCCGAACCTGGAAATAGCTTAGCGTATTGGCCCTTGGCCCTCCCCCGGACGAAATAAATTCCACTCCATGGTACCAGATTCCAAACTGAACAACCTGGCTACTTCGTCACTCAGCAACAACACCACCAATTGCTCAGCTTTTCTGAAGAAACCATGTCTACACTTTCTTCAGCCCTATCCTCACCTACCCCCGAAATTTCGAACGAATGCGGTTCGAGCCACGATGCCTTTTCGATCCTGAGACGTGCTGGTTCCATTGCAGGCTCCCTAGCAGACCAGAGGGCGCGCCTCAACTCGGATGATATCAAGGCAGCCAAATCGATCGAAGACCTCCCTAAGCTACGATTGACCTTCCGGCAAAAGACCCATGACTATGTTCTGGAGGAATGGCTACACAGGAAGCGATGCAGAAGCTCTTGGATCCAAGGGCATGGCACCCAGCTCATCAGAGTCCTTCCAGATGGCCAACAAATTGATGTCTTCGTCTGCGGGCACTGCGATTCAGCTGGAATAACCCGCCTCTTCGAAGGAGATGCCACCAGTGCTGCGGGAAGGCATCTGAAGGCTCACCACCGTATATTTCCAGATGGGGAGGACTCTGAGGAATCTCCCTCCCCGGCAAAGACACAGGCAACTCTGGACTTCTCAAAGAGCCGCGCGAAGCCTTCTAAACCTCCTATCCTTCGTACGGCAGCCGATACCTTCAAGCATCTTCTACTAGGTTGGATAGTTGACGCAGACATCCCTTTCTATGGCATTGAGCACCCCCTTTTCCGCCAACTGCTTCTGCTTCTCAACAAGGACTTTGTTACTCAATGTCTCCCTCAGAGCTCTAATACCATTAAGACTTGGATCATCACGGAGTACGAGATTCGCAAGACAATTCTGAAAAAGGAGATCCAGGCTGCCAGAAGCAAGATCCACGTCACCTTCGACCTCTGGACGTCCCCAAACATCCAGGCTTTGCTTTCCATTATGGCGCACTTTGTTGACGCGTTTGGGAAGCTCCAGGTACGTCTATTATCGTTGGAGCGAGTTGAGGGCAGCCACGGTGGTGAGAATCTGGCCCGGGTCATGCTCCAAATCTTCGAGGACTATGACATCACCCAAAGTCTGGGTTTCTTGACTTCTGATAACGCAGACTCCTGCGATACTGCCGTCAGGGCCATTGTCAAGTCCCTGAAGCCCCAGTTAACAGATCAACAACAAGACCGCTTCAAAAAGCAAGTTCGAATCCGCTGCTTCGGCCACATCCTCAACCTCTCTGCGAAGGCGTTTCTTGAGGGGGAATCTTCCGACATGTTCGACGCAGCCTACAACAAGGACAATCTTGACGTGGAAACTGAGATCAGGCTCATCAAGGAGTGGAGGAAGTATGGGCCAGTTGGCAAGCTCCATAACACTGTCCACTTCATCCGCAGGTCTTCTCAACGGAGGGACACCTTCCTAAGGATTACCAGTGGCCGTATCAGTTCCGAAATATTGAGAGAGCTGGGGCTTTGGCTAATCGAGAAGGACGTAGTGGGCTTGATGGTGATGGCGGATAACGATACCCGGTGGAATTCGATATTCCTCATGATCCTTCGCGCTGTCAAGCTTCGCGACATCATTTCCACCTTCTGTATGATCAGCAGAGGCGATGAGAAGGCTGATAAACGAATCCCTGAAGAAGATATCCTCACTAGTGAGGACTGGGCTGTCCTCTCTGAAATCCTCGAAATTCTGAAGCCCTATCTGGACTACACCAAACACTTCGAAGGTAGGGAGGCAAGGTTCGCAGAGGTTATTTCCACGACCCACTGCTTGCAAGACCACCTCAAGGAAATGCAATTGCGCTATAGCGAACGGCTTGTTGGCGTCCCTTTCCCTATCCCTGAGGTCTCTCTGGAAGAGCCTTCCTTTGAACCCACAGATTCAGCTCAGTCTTGTATTGTGGTTGAAGGAGACGAGTCCGAAATGCCCAGACGCTCCCAACGCAATGTTGGGCCGCCTACCTATCTTCAAGATTATGAAGTGGACTTGCCTCAACGACAGGCCAATTCGCGTCAAAGCACTCCCGAGGCAACAAGATCCCCTCAGAAGCTTGAGCTAACCGATCCAAGCCTGAAGTATATCCAATACTCCCTTGAATACGCCTCTAAGAAACTCGAAAAGTATAGGCGGTTGATGGAAGAGACTGGGGTCTATTGGGCTGCCATGATATTGCACCCGGAGCACAAAGCTCGTTGGATCGAGATGAACTGCCCAGACCGCAAAGAGGGAATTCTGGCAGACTTCAGGGCTCTATTTAATGAGCTTTATCCTGAGAAAGCAGTGGCAGGGATTCACGATCCTCCGGAAAGGAGCCAAGTCAAGAAGGCTAAAGCTCCTTGGTTATATAAGCCTAATTATTATCAACAGCTTCAACCTCGACCAACAAACGAAATCGAGGACTACCTTTCTGATCCCCCGCAGCCCTTCGACGAAGACAGCGAAGGAGAGTCTAGCCGTCTGTTTAGCTGGTGGATTGAGAGGAAGACAAGGTTTCCGAGGCTCTATCGAATGGCAATGGACTTCTTGTCAATGTAACGGGTCAGGCCCACTTGGCTGGCGGCTCTGCCGCCAAGCCCGAATTCTTCTCCACAGCGCCATCGAGTTGATTCTCGAATCTTCTATATTAAAGAAGATATAACGCGTCTTCACGCACCCAGTTTGTATTTAGATTCTTTCCCTTCTTCATCTTGAAAGTAAACAGCATAGGGACTAGTTAGTTGAATCAACTCGCTAGAGGCCTTTCACAGTCAATTCCAGCCATGTCCTCAGAATGTGAGAGGTGCTTCAGCCTTGCAAAGCTTCAAGTTTCTTCGCAAAGGCACCGCCAACACCACACAACAATCAGGTGTTGTCAATGCCTGAAGAACTGGGCCAGGCTAGGCGCGTTCGACTGGGGGACATTAGGGCTTTGTCAGCTAGATGACCTACTTCAAATGGGGCAAGAGTGAAGAGAAATGGACGTTTCTGGCACCTCCTGAGAAGCAGTGTGGCTAACAATCAATCGAGTTCAATTTCGGCGCCTTGGTAGCCTCCCATCCGGTCGGTATGGTCAAATATGACCAAAGAAAAAGCCGAAGACTCACTCTCGTTCGATCACCTATTACCGCGAACGCGGTAATGTACTGGAGCGCTCCGCGCGACCTAAAGGATTATGCTCCCGCCTGGCTCCCTCCGGTCGAGTGTATACGAGCAAATAAAAATATTTGTAGGTTCAAGTTCTCACTTTCACGGCGCTGCCCCAAGAAATTCTTCTTGTACTCCTCCGTCGTAATCCAGACCGACAACAATGTCCGATTGGGTGGGGTGCCTCGTTCCTCGCACCAATTAAACCACCGCGCCTTCAGTCATCCTTCCTTCTCGGCTTACTATCCCGGTCAGATCCTCGACCGTTTACCTGCGTAGGTGCGTCCAGCCACTTCGTACGGCAGTCCTTGTTGTGCTCTGGTCTGGTCCCGAGTCCCAACGTCCCCTTAGAAACCAAACTTAAAGGCGACCTCGTTCCTCGGTCTGATTTCTAAGGGAACTGCTTGTACCTCCCTTCCAGGTCGGTTGATGAGATGTCGCTTCGCTCCCAAAATGTATGGACGTATACTTCCCCTCCGCCTTCGTCTCCGGGACTTTGCTCGTGCCCTCACCCAAGTCTGAAAGACTCTCGTGCCCAGTCGAGAGAGTATAATCATTCCATCGCGGCAGTCTCCGTATCCCGACATCGTGAGATGGTCCTTCATTTCTCGGCTCCAGTTGATCCATCCGGCTGTTGATTCTAGCTTCGGGATGTTGGCTAGGTTGCCAAGTGTTCCAGTCGATTCCTTCGAGGCCGACATGCTTGAGGATGGATTCCTTGATGGCTGGACGAGAGAAGGCGTGGGACGAGTGTAGGGGAGGTTCAGGTGAATCTTCCCTCTTCAGCCTAGCGATGTCTCTTGCGAGCGCGAGGCTGGAATCCTCGTTGTTGTAGATGGTATCAGTAACGGATGAGTCGGAGCTCCCACTGGATGTAACGTGGGTTTCTCCTGGTCCTGATGAGGCAATTGAGGCAACTTCAAGGCCGCAATGTTGGTTGAACTTGCGTCTGAAAGCGAGTCGTTGGTGTCGAAGTGGGTTGCCCAGGACTCAAAAACTTAGAAGGAACCACTCGAAGATACAAGGCCTTAGAGGTCCTTTTCTATGCGATGTGGAATCAACTAGAATAGCTGCTTTATCAGCCTGTAGCGATAGGTGGCGATATTCCTGTGGCAAATTCCTTCCTTTCCAGCAGCTTCCAATAGCTTCCTTTTGCCACATATTCAACAAGAATTCAACAGCAGGATTCAGCGACAGAACATCCGTCAAGGTCAGCGACACGATGAGGAAAATGTTGCTTGTGGAGGAAACAAAGGAAGGTCGGTTTTTAGAGGGGTCGAGCTCTCAAATTATAGTTGTGTGAGGCCATCGTGAGGTCGAGAAGTGTGCAAAATCCAGTGCTTGATTCCTAAATCACGCGGCTAGCGGTATTCGGTTAAATTTTCGGGTAAGGTGTGATGAGTATCTTTGTCGCAGTGGAAGGAGGCGATTAGACCTCGAGTTACATTGGAAATCATGATTAGGAGGATACTCGGCTGTATGGTGGCGTTTCCGGGCTCATAACCTGTTGAAATGAGCATGTTGTGTTGATTGAAGGAGAAGAAAACTAGCGCTAACCAGCGGAAGCTATTGACAAGAAGACATTCACATCCCAGCCACCAATGGATCGGAATAGCCATTGATCCGTCAAACAACGGATCTCAACACATCGTGACACAGTGGGAGATCGGCTATACGGATCGAGCGAGCTGAACGATGTTATTAGAAGCCACTGAAGCTGCGTGCGGAGGGTCAAGTAATATCCATCCGTCGCTGCACTAGTGTGCGAGTCCAATCCGAAGCAAGTCGCGCGTAAAGACGCCAGCATAGCGAAGGAGTTAACCTTTGTTCCAGCCATTGGCGCAGGCAGGTTCTTCCAAGTGTTGATCTACTAAACCTCCCCGCGCTTCAGAACCAGCCAATTCATAGGTCTTGTTGGTCAGGTCACAGACCCTCGGGCTACAACCCGTTTCAGGCGTATTGTGAGCGCACTCGACCGGTCTCCGGGTGTAGTATGGTGAAAGAGGAGACTTCTTCGCCTGACGGCAGCTATGAGGACATGGACGAGCTCGAATTATGGCAGTCGTTGTGGGAGGATGAGGACAACGATGTTAGAGACCCAATATCGTATTGGCATGAGCGTAGACGACGGTATCCTTGTCTTTCACGAATGGCGCTGGACTTCCTTACGATTCAGCCAATGCCAGCAGAGTGTGAGAGGTTATTTGCAGCGGCAGGGCGTATGGTGACGCCTCTACGAAGTCGGCTTGATGCTGATATTATAGGGATGTGCCAGGTGTTGCGGTCGTGGTTACGATTTGGGGTAATCGACGACCTGGGCGTATTGCTTCTTCCTGTTGAAGAGAGTCGTGGTGATGAGGCGGATGAAACATCGTGGGTAGCGATGGGATGTGAGGATAAGGAGATGGAATAGCAAGGGTGGAAATAGCTTGGCTTGGATGCCAACGACTTCAACCAGTGGACATTCAACTCAATTTGAGCCGCAATTGGTCAACTCCACTGGAGATTATGGTTGATCAGGTCAACTCAACGCAACTGGGGCATTCGGTGGATTGAATTGACTGGTTTCCATCCTTGCCCCCATAGGAAATGTACAATGACTTGGTCAATGGTAAGATGTGAATGTGAAATTACTGTGCTTAAAGGTCAAGGGATATTATGGAACTGAAAAGAATATATCATTTAGCATGGCAGACTAAAGGTGAATTGGATATATATCCCTTTCTGAAAGAAGCAGACTAGACCTATGGTTTGGAAGACATTGCATATAGTGTATTATTAGGTTAATAGTCACACTGAAACCCTGCAGCTTCACTGCACACTGTGAATGAATGAATGAATGAATGAAATTTATTACGCCCGGGAGGATCTAGCCTAATAAGGCCAGCTGCACACTGTCGCCGTGCGGACAGCTCAACGATCCGGCCGGATAGTATCTATTCTCCGGCAACGCCGCTTAGCAACTGCAGACTCTTCCACAATCAAGATAATATAGCCAGTAATGACTGTCGCCGTGCGGACAGCTCAACGATCCGGCCGGATAGAATCTATGCTCCGGCAACGCCGCTTAGTAACTGCAGACCCCACAATCAAATAAAATACAGCCACTAATGCTTGCGGGCGCATCTACACTGGTCCGCCAAACTTTGTCTTGTGCCTAAGCACTTCGGTAATTACAGGGAGCGGTTCGACTCTAACAAAAGGCACGTCCGTCGGAACGGCCCAATACACGTAGCCCTCATTGGTCGGAAGATGGTCTCCATCGTGACGTCGTGTGATCCACAGTCCTGGAGTCCACTTTGGTGTCTAGGGTCATGCAACCGCAACCGGCTCAACACCGGAGCTTGATTCATCCCGGGTTCCCGATGCTTAGATCGTTAGTTTCCAAAACTTTTAACTAGTCAAATGCAACGATGTATCAAAACTAGTGGTGATATAAAAGCTAGGAACTCTAGCCTAGCACCCAAGATGCAACACATCCCCAAGCATTACAGCAAAACCAAAAGGATTATCAAGACCAAAGACCCGATTGCTACCAACATGAGCCAGTCAAAGAACATCAACAGGGCCTTATGGCTCGACAGCTTCTCATCACCTCCTTCACTTGTCGACCTACCTGTACCCCAAGCGTCGACTGGTACAGTTGTGGTCCGCGTCCTCGCGACTCCCATCGTACCCTTCACCAAAATGGTGCACTCTGGCGGGTTGCCAGGCCTGAACATGACGTTGCCTCTTGTTCCCAACCCCAATGCCATCGGCCGGGTACATGCTGTCGGCTCCGATGCTGTACGTGTCAAGCCAGGAGACCTCGTGTATGTGGACGCAACCATTCGGGGGCGCGACAACTCTGAAGTCGTGATCATGGCAGGTCATCTCGGCGGTGTGGGGCCAGAAGGGCGTAAGCTCATGCAAGGCGAGTGGCGCGACGGCTCGCTTCAGCAGTTTCAGAAGGTGCCGCTAGAGAACGTCTACGCACTGGACGAGCAACGGTTGTTCAAAGAACAGGGTTACTCTCCAGCCGTACTCCATTGCATCGCGCATTACTCTGTAGCTGCCGGTGCCCTTCTGGAGGTAGGCGGTGTCAAGGTTGCCGAGACCGTCGTCATCGGACCTTCAGGCGGATCTTTCGGTGGCCTGGCAGTCGAGGTGGCCCTTAGTGTCGGCGCAAATGTTATTGCTCTTGGTCGAAGCGAAGCAAAGCTCGCGGCCATGAAGCAGAAGCTGGGCAGTAACTCTCGACTGAGCTATGTGGTCATGACGGATGACGACGTTGCAGATACGGCAGCCATTCTTAAGTCGACGCCCAACGGCGCCGGAGCCGACGTTTACAATGATTGGACGCCCGGTGGAATGGAAAAGTCCCCATACCTTCTCCCTGCGGTCAAAACACTGAGGAGAAATGGTCGAGTCGTGCTAAGCGGTGGCTCCTCTGGTAACGTCAACATCCCTTATAGCTTTGTTGTGCTCAAAAATCTCAAGGTCTTGGGGCAATGGATGTGCGAACGCAAGACGGTGGAGCAGTTAATTAGGATGATAGAGCAGGGGCAACTGAAGGTCGGGATGGAGAGCGGTGCGGAACTGGCAGTCTTCACTCTGGACCAGCACCACGAAGCGGTGGAACATGCCGCTAAACATGGAGGTTGGAGGAATTATACTGTCATAACCCCGAATCTGAATTGAGGAATTCCTGATGGTATAAATGAGCAGAAGTTATATCTTTTAAGACTTGTGGGCCGCGCCTCGCCGTCTCGTATCTATTCAGAGCTTGTAGCTGACCTCGCTATCGTTCCCTATAGTCTATGTGCCTTAAGCTTTGCCTCCTGAAGTTCTACTGCCGCTTTATCTAGGCCTTCCCCTTGTGGAGGACGGGCTGCCTCAGCACTATGGTGGGCCATTGTGGTCACTTTCCTTGCCACCTTGATACTGATTTTCACTAAATGTCGGCCAATAAACTTGTATATATTGATACTCTCCTCCTTTCCCCGAGGACATCCGCTAAGTATTGTCTTGCCCGGTATCAGGACCCAGATCCCGACAGTCAACGTACGCGACAAAGCACCCGAATCCCACCGTCCTGAGACCGACCTATGCTGAAGATACTTGTCACCAGGCGCTAGCACACCTTATTACCATGGGGGTCTTTAATATGGTAACCGATATCGCCCTTACTATCTTGCCTTTCCCGATCCTCCGATATAGCCACCTTCCCGGCTGACAGTACGTCATGTTTATGCCCTATCGAGGATAGGGTGTTAATCTAGACTTTTAGCGCGTAATTTTAGTTTCAGAGTCGAATCTATCCGAAAGGCATTGCTTCATCCGGCCGCGCTAAGCCCTGTCTGAACTTTTAACCCGCTGACTCAGCGGCAGTCACCATAACTGCGTTTTAACATACCAAGATAATCACCGTAATTTCAGGTAATCCCGAGTATCACTTAGATATATCCGCTTAATAAGCGCATAATAATCTCTAGGAGCGCCTAGGTTCGCGGGGCCCCATGACTTTAGAACTCGCGGGGTCCCGTGAAAATAACTGGATATCCCTTCAAATGTCGAGGAGCTCCGGTCGGGTCACGACCGGGGGGCCAGCCAAAAAAATGCATCGGATCAAAGGTACCTAGGCCCCCACCTATTTTAGCCTATGGTAGAAGTACCAGCGATCTCTCGAGTTACAAATTGCTACATCACACTGCTCACATCCCCAAACTGTGAAGTCTCCCCTGAAAATTTTTTTCCCCTTCCTGCAGCTGTTAGTGGTTTGCTAGTGGAGGGGCATTTTCCAGGCCACCCGACCACGCTTTTGCCTTCAACGCCCCATCGGGGCCTTAACAGGCACAGAGAAGACCTTAGGAGAGTTCATCTTCCTCTGCAAAGCTGGTCACGACGCTCAGCCGGACTCGCGACTGCCTCAGAACCAAGGCAAACGGAGGTATTGGAAGGCGCACAAAGGCCCTCCAAACAACGGAGAGCAAATTATCCTTCGTCTTCGCCTTTTCTTTTCAGCACCAACCCTCTACCTATACCTGTGGTTGCTCGCAGCTGGTAGGTTAGCTACACCGAACGTCTTAAGGCAGGTGGACTCTTCGCCAATGGCGGCGGAGGAGAGTGATCTGTATGTCATCAGACAGGCTCCAGAATTGGAAAAGGACAGGTCAAATAGTAAGAGACGGATTGAAGGGTATAAGAGAAATTCAGGCATTTGGATCGAGACAGAATACTAGGGCTCGGAACCGAGTATTGGACGCTTCTAGAATAGGCTTAGCGAATCTTACGTAGCTGCCCCTCTCTAATCACGGGCGTAATGGAACATCATTCATTCATTCATTCGCGGGTACCGCGAGCCTATGGGCTCCCATAAACTCCTCAAGAAGTCCGTCTCCAGCTTCTCTCGTTTTCCGCCGCGTATGAGTTTTCTGAGCGCTTCTAGCATACTCTCTCTGAAGAAAAGGAATCCCAGTTCAAGCGAACGCGTCATGAGGAATCGACGCGCGTGCGACGCTTGCCGCCAGAGAAAGGTGGGTTGCTCACCAAGCGCGATTTACAACGACATCTCTGCAGTGGGATGAGGAGCGGGTACTTACTTTCCTCGATAACATAACTGATCTCTTGGACTATACTAGATTCAATGTGATGGCGACGCTTCTAGCCCTACACGACAGTGCAACTGGTGCAGTAGCCACGGAAAGGCGTGCACATTCCATGGAGTGAAGGCAAGAGAGGTGAGGAGCAAGTAGGTCAAATCTGTTCCTCGGGATCAGATAGGATTCCAAGATCCGCCCGTTTCTAACAATACCAAGACTAAATCCAGGGTTTAACGATGACCTAACAAGTCAATTCGAACGTGTCGAGAAAGCTTTATCCGACGGCCTTACTGAAAAGTCAAAAGTCCAACCGGTCTCTACCACGTCAGACACTTCAATTACATGTCGTTCGAATGGGGCCCACTCGGCATCCCCAGAAGGCTCAACCAGTCTCTATGCCGGACTTCTTCTAGGCCAGAATCGCTGCCACAGTGGCATTCCTCTCTTCACCGAAGAAGACGAGGAATGGATATATTCGCGAACCGGTGAAAAAGCCGACTTTCGAAACCTCAGTACCCTTCGCATGGGGCAACGAATCCAGCGACCAGCCCCGCCTCACGTGCCCATTCAGGGAGCAACCGATCTTCTTTGTGTACTTCCATCACGAGCTATTGTTAAGGCGTTCTTAGATGCCTTTCACCAATCCACTTTTAGATTGGCATTCCCAGTCATCGACTACACTCTGTTTCAGGAGACTATTGCTGCGGCCTATGAAGCCAGCGACACGCTGTCATCCCTGAAACACACCACCGCGAAAGTATGCGTATTAGCATTTCTTTCCATGGTGGGTTTGTTCCACGGCAAACTATCATTCCTGCCCCCAATGGACTGGGATGCATGTTATAATGCGACCCACTCCTTCCTACCACACATCCTTGATGAAGCCACCATGGAAAATCTCCAAACGATCTTGATGCTGGTAAGCTTCTACCGGTCTTAATCTTGCTTAGCGGGACGTTACGAACTCAAGGCAACCAGTACCTCCGTCAACGATATCTTGGTCGCTCAGCGTCGGGCGCTATTTACCACTCTATCGCATGCCGAATGGCATTCATGCTTGGTGGACATACAAACAGGAACACTAAATCCTTCAGCGACGAGGTCACTCGTCAGGAGCGACAAACCCGCCACATCCGACTACTCTTCTGGCATTGTTATATTTTCGACAAGGACATTGCACTCCGGACAGGACAGCCACCATTCATATCTGATAAGTATTGTGACCTCACCCTTCCTGAAGGCTACATCGAAACCCATTTCGTACTACCTCTACCAGGTCACGATATCTCCTCGTCTTTCTTCGCGAATGAGTCGCTAGTTCCTTTCCTTCCTGGAGAGTTACGACTGAGTATGCTAAAGCATAAAACATACGAGCTATTATACTCCGTTCAAGCTCTTGCCAAGTCAGATTCCGAAGTCATCCGTGCGATCCTGGAGCTGGATGATGAACTTGAAAGTTGGCGATTATCTCTCCCAAAGGTTGTTCGCCCTGCTCTCTCGATATCCGATCTCCAGCAACCAGTGTCAGATCTCAAAATGCAACACCGAATGCAACATGTTGCTCTACACCTTGAATACCACCATCTTATAGTGACAATCCACCGGGCAGGCGCTAGGTGTATTGCAAACAATCCGGACACCAGTCTTCATGCAAACGAAAGTCACGCAGCAATCAAGTCCAGCATAGCATTGTGCCTTGAAGCCAGTCGGTCAACTTTATTCTATCTTCGAGAGGTCATCGATGATCTAGCAGGAGAAATATTCTGGTAAGTTTACTTCTGATAACTCGAATGACTACACTTCAGTCCCAGAGCCCTGTTTGTAGCGTAGAATAGGCGAGGAATCTTCTAATACCACATGCACTAGGGTTACTGTCTTCTATCCCACGGCAGCGACGATGATGCTATTCCTTCACGTTCTAGCTGAACCATTGGCTCCACAAGCAAAGGCCGATCTAGAGCTATTGAGCTCAGCAGCAGACCTCATTCGCAGTATGCCAATACAAAGACTAACGCCGCATGAGATTGGCCACATTCGGTTAGTAAACGACTTTATCACAGAGCTGACCCGCCTTGGTAACTGCGCGATCTTTAAGGCTGAGATGGAAATGGGAACAGACGCATTTGGCATCGAGGAGTGTACGTAATGTACGACATATGACACACCTATACAGTCACATGTCAGCATTGTTGATAACCAAAAGCAATACCAAACAAGAACCTTAACCCAAGTTAACGAGCATCTGGGATTGCCTGATGACGTCCCTGTGTTAAGTCAAGAAGAATGTCAGCTTCCAATTGGTAGGATCTGCTGTCAATGTACATGATCTATCAACCAGAATGGAGCTATTAGATGGCACCACTGACTCCGGAAGGTCCAAGTGCTACACCACAGTTTGCATAGTTGAGGGGAACCACTTCGGAATGTCCAGATCTTTCGTCTCACCGGAACTAACGCCAGCTACGGCCCCTAGTAGTAGGTAATATTTACTAGAGGTTCTGTCACAATTCGGCATACAAACTAGTGAATGTAGTTCGATATCCGATATATATGAAATCAGATATAGCAGGATAGCGGAGAGGATATCAGGGTAGCATATCAGGATAGGCAAGTCTGGTCAGAGCATGGAAGGAGAGCAAGCCAAAGCCATAGATTGCTTCTAAGCTACGGGAATCGGAGTTGACGTCCGGCCAGCCCAAGCCAGATCTAAGGAGCGTCCACGGGCCAGAAAAAATGGTATTGGGTGCCAATACCAGTGCTAATTGGTACAGTAGGCCAAGAAATGAAAACACAGGCTCCATATGTTTTTGCTCTTCTTCCAACCAACAGACACGGAGAACTTGAGGAGAACCAAAAGGTAAAGACAGAGAAGCGACGGAACTATAATAGCTTCTATATTGAAATTTCCTCTATAATGTATAAGCTTCCACATTAAACTAAAACCGAGGACATAAGTTTGATCATCTCCGTAACATCTTCCAACTCGCCAATATACATAACATGCCTATCAGGCCGGACTAGTACCAGGCATCCTCTGTTTTGACTTATCCCATAGTTGCTATATGCTTCGCTTAGAGCCCAGGTCCTTGATTGATTGTTATCGACAAACACTTGACTAAAGGGATCACCATTCTTGAAGAGGAACGGAGGTAAGTCAGCGACCTCGACATCATCCCTGCTCGCGCTGTGCAAGATGAAGATTTCAAATACATCTCGAGGCATGACAGCACGCCCGTCGAGACGTTGGAGAAAAGCTTCAGGGAGCTCTAGCACCTGGCTAAGATGTTCCACACGGCGTAGCTGCTCTGGTTGCGATATATTGCCTGCGAAGACAACAATCCGGTACCGACCATCACTAGGAAAACATTTTCCAAAGTCAACCGGTTCTCCGTTCGCGTGTTTTTCCACGGTCTGTGAGGGTAGGCGCCTGCCCACAAGAATGCCAGGCGCCAAATGTTGTTTGGAAACAACCGAGCCACCTTCCTTAGCGACAAGCAATCCAGCCTCGTATTCGATTGCCGTAGTGGTTGAAAATGGTAGATTGTCCTGGAGTCCTTGACGGGTCCCATTAACCGAAAAGTTTGCTCCCAAGGGCGACTCCTCCGACAGAGCTTTATCGAAAGCGATAAGCTGTTTGGTCGTCAATCCGCGCTCTTCGTCATATGTCTTTAGAAGAGCAAGTGGAGAAATTCCCTTTACAACATGTGCAATTTTCCACCCGAGGTTATATGCTAGAAATGTTAGCAAAGCTTTATATCGTATAAGAGTATAGTATTTACCATCTTGTATACTGAAGTTCATACCAATCCCCGCTCTAGGTGAATGGACGTGCAGTGCGTCGCCAGCGAGAAAAACACGGGAGTGCTTCGAAGCAGAGCTTGAGACTCGACGGCGGGTACCAAATACTCCGCACCAATCAACGTGAGTGACATTGAGCTCATACGGAGAAAGAATCTCCTTCAATGACTTGATGATGGCTTCTGGAGTCGCTTCTGACCTATTAGCCACGGGGGCTGCAATGCGTAACAACCCATTCTCCCTTGGTACGAACCCCGCTCCACGCCCGTCCTTGACAATAACCGATTGAATAAGGATATCCGCTTTGAAATTTGTCAGCATAAGCCAAGGGATTAGAAAAAGAATTACGTACGAAAGTTTGAAGTCGCAACGCAGTCTAAAATCCCCCCAATACTCTCATCCCCATCATCTCCGAGAAAGTCGAAACCCAAAGCTTTGCGAGTCCAGCTTCGGCTTCCATCGGTCCCGATCACAAACTTTGCCCTGATAACTTCAGTGCTCCCTTCTTTCCCGGTAACTTTGCGCTTCAAATACGGCTCGTCTGCCGGGTTATAGTTGAAATCCCCGGGCTGTGGCACAGTATCTTTTTTCGAAGACGCAGCCAATTCTTCGTCCGTGAGATGTTGAACCGTCAATTTGACCGCGTGAGCTTGAGGATTATGTATTAGCGACTCGTCAATGTCAATAGCTGCCGCCACGACTCCCCGTTCAACTTCGAGTCCGTTAAAGGCTTTCATGCCATCCAGCAAAGCACGCTCTGTGTTGCCTACACATATTTAGATATCTTCCTAGCATTTAAAGAGAAGGGATCAAACCTTGGCTAGTGTGAATTAGATGGTACTGGCCGAGTTCAGGATACCATTTTGGAAAGCGAGCGACGCGTTTCATGGGGATGTCCTTGCCACCGGCCTATATGCGCGAAGTTAGATGAGGTACTAGACAGAAGGCAACTCTCACGAACCCAGAATGTCATCTCCATTGCAGGAGCAGCATTCTTGTAGAGGTCATCTACAATGCCAAACGAGTCAAAGATATCCAGCGTTCCAGTCTGCATTCCATCAGCATGGCCTCTGAAAACCTTTGTGGCGCGGGCATCGATGATGCGTGCTTTCACACCGCACCGAGCCATCCACAAGGCTGCCATAAGACTGCGTTCAAATTAATTAGAATATAAGCCAATAGATAAAGGTGTTTCGCTCGAAGTGAATTTACCCTGATGGCCCGGCACCAATGATTACCACATCAGTGGTCGATTCAGATGGTGCAATCATGATGTCGCTAAAGAATATAGATCTGAGAAATTGGTAAAAGAGTTAGAAGTATATCAACGTAGTGAGTGCAGTAAGTGGAATGTAATGTGATGTGGTGTTGTGTTCTTTGGGAGGGAATTACTTTGGCTTATATAACACTTTTTAATACGAAATTCTCTATATTCCGCACCGGTGCCCCACTTGTATGACAGTTGGCCGCGAGGCGCAGCATGCCTCTCCTGTGAAGCGGAAATGCAGCTAAGGGTTCAAGGATCCAGGTGTGAAACTCCAATCACCCTTTGTCATCCTTTGTCACAGTTTAGTCACTAAGGGCTTCCCTGAGAGACGACCTAGCTCCATCTCGACGTGGCGGCTTCGGACTGTGGTGTGAATCCGAATCCAGTCCTAGTGGAAGCTGGCAAGGTTGATTCTGCGCTTAGTCATCGGGAATGAGAGCGATGACGCGCAGGGTAGAACTACGTTCTGCTTGTGTGAGGTTTTAATACAATAATGAATTACCGAAATACCGGTCTGAGCGGGAACTACGCCTTGTCCCGTTGCTTAGATATGATTACCTAACTCCTAAAATTTGCCGGGTGATATTGTCCATCCAAGTATTCTCGCCCAGGGCCAGTCGGCGTCGGAATGATTTATGTGCCCGGATTTCGAGAAGGATAGCCGAGAATGGCCTTAAGGAGCTATCGGCACGTACGGAGGTAACCTACCCCTCACTACGTGAGCGATAAATTCAAGTGCTAGTAGTGCATATATATTCAAGCGTCTGTCCACTACTCGTCCACGACTCGTCCACATTATCTCTGCCCTGTTGGTTACCATCGAAACTATCGTCGTCAGAATCATCATCACCATCATGTCTGCCATTAAACCCATTATTTTTTACTCCCATGCCAGAGGTCCTGTGCCGTGGAGAGTCACCATCATACTCGAGGAATTAAACGTTCCTTATGAGAGCAAGTACCTTGAAAGCCCTGAAATGAATACAGAATCCTACAAGTCTATCAATCCGAACGCTAAGGCTCCTGCCATTGAGGATCCTAACACGGGGATAAAACTGTTCGAGGTAGGCTGTGTGTCTTCGCTGTGTATGTGGCTCTAAACGGCTAACTCGAAAAATAGGCAGGCGCTATTATCTTCTACCTTCTTGATACTTACGATACATCTGGCACCTTGCACTCCCTCTCAGGTCCAGACAAGTACTTGGAACTGGCGTGGATGCAATTTCAGGCGTCCGAACAACACATGTACTATAGTCAACATGGCTGGTTCTTGTACAAACACCCAGAGCATGTCCAGTCTGTCCTCGACCGCTATGAATGGACGATCAAGCGCACCATTGGGATGATCGACGAGTATCTCAAAAAGACCGGCAAGAGCTATCTCGCCGGCGACAAGGTCACTTTTGCCGACCTTGTCTTTGTGGTTACCAACGAGGTGGTTCCCCAATTGCTTCCTGGATACGACCCGTCGAAGGAATTTCCCCATTACGCAAAATGGAATTCTGCTTTGGTTGACAGGCCCTCATTTAAAAAGATAGCTGCCGATAGAGCAGCTCTTGGTCAGCCACTTGGTGTAGTCGATCAGAAACACATCGACGACCACGTTTGGAGAAATGATCCAAACCACAAGTGGTAATATCAATTGATATAACTTGATGTGTCATAACTATGGCATATAGCGGTGTGGTGAGAGGGGCAGATAATTATTGCCAAGTGCGGAGATTCTGACAGCAAATGATGCTAGATGGTGATGGGTTGTGTGGAGGCTATGCTACAAGGATGACAACTGTAACTACCGCTTGATCTAGTATATTAACAATAAGAAATCTATTCCTTGATACGAATTAATAACGCTTGACATGCGATGTACCCCCGGCGCAATCCACCATCTACACGAGTCCACCCGGGCACAAACCCGGAAGTCAGGCGCTGGATCGGCTGGGCGGTAAGGCGCGGTGAGTCGGTAGTCCGCCTGAACCGAACGCGTCTGTCGCAGCCGGACTCAGCCACAAAAATAAAGTGTTGCGGGGAGAAGTCCAAAATATTATGCAGGTACGGAGTATAAGTCTCCCAGATCAGCATTCCGGCCCTTTGCAACCCTGCGGATGTTTTTTTGGTCTAACCCATGGAAGCCAGTGCTCTTCCTATGCTGAAAGTGCTCCATCTCGTATTGGTACGATCCGGGTTTTGCCTGTAAGCATTCACGTAAGGCATCCAGCATAGGCGGTGTAATGCTTCGCTTCCGTCCGCCGCCGTTCGGGGGTGCTCGGCGACGTTCCCGCAGTCCGTCTACATATCATGGGCAATTCGGATATGAAATAAAACCAGATGGCGAAAATCATGTGGGCCCGACTGTGTGTCTGTCGGACTCCTATGGTCTCCATTCATTGCCGCTGACAAAGCATCACCGGTGCCGAGGTCCCCACAACCGAAAGCTCCAGCATTACTCATACCCACCGTGGCTTCCCGACAGACGGGGCCCTCATCACGCAGCTGTCAGCCCCGGTTGCTTTTCCACAGGCCTAGCTTGACGCTACGCTCCGAATTATCCCTACAAGTAGGACAATCAACTAAGCAGCCTGCTAACATCTTTTAAGGTCATTGTCTAAAGCATTCCCTCCACATCCATTTGCATGAGAACCAGGAACCCCCCGGGCATACAACACGATCAACTATGGATAAAGATGTTGGTCGACCACGAGTAACCAAAAGAAAGCGAATCTCAAGAGCATGCGATCCGTGCCGTGCTCGGAAACATCGGTGTGATGGTCGACGGCCGAGCTGCTCGGCGTGCTCTATGACCCAGCACCCATGCAGTTACGATTCTGGTATGAAGAAGCGCGGGCTACCTACTGGATATGTACGGTCTCTAGAATTACTACGGGCGCTTATATTTACCGTCGTTCCTAATAGTCTGAGTATCGTGAGGGAGCTTATACCGGAGATCCAATTCGCCCTCGATTCTCATGCGAAGCTTGTGATGGCCAGCAGACTGGTTAGCGACCCAGATACTCTAAGGCAGGCTTGGGAAAATAGTGGCTCCAGACGGAATTGGACCACCTCTTATCAAACGCCAACGACAATATCAATACAGCAACTCCCACAAGCCTTGAAAAGAAAGAAGCATCTACCCTTGACCTCCCTCAATTCACCGTAAGGTCATTCGAGGCTATCCGGGGTGAGTTGGCTGACGGAGGCCGACCTCTTTCAAATCCCATGACGTGGCCCGGAGACACCAACAACAGTGAGGCATTATCTCATCAACGACTGTTCACGATGCAGGCCCCATCCGCAGACGATGTGGGATCGATCTCCTTTCCCCAACACGCTCGGCACCTGCTTGATCTCTACTTCGCTCACACTCATTGCTGGTTGCCCATGGTGCAAAAGCACAAGATGTACGAGATCCTCTATTCACCTTCACGAGCCGCTCTTGCTGAAGCAGGGAGCTTCGCTACGTTCTGGTCAATCTTAGCCTACTCATCACTTCAAGAGTCTCGGGAAACCTTTAGTCCTGCTAGCGCGCCTGACGGTCACGGCGCCCTCTTAACACCTGAGCAAATCTACGTCAAAGCAAGACAGCAAATACCAAATGAAGAGGCCCAGGACAGACTTGCGTATTGTGATATGCTAAAGTGGTATCGCAGGCCAAATCGGGGCATGACTGTCATCTGCAGGGGGGTCTGTCATCCGGCCCCACACGGCTGCACCAAAAAATCCATGCAAACAGAAGGTCTGGACCTTCGTTTCCGGCTTTGGATGACAGGGATGACCATAGTGAATCGACTTTTCGACGCGTTTTTGAAGGTCCGACTCCGGTGGTGCCCTTCAGGTCGCGATTTTTTTCGAGTGTTCTACGTGCAACCAACACCAACACCAACACCAACCACGTCATACAACACTGAGCAAAAATATCACCATTTTCGTTGACCAACCCATTTACAATGGCCCAACGCGAAGATTTTGAGCTTCTTAAGGCAGTTGAGAACGCGACCAACTATTATTTAATTGATGAAGATAAGACGCAGCCACAGAATACGCGTTGTACGTATACGCGTCCCCAGAAGGAGTGGAAGGTATGGAGGCAACTTACATACACCACCACATATACAGCTGCTTATTTATTATAATTTAACTGCAAGACGAATCATATTGCTAACTTATATCCAGGAATGGTGTGCAGAGAAAGCATTCCCGTCTATCCCTCCAGACTGGCCTAAGCCGTACAACCAGGGAGGCGTTCTGCCAGCTCACCTGGTGGATGAGGGCAAATTGGTATGGTTTCTCGACGAGAAAGTCGTCAGCAGGGCACCTAAGACTGGATCTCGAGCGAAAAATGAGAGAAAACGCTGGGCCGAAGGCGTGGCTGAACGCAATGCCAAGAAGGCCAAGACGACCTCTGTTGACGACCCTGCTCGCCCTTCAGCTCCAGATGACAGCTGTATCACTGTTGCCGTCAAAACGGCCGTGGATAAGATCGATCTGACATCAGAAGATGAAGAGGAGCCATTCAAATCCGCACTTACGCTCAAATTCAACACCGTGAGGACCTACGGCAACGCCATTACGAGACTCTGGGCAGAGCAACGAACGAGGAGAATAAATGGCCAGATGTTAAATCCATCGTCACATCCACGTGGCTTTGCAAACAAGGCTATTTATCGCTATCTTCTGCGACAGACTCACGAGAAAGGACGTGAAGAGTGGGCAGACCGTATGGTAGGCACCATTAAAGATGCCTACTCGCCTGCCAAAATACCAGAGCATACTCGTTGTGCCTGGGGATTGAAAGAGAAGGCGTGTGGACTGCGTACTTCCGTGGATTTTCTCTTCGGCAACCACATGTTGTTACGATCAAGCAACCGGAGGCCTATTGAGTTAGCCGACTGCTTCTGTCTTGAGTGTCCTAACGAGGGCGTCCAGATTCACAACAACCCAACCTACGCCTTTGTTGTGGTTATGAATCAAGGCAAAACTAACCAGAACGGCCGAATCGAGTATGGGGCTTGCTTGAGACATCGTGACCCTTATGCTTGTTTGGTTGGCCAACTCGCTTTCTGGCTGTTTTTTCGCTGGCAGGTTGAAAGAGAGCCATTTCCAGACTTCTCGCGTCCCGAGAAATGGTATAATATTAAGATATTACGACAACGGAAAGACAGACCAACAGGTAAGTTGGATTGTCTTCTTATTTACGAGTCTTTGTAGCTTATAATTATATAGCAGAACTCTCATATCAAACAAGCCACGCGTGGACTCGTCGTCTATATAGCCATGTCGGCATTAAGACCTCTAAGGCTAGTCATGCACCTCGTGTTGCTGCTACGCAAAATGCCGATATGGCTGGCGTTCCTGAAGCACAAGTGGGTAACCTCCCTCTGACTCTGGTAACACTATTAACTTATTATTAGATTAGACGTGCTGGCAGATGGAATATGGGAGACTCAATGATAGGCTGTTATCTCACATCGCTACCCTACGCGTTCATGAGAGCCTCTGCCGAGTTAATCCAGAAGGCAATACCTGCAATTGCAGAGAAAGTCCGTGGAGTTGAGGCTGGAATCTATAGTCTAAAGAAGACTGTAGAGACGGAGGTTTTATCTCTTAAAGCAGAAGTCACGAGGCTGAAAGACGAGATCCAAGAACGCAACAAGGCTGAGATCACTATAGTCACAACTATCAGCCCTTTCGGCAGAACACATCGTCAGACTGTTCGATGCGAACAACAAGAAGGTATTCCAACGTCCTCACAACGAAGGCAGTCTTCATCCCCAGAGACCAGAGCCCCGGCAGCTACTAGAGCTCCAACGGCCATCACGACAACAACAGAGTTACCTCCACAGATCGGATTCCCACGAACTATTCGTACAGTCAGAGATCTCGTGAGGCTCTGGAGACATGGTCTGGCAGGCTATATGGACTCGGTTGACGGGTTAGAGAAGCGATGGGGCTCACAGTGGCGGCTACGTAATGAGAGGCAACTCTTTTCTACTCGCAAACGGATCGTCGATGAGGTGGTCTCTCGGTCACAGGCAAACGGCTGGTCAGAAGATGAGTCGGCGAGACAGCTGGACGAGGAGAGAGGGCAACGCTCATTAGATTGGCTTTTTAAGCAGCTGTTGGATTGTGACCTCGGGTGGCGGCATAAATATCGCCATCAAAGATGAAAGTTGCCACCTATTGCCACTGGCTTAGCAAGCAGCTTCTAGTTGATTCCACATAGCTCAGAAAAGGCATAAAAAGCTTGCTCTGAACCCTTAAGAAAAAAGGGAACAACCTTCTCAATTAAGATCATTTGATCAATTACTCATGCTATTGCATATAGCAAATTGCGTATCCAACAGCAGCTTAAAGAGCGTACAGGCTAAAATAAATAGCTCCTAGATCAGATCACCCCGAGTCTCTATGGCCTAGGTTACCCCTGAGCAATCTAAGTTAGATTTAGCTATCTAATCGTGACCAAACTGATACTATCTTATTCGCCTCATTCTGACGAGTAAAAAATAATAGTATCGTTATATCCATAATATAAAAATATTAAGCCCACGATGAGTCTGTATTAATAGCGTTCCTAGAGGCAGTTATAGTAACTAGAAGAATTAGAAATAGTCGACTGTTTTAGTGGAGTTTCAGTGGATATATAGCGGCAGTACGCTGAACGATACGCTGGAGACCGCCTAAAAATCCGACCCAATTTACGTTTCCGGACACAACTTCACAGCCACGCAGGCTACCGATACGCAACATAGATCAAATGAATCGCCAGAAGCAGGGCTTCACGTAGGTACAACTTTTATCGCACCGCGACGCGCAGCCGTCGGGCGCCGGCGTCGCGTTGCTGATATCACCAGGAAATCCGGGATATTACGGGCTGCGCTGTCATCTGCGGGGTCATCCGCCGATCACGCACCCAAAAGCCCCTGCGATATCCGCCTGATATCACAATACGCAAGTCTGCCCTGTCAAGTCTAACAAGAGCGTGCCTAGAAAGTGCGCCAACTGCAAAGGCGAACATGAGGCATGGAGCAACCAATGTGCAACCAGGAAAGATGAAATGGCCAAGGTTAAATCCGCCTACGCCGCACGCCCTAGGTACCACCTAGTGCCACAGAGCAGTATGGCAATCAGCCAGGCGAACCCAACTGCGAGAACTCAGGAGGAACCGATCGGACGAACCATCCGGGAGAGAGCACCATCCCTCGTACCTAGTCGCAGTCAGCAGAATCGGCAAGGAAGAAGCAAGTCACCGACAAAGAGAGGGCAAAAAAGAGCCAATCCTGGAAGCAACGTAACTCCCCTGAACGACGTGGAGAATGAGATCACAGTCAACACGGGTAGTCAACGGCCCCAAAGAATTATAATGCCATCTAGAAGGGCACTGGAAGCCCTTGATGCAAACTCGGCACGACTACACAGCACCTACCAAGCGGACAACATGGACGTCGACAACCGTGAATGAGACACATGAAATCATTCTCAATATTACAGTACAACGTAAGAAAATCGAGAGACACCGTTATGGCTACCCTATTACGGGACCCAAAGGTGATGGAGTTCGACATCCTAGCCATCCAAGAACCATGGGCGAATTCTTTCATGCACACCACACACCATCCGGCAAAAGACCGGTTTCATCTATGCTACCCCCAAGACGAAGGCGAACGCCCAGCAAGGGTGTGCCTGTATATAAACAAACGCCTCGATCACTCAAAGTGGCAATACGAGGCGCACAATCGGGATCTTTGCACGGTAACGATAACCCTAGGACAAGGAGACGAGACGAGAGAGGTCAAGGTACACAACATTTACAACCCCGACCAAACGGCAGAAAACAGGCGAAGCGTACTACCCCAACTGCGAAGGGTGCTCGACTCGGCTCGGCAAGCAGAGCAAATACTAATTGGAGACTTCAATCTACACCATGAGTTGTGGGGGGGCTCCCATATCTCTAGAACAGAGGCAGAGGCAGAGGATCTCGTCGAGATTATGGAAGACTATAACCTCACAAACACTCTGGCGCCGGGCACTATCACGTACGAAGAAGGCAGGAGGCAGACAACAATCGATCTCTGCCTGGTCACCCTCGGCCTGGTTGATCGGGTCATCAGATGCGAAGCAGACCGTAGTCTCGATCACGACTCAGACCACTTGCCGATCGTCACTTCCCTCGACGTGTCAGTCAAGCAGCTCAGCAGAGAGCCCAACAGAAACTGGAAATCGATAGATGAGAAGAGATTCAGGTCTGCGGTCCTGGGTAAGCTGCCGCCGCAGCGAAGACCGAGAACCCGAAGCGCGCTTGATCGGTACGTGGGGGAAATAGTTGAAGCGCTGAAGAGTGCGATAGAGACAGCAGTGCCCCAAAGGACATGGTCACCTAAATCCAGACGCGGCTGGGATGATGAGTGCACGCGAGTGCTGGCAGAGACCAAGCGCCTCAGACGACTCCACGATCTCTACCACACGGAAGAAACATGGGAGGTATACCGAGCGGCCAGAAATCACAAAGGCAGGGTAATCAAGAAGGTACTGAGAAGAGCGCATCGAGAGAATGTTGAGAGAGCTTCAGAGTCACCAGAGGCTCTCTGGAGAATGGCAAAATGGGCTAGAAACAGAACCACTCAGGCACCAGAGGTAACACCTACACTAGAGCACCCAGACACCTCTCAAATGGTCTCAGACCCAGCGGAAAAGGCAGAGGTCTTCAGGAAGACATTCTTTCCCTCCCCACCGGAAGCAGAGATTGGCGACATCGAAGACGCGACTTACCCGGACCGGATAACGATGCCGCCCATTACAGAACAAGAAGTGGAGAGAGCCATACAAGAAGCCTCGCCGCTCAAGGCCCCCGGCCCTGATGGCATCCCGAACAAAGCATTGCAACTAGCAGCGACATGGATTAAGCCTCACTTGTCGGCGATTTTCAATCAGAGCCTCAATCTCGGTTACTGTCCCCAACACTTCAGGGAATCGACAACAGTTGTACTGAGGAAGCAGGGAAAGGACAACTACACCATTCCTGGGTCTTACCGGCCGATAGGGTTGTTGAACACCGTAGGCAAGATCATGGAGGCTATAATAGCACACCGCCTGAGCTACGTGGCGGAGACACATAACCTGCTCCCCTCAACCCACATGGGAGGTAGGAAGATGAGATCCACCGAGCACGCCGTGCATCACATCATCGACAAGATCTATGAAGCGTGGAACAGAGGCCGAGGGCAGATAGCCAGCCTGCTATTACTTAACGCCTCTGGCGCCTTCAATAACTTATCACACAAGCGACTCCTGCACAACCTACGGAAGAGGAAAATTGATGAGAAGACGGTTCGGTGGATATCGAGTCTTCTTGAAGTCCGACACACCAGGATCTCGATCGATGGATTCAAAACCGAGCGACACAGAATCTCGACCGGGACAGTACAAGGCTCGCCGCTCTCACAAATCCTCTACATTTTTTACAACGCAGATCTCATCGAGAGCTGCAACCTAGCAGAGGACACCACCTCTACTGGGTTCATTGACGACGTGGCGATCCTCACATGGGGAGATACGACGACGGAAACTTGCAACAAGCTTCAAGGAGCACTCCAAACAGCCGAGCAGTGGGCGAAAACCCATGCGTCAGTCTTCTCACCCAACAAATTCCAACTCATACACTTCACCAGGGCACGCACGAGAATAGACACTCAACACCCACTGCAAACGGCATGGGGCGAGATCCCGGCAAAGCCGACCTGCAAATATCTAGGACTCATCATGGACTCTGCGCTGCAGTGGAAGCCCCACGTAGACGAAATACGGAGGAAGGCGACGAAAACAATCTCAGCCCTAAGCAGCCTGGGTAGCTCAACCTGGGGCCTTACCCTTCAAGACATGAGGAAGATCTACCGAGGGGTGGTGGTGCCACAGATCATATATGCATGCTCTGCGTGGTCAAACTCAAACTGGAGAACGCGAAACATGCCATACACAAGCAAGACACTGGTACAACTGCAACGTCTGCAGGCACGGGCAGCCAGGGCGATTTCTGGTGCCTACAAAGCCACGTCAGCCCCCGCCCTGGATATCGAAACACATCTTCTGCCCATCGAACATCAAATCTGAAAGCACAACGCTGACTGTCTGGGAAGAATCGGCTTTGGCGGACAAGAATCCCAGCACAGCGCAGATGGTCTGGGAAGAGGAAAGACAAAAATAAGCCCACGCAGAGCAGTACAGAAAGCCATACAGGACGAACAAGGGTTCGAGATGGAGAAAATGGAAGTAATCACCCCGCACGTCGTCCCACCATGGTGGATAGGCCCAAAAACGTTCATCGAAGAGAGCGTCGAGAAGGCACAAGCGAGACACCAGTACGGCATCAGCAATGAGCCAAGCGCCATACACATATATACAGATGGAAGTGGCATCAACGGACACGTGGGCGCTGCGGCTGTGTGCACGACGACCAGCCAAAGCAGGAGCGCTTACATGGGCGACGACACTGTATCGACAGTGTACGCCGGCGAACTCCAAGGGATCTCCCTGGCTCTCCAGATCGCCCAGGGAGACAGAGGCCAAGGCAATATCAGAAAGAAAATCTTGATCTACACAGACAACCAAGCAGCAATCAGGTCGGTGGCGAGGCCCAGGGGCAAATCGGGGTCATACCTTCTCCAAGACATAACGCAGCGAATACAGGAACTACGAACGCAAGGCTTGGCCGTCGAGATCCGATGGTTCCCAGCCCACAAGGGGATATACGGTAACGAAGCGGCCGACCGTGCGGCCAAAGTAGCCACGGGATGGAGACAGAGAGGACCACCAGGGCCAAGGGCGCAGCAACCCCCGGTACTGTATTCATTGAAGTCCACATTGAAAATGTGGTCGCGCAGAGTTGTCAACGACAGATGGAAAACGCAATGGCGACAGGAAACCAGGGGCCGGTCAACCTTCAGGCACACACCGGAGCCAACACCAAAAGTACTACAGCCACACAAGCACTTCAGCAAGAGGAATAGCGCAATCTACATCCAGCTCCGGACGGAGAAGATTGGGATGAACGACTTTCTCTTCAAACGAAGAGTGCCAGGGATCACAGACCCTAGATGCGACTGCGGCGAAGGACGGCAAACAGTAGCCCACATCCTGCTTCAATGCAGGAAGCACACCGCACTTCGAAACAAGGAGTTGGGCCAATTCCCAGGGCATCGAAGCCTCCGGGCATTAATGAGCGAGCGCAGAGTAGCAGCAAAGGTCGTCAAGTTCATGGAGCAAACCCAGATCCTTGGGCAGTTCAGGATCAGTCCATACCATGCGATACCCCTCCACCAATAAGACCCCTCTACCGATAAGCAAAAAAAAAGTTTCCCCATACAAAATGCATTTTTTCAACCTCATGAGAAAAACTTAACAAAATTAGTAAAAATAAACTCATTTCCAGTATTCAGGTTAGAATTCAATATATTTTAATATTTTCTTGGCCTTTTAACCTCGCGGCCTGAGCGAGTGCGTACAATAAGTAACTCTTCCGCCTCCGAGTTTGAACTTTCATCCTCCTGCATCCCTCCCACCTCGATCACATCCTCAACAGCCCCCGTCTCCTCATTTGCTTGGATTGGCTCGGGAATAGTCTCACCAGCCACTAGAGCCTCGGCTAATATCATAAACTTCTTGTTGGGATTGGGTATGGCTTTTCTCCTCTTGCCTCTACTCAACCGGCCGACTTCCTCCTCCAGACTGGCGATTCTTAAGCTTAGGGAGGCAATCTTTGATTCTTAGGCTTCAAACCCTTTCGATATCACAGAATACCGTCTTCTAGTTGAAGGGCTCTTATTTTTCCCCAGATCTCTAATATAACGGCTGGTTTTTAGCGTATTATCAGAGTCGAGTTGCCCGTCCCTGAGACCCTCTAATTCAGGCGTAGTTTCCTTCTTGTCTGGCTGAATCTCTGGATATATAAGGGCTTTCCGTCGTGAAATTGGCCAATTTCCAGTCACTCTCCAGCCTGAGAGGATATTTTTCTGGGTCATACCCACTTCCCTGGCTTTGGCATAAGCCTTGATGAAGTTGGCCTTATCCACCGGCGCAGAATCAGTCAGGCTTGCCAGTTTTTAGAGTTCTTTGCAATATGCAGCTTTGGAGGCATTAAAAACGCCATTGTCCAGCGGCTGGAGACCATGAGAGCAATGTGCCGGCAGGTAACAACAATATACGTTATTCAAAAAGCACGTAGCCATCCACTCATCCTGGATTTTGAGTCAGCGACATTTATAACCCAGACCAGTTAGGTACTTGCAGATACATAGCTTCCATGGCCATCTAATATAATAAGTCTGGCATCGGACTCATCTTCTAGCCGGGTTTGAGGCAGATAGACCTCTCTAAGCCACTCAACTGCGATATGGTTGTCTGTCCAGCCGTTCTCAGAAGTAATAAAATACCAGTCGGCTATCTTCTTAAACTCATTAATAAACTATTGCTGCTGAAGCTCTTTGCCTTTGAAAATAATCCCAGGTTTCAGAAGACGGCCATCTGCAGTCACGGCTTCGATAAAGCTAGTCCAAACGCGGGACTGAGAGCCTTTAAGAAAAGCCTTCCTCTTAGAATCACTACTGCCGATAACCAAGGAATCCAAGCCTAGATTCGCAATAGATTAGTGAGTTTTGTGGCAAAAACGATAAATACTCACCAAATCCAGCCATAATACCGCCCTCGTCAACATTAACTGTATTCTCAGCCTTAATCCAACCATACTCTCTCTCCCGGATATCAAAGTACCAATTGACGGCCATTGGAGTAAAAGAATTGAATCTCGAGGCCTCCTGACGTTTCCCTATCTTCGTCTTTATGGTCGAATGTCGTTTCATAAACCTGGCTATCCAGTGTGCACCGATTACCCTTTCCCGGCCTTATTATCTCAAGAGGGCAGCGACGGTGGCGCGAACTTGACTGTGAGAAGGAGCATAGCCCAAAGCCTCTTGTCGAAGTATCCATGTGACTAATCTGGACTCCTGAGACTTGGATAACAGCTGGGAAGGATGGGTGACCTCAGACTTTGACGGTACGCCTCTTAATCGGCCCCAAAGAGTCGGCTGAGGGATGCCATACTTCTGGGCGGCTTAGTTCTGGAAGAGGCCGTTATCTGTAACATCCAATATTGCTTCAATAATGTCATCCTCTGTATAAGAGGCTCGAGGCATTTTTAAGGCAATTATAGAAGGCTGGTATAGATAAATCTCCTATAAGCTTTGGGGAGGACTATTCGTGGAGGAAGCATTAATAGAAATTTTACATTAGTGCTATGCAACCAAACCGCTGATATAATATAAAAAGGAATAGCATAATACGAAACAGCATAAAACTCTCAATAAGACACAGCTTGTTTCATGTAAATAACTTCAATTTTGGCCAAGCACCGTACAAGTGAAATTGGGCATTTTGTATGGGGAAACTTTTTTTTTGCTTATCGGTAGAGGGGTCTTATCGGTGGAGGGGTATCGCATGGTAATCAGACCAAGCCGAGCACTGGGGGGAGACTGTAGGTAGGAGGACCCATACACGAGGCATATAGTTCGCCTAATTGGAGGCCAAAACGATGTGTATATTAGCATTTCGAACCGCTATCTATAGAGGCCGGCTGGCCAATGCAGAGAAGAGGTTTGGGAGTAAAAAGCGGGAAGTTTGGGGCAGCTGGCCAAACGCCAGATGGTGTTGGCGAAGTGGGGCGCCACGGACAAATATTCGGGGCGCTTCGGCTGTCATGGCTGCTGTGGAATGGCGGCTAAAACCGAGTAGGAATTGAACCTGAACCTGAACCTGTGGCAGACTCGGTACCTTAGAACTCCGAGGAGTTACCTCACAAGACACCCTGTATGATGGGTCACAACTTAGCACCCCAACGCGTCATCCATCCCACTCGTTCCGGCTCATCCGCCCTTTGTCCCAAGATGCACTGACTAGACTTGCAACTTTAATTTTCACGCCAGGACAACTTACCAAGCGAAGCCGACACAAAGCCTCGCAATGACAGTACCGATATGATGGGAAGCAAGGGTGCAATCCATTCAACGCCACGCACCCCAACGGATTTAGGATTACTTCGTGAGCCGTGCAAGCGTGCACGTCCCCTTTTGAACTCTAAATCTACTCCACGGAGGTCTCTGGTTGAGTGGGTTGCATCCTTGATGGGAAGTACTAGGGGGGCCTTAAAAGCGGCGCCCCCGTGTGACTCGTTCCTCCTACACGGGGGGGCTCTTGAGTACTAGGGGGGTCTCGTCATTTCTTTTCAGCTCAACCCCCCGTTCGTCCCTCACGGGGGGTACGTTGACTAGCCAAAAGTTCGGCGACTAGCCAAATTTAGGTACATCAATTCTCACTAAATTCTTGGTGTAGATGAGGTACCTTCATTATAGCGATTACATGGGGTCAGTTGCATCAGTATGTTCCAAACGAAAAGTCAGTCTGGTGTAAGTGACTGACCAAAGTGCCATTTTTATCATTTCTAGTCATCTTCTTCGTCTTTTGGGACCAGGAATTCGCCCTGACTATTATCAATCACATCTTCCGCGATAACCTCAATTCCATCAACCTCAAAAGTCAACTGTTTCTTTCCAAGAGCCCGTTCCTGTGCGTTGAAAATAGCAAAGTTGACCGCTTCTTGAACCACTTCGGAGTCGTAGTCTCTCGGCCAAGATCCTGTTCCTTGCCATCTATTGTCACCTATTCCTAGCTGTTGAAGCTGGCGGTGAAGAGCATATTTCTGCGCAAGCCACTGACTCGAAGCAAGGTGAGAACGCCGGTCTGTTTTGGACCACCAGTTGCTGCGTTTTAGCTGCAACTGGTATAGCGGCTTCCAGGCTCTTCTAGGGTTAGTATATATGACTTCGAGCCTTACAGCTGTGATGCTAGGCCTCACATGTGACCTGACATCACGCATCCAACGGCGTAAGAAGAGACCTTCATCTTGGCTATCTCTTCGTAAAATTCGCTTCTTCTCATCAGCCTGTGCAGCTTGTCGATTGTATTCATCCTTCGAGACTCGAAGCCTCGCATCACCGACAGTGATTGGGCCGTATTTTGCTATGACTGACGTCTGTGTTTGGAGGGCTGACCGTCTCATAGCCTTATCTTTGAGACGGTGCAGCTCCTGAGTTGCGGTAATACCATTCAGCGCCAGTGTGTTACTAGCACTGACTGCATATTCAAATACACGCATGACTGACGGGGTCAACGGCACCCCTGATGTAATTGATGTGTGCATACGAAGCATCACATAGTCCTGATATTTCTCAATAACCTTCATTAGTAGTGGTGGTGTAGCTGCCTCTCCCCAGTCATACGCTGTCAACAGCACCCTCTGAGGCGTCACAGGTGTTGTGAAGCTATCACGGCTATGCTGGTGTGGTGTTATGATTACTGATGAAGAGCCAACTTCCACATGACCTGGGAGACTCTCAGCAGAGATATCTGCAGTTAACGATGACAGCGGATCAGCGAGGTTATCTAGGACCTTAGCTGGGTTATGAGGAAACAGGCCGCATTTCCCCCAAGCAGAGATAATCGTATTCTTCCGGAAGGTGCGTTCTCGTATCTCTTGGAGGTGGTACAGGAAGTCGGTCTTATTGAAGTCATTGGCGCCGTCAGCAATTTCTCTGTAAAGGATATGCTGATGCCACTTCTTATATGCGTTGAAAACACCAACATCTAGAGGCTGAAGATAATGTGTAAGATGTGGAGGCATAGGGAACAGCTCGATGTTGTGTTGACTGCAAAAATAGAAGATTTCATGCGTAAAGTGGCTCTCACACCCATCCATAAGAAGCAGCCGCTTCTCTTCCGGGTTAGAAGGCCGTGTAAGTCGCTCAAAGTGCTTAGCCCACTCGAGGGCTAGGATGTCATTGATATACCCCTTGCTGCTAGTGGTAATTATAGTATCGTCACTAAGCCGATTTTGGACCCATTTGACGGGAATGTTGACACCGGGCATGATGATAAACGGGGGAATAGAGTCACCAGCAGCCGAAATTGACTCAACCGCGGTCACAGAGATAGTAGTGTGTGCATCAGTTAGAATGGGCTGTTCAACTTCTCGAAAAGTCCACACGAAAGTGCCTTTCTGGAGATATCCGATCATAAAACCTGTCTCATCGAAGTTCCATATATTCTCAACCTTGATGCTATTCTCACGCACAAAGTCCTCAAAGGCGCAGAAAAAAGCCTCGATGTGGGCGCGGTCTTGCATTGCCTTACGCCTTACATCTTGGGTCATTGACTTCTTCACATAAAACGTGCTTTTCCAGCGCTTCATGAAGCGCTTAGCCCAGATATGTGAAGCCTTGCGAGAATGGCCCGAGGCTCTTAGAATAGCATTTGCATTGTGTTGAAGAGTTCGAAGTTGAATGTGGTGGCCCTGTGTGACCCGGCGATGTGCCTAACACAGTATTGCCTGCTCCTGCATGTCGGTCAAGAGAGTGTTATTACCGCCATTTTGAGTGGCAGGCTTTGCTCCTTTGGTACGGCTCAGGAGTCTATCATACGGGACTCTCAGGTCTCGCGATGCCGCAGCAACGGAGCGATAAAAACCCTCGTGGAAGAGCTCTGCCGCAGCAACAGTACGCAGCTCGAGGTTACCGTTATTATATCGCGAGAAATCGGGCTTTCCGGTGCGAGGGTTGATCCATTTTTGCACTGCAGATAAATCTGGCTCCGGGCTGCAAGACGAGCTATTCTGATTACGAATTGACGAAGAACTCATAATGTTGTAGTGGTTTGAAGTTGTAGTGTTTTGGTGGATGCTACCAATTTGAGGATGTAGTGATGTGGGGTTGGTGTTGCAGATGTGTCACAGCGCGGGGCTGTGCATACGCCTTGTACGTAAAGGAGTTATTTGATTAAACATTGGTACATAACTTTACTAGGGCCTACACCTATTTTCTAGGTATCTTTCTTAGCTCGGTGAGTCGCCGAACTTTTGGCTAGTCAACGTACCCCCCGTTCGTCCCTCATGGGGGGTTGAGCTGAAAAGAAATGACGAGACCCCCCTAGTAGGAAAAGTGTGTGATTCGGAAAATAATCCAGGGTACATGAGCCTACACGTTAATTAGTATGCGCCCCAATGTACCGGTAATTCTATTAGGTCAATAGGCCTGTGTTGGATTGACCCTCGTCTGACGCAATCCTCTGATATGTCAATATCCTGATCTTAGTCATAGGTGGCGAGATTGACATCATAGGTGGCGAGGTTGATAGAAAAAGCCCCTCTCAGAAAAGAGGGGGTCGGAGAGAGAAGATCATCAATACAATCATCAATTGAAATCAGATCATTTGATCAATTACTTATCTCTTGATTGACCAAGGCGTATTGGATCCATCAGCCTGTGTAGATAAATATTACAGGGCCTCTACGCGGGGTACTGACATAAATCATTATAAACGAGTGACCTATTCTCCCATACAATCTACTAAGCGAGTAATGTATCTTGATTTTCCCAATCAAAAAAACGAGTCACACGGGGGCGCCGCTTTTGAGGCCCCCTTAGTACCGGTAATTTCGTGTGTGAGTGACATGCCAGCATATTGCGCTCGGACCTTGACGATGCTTTCATTGACTCCGGTTGGACGCCATAACCAGGGTCGCAGAGCATTTTGACAAGAGCGTTGATTTCTCGAGACCGAGACAGCAACGGTAAGTATTGGGAGAAGACACAAGAGCTAGAGTGCAGAGCAGCGAAGTCTGGGGTTGTATTGTCCTCGCTATTTGCCGACCTTGTGTAAGCCATATTTAGCTTTAACAACTTGATGCAAAAGTCACTGCATCCAGCATTTCTTATATTCTGACTGAGAATCTACGAAAGGGACACAATCCCTGAGCTCTGGAACGCCGAGCACCTCACGGTCGTCACTGAGAGTTAGAGCGCGCAGCTCTTGTCCATTCAGCTAGTCCTCCTACAATCACCCAAAGCCCCACAATTTCACTCTTAAGTTGCCCATGTATCAGTCGCGCCATGACCCGTGCAACCGCTTTACAGTCGGTCTTCGCAAAGATCCGTGAACCCGCTTACGCATCGGCGAGAACTTCAACCAGCGGTAGAGCGGTTACCCGATCGGGTTTGAAATTAGCCATACGTCCGCTTACACATCGATCTTTAAACTAGAGGAAACAGGGCTATCGAAATTCCGTCTGTCAACAGAACGCGTGGATAATATGTATGTAGTAGAGCCGCTAAGGGATATAAATACCTGCCACAGGTCTTCATCAAGATGGAGAAAACATCCCAGGAAGCCCTTGAATACATACTTTTGCATACTCTTTTGATCATGAAGTACCTTTCCCTGCTTTTCTCCCTAGCGGGTATCGCCTACGCCAAAAAGTATTCTCATGCGTACCATTTTGCTCCTGAAAATACCACTGAGCCAGTCAATGTATGCTGAAGACTTTCCCGAGGGAAACCGATCCCACCCTAACACCTAACAGGAGAAATTGCCATGGCTTTATAATATTTCTGATTCCCAACTGATCACCAATGACGGAACAACCTCTTACTGGACTTGTTCATTTCTGACCGCGTCGGACGACCACCAATACGTGGTTCTCGGTCACACCATGTGGATGGGAGGTATTGCTCAGGCCCGCGCATCCATCTTGGATGTTACAGACCCAAGCTATTACAAGACTCTGCTCTACACGAACGAAGATGCGACTGTCTCAAGCTACAATGGACATATAGACGCTTCAATAGGAACTCTTGGAATTCGAGCGTTATCTGCCGATAATGTCACCCGAATTCACAGCTACAGCACTTTCGAAATTGAGTACAGCCTGATCCTAACAGCCTCTCCGGTGCTCTTCAATGGCGGACTCGGAGAATTCACATTCGGCAACAAAACTTGTGGGGAATGGAGTTTCCCCGCGGGAAGAACTGAGGGGACCTTTGTTGCCCGTGGCAAGGAACTGACTGTTGATCCTGAACGCTCGTTCACTTGGTATGATCGTCAATGGGGAGGATCTGCTTTCCTAGGAAACTACACCTGGTTCCAGCTACACGTGCCAGGCACCGATATTAAAGCCAGTATTTGGGCTATCGATGATAACACCAACCAGAAGAATATCAGAATCGCGACCTTCAGATTTGAGGATGGCAGCCACCGAGTACTTCCCTTTGAATTCAGCGAGTCCACAGAAAGCCAGTATCATTCCAAGGCTACCGTGAATACCTATGCGACCAAATGGGACTTGGAATTTCCTGGACAGGGTCGAATCAGTGTGACCAGTCTGAGAGATGATCAGGAAACATACAACACTAGTAGCAATGCTACACCTGCATATGAGGGCTTCTCCGAGTTTGACTTTAACCTCTTTGGGGTCCGTTCCCAAGGATACGGCCTTACGGAAGTGGTATTTTTTGGATAGTTGCTACAAGAGCTGGAACAACGTAGCAGGCAGGTAGCTGCGGCGGTGACTTTCAGCATGGAATATGCCGGTCGAAAGTACCAGAGTTATCCGGGTAACTGCAATAACCAGAGGATCTTCTGCCACGGGGGGGAACTAAGATACAAGGGCACTTCACTTGCCGCATATTATAGATGCCTGTCAGCCGCCCTGTTCTGCGGCTTAATGTTATTGTTAATTACATTTGGAATAGGGGTAAGACCCCTGTAAGAAGTAACTAAGCTAAAAAGAACCACATTGGTTATATGTATAAAGAAGTAGTTAAAGGATCCCGCTATCGTATTATATTAAGTATATGGGTCGATTTCCGCCTATGCTGAGTAATAATATCTTTTAAAATTATTTATTAACCTTCTTAAAAGAGGGGACCTACGGGTGCAATAGAAGATGTGGTCAAAAGAGATTGGGTTAATTGTGTCGGAGAGCTTGCGTAGCACCTGGATGACTTAATTTAGCTGTTGATGTGTGTGTATTGTATGAGTTCTCAACTAGGCTATTGCTGTGTTTCTTAGGGGTAATAGGCTTCCCTGACGCCTTTCTATTTAGGCTATGCCTAGCAGAGCCTCGGCTCTGACCATGCGACTACCCGGGCGATGCTATGTATTAGATATGAGAGTGAACTGTGTTCTATTCTTCTCTCTCCCCGTCTGACAGAGGGCTCGCAAGGGCCTTTATATACAGAGATGCCCTTATCATCATAGAAGCAACAATAAGGTTTTCTTAAAACCGGATCTGAGGGGTCCGGGCCTTTGAGACCGGGCCGCAGTCTCAGCAGTTAACACCGGCCCATAGTCTCATCAGTTGATACAGACATGCGTATTGTGATATGCTAAAGAGATATCACACTGTGCTAAAGTGCTAAAGTGATATATATCACCGTGAATATATATCACACTTTTTTTCAGCTAAATGTGATATTGTGAAGGGTTCTAATAGTGTAAATTACAGCTATATAGTCCTCATGCGTTTTACATACGAACTGAGGAAGGAAGAAAGAAAGAAAGATAAAAGGACCGAAAGTCCTTCAACAAATAGACCAAGTCGTCACTAGAGCAACAGTGCTCAGACCAGCAAGAGGACAAGGCACTGCCTTGTCCAGCAGGGCCTGGCCCGTTACAGATATCACGATAGCTAAAATGCTATCGGCTATGTAGCTCCCTGTTGCATCGGATAGGAAGGGTGCATTGTGATGTGAATAGAAGCTCTTGATTTCTAGCTATTTGAAGGGCCCAAATCAGCCCTTATATACATAAAGGAAAAGACGGTCTCGTGACCTAAGTCAGGGATCCGAGCCTTCAGGGGCTCGAGCCTGTGGCCTGTTGTGAGGGCACAAAAAAGCAAACATGATCCTAGAGTCTGATGATAGTTGTGACACTCCCTTATCTGATAAGGTTAGATAATCTTATTTACAGTACTTTGGTTGGACCTACTTCAATGAACTTTTTCAACACCCCTTGTTCTCGTCACATCTTTAACACAGTATAGGATTTCATAGTGTATTTAGATTCGCAGAATTCCCCATAATCTAAATACAAGTTGTTGTGAACGGCCTCTAGTAGCTGGATTCTAGTAGCTGGATTCCAGCTATCTAGTCCAGGATGCTATTTACATCAAAGATGAAAAAGAAAGAAGTTCCAAGTGCCCCTGAGCTGTGGAACGATTTCTCATCCCTGGCGCGCACGAGCTTAGTACGTCTTGCGGCATAGCCGCAAGGATATGGGCCCTGGCCCGTGACAGTTGTTAGATTCAATCTTTCTTGCTACTCACGCACACGCCCTTTCTGTGAGAGGCGAGAGGATGTCAACCACATCTGACTTCTATAGCTTAAGCTGCAGCTCTATAGTTTATGCTACAACCCTAAATGTAGGCTGTAGACCTCGGCATGGGCAGCAGGTCATGGTGCAACCTTTGGTATGTAAGTTGCTAGCCAGGCTTTCTAACCATACGCGTATGGTTTAGTTAAACCATATATTGCCCATATATTGCCCATATACCTATACCATACAGCCTAAGGCGTATTATCATATATGATCATACGCGGGATAAAATTGCTCCGAAGTCAAATATAGTAAGGAATTCGGCGGCGGCATGACAGTAGACCAACTCCGAGTCCAGAATACAAGAACCTGCCAACCGTTCATACTACCCGTCGTTACCCTTCCATTGTTCCGACACTGGAACTAGTTAAGTATGGCTTGCTTGTGCAGGAGCTTGATGTCATCTCTACAGCGGCCAATATTGACGAATACGAGTCCTACACCTCCCACTCGCCCATTCAAATCGACTGTTCACCGGTTGCCTGTTGGCTCCGCGATGAGAAGTACGGGTTCTTTCCTCGATTATTCAACATGGCAATAGACATTCTCTCAATGCCTACCATGTCTGCTGGACCAGAGCGAACATTATCTCGAGCACGCCGCACAATTTCCTGGGACCAAATGCTCCTTGGAGAATCGACAATTGAAAAGGAGGAGTGCTTAAAGAGCTGGATTCGCAGCAGTATACGGCGGGACTACAGGTAGAGGAGGTTGAACAATACGAGATGGCATAAAGGGGGCCAACAGCGGCGCCCGTTCGTGAAGATATGGGCCAATGACGTCATTTGCTGTATGGGCAATATATGGTTTAGTTCACCATACGAAAATAAATCATACACCATAAACCATATAGGTCCGTATGGCGTATGGCGTATGGTTAGAAAGCCTGTTGCTAGCATCCACCACACCAAATGCACTTGTTGCTGGCACCAAACCTTCGTCCTGCTCGACATCTTCGAATTCCGCTGTCGGCTGCCTCGACTTTTAATATTTATTTATGACCTCATCTTCAAAAACTATCACTGATTCCCTTACTCGACCACAGGCTAGAGTATCGCCCGATGATCTGCCTTTTGAATTATCTAGCTTCGACGGCATTTTCCACAACGCTCATCCAGAGAAGGCCAAACTTATAGGTGCTAAAGTATTATAGTGATATCAATCGTGCTAAAGTGCTATAGTGATATTAATTGTGCTAAAGTGCTAGGTTGATATTCTAGCACACTGTGCGATTATGTGAATCTGAATATGAATATCACTTTAGCGCGTGATATCACAATACGCAAGTCTGGACTGTTGATAGATATGACATGTAGTTCTGACGTATTTGACACTATGTACATAATCCAATCTAACAAATGGAGCTACTGAGGAAGGCTTCTATCGAGGGGATCCTACCGGGCTCTATATACTGCAACTTCCCTCTAGATATATAGAAATTTTAGTATAATTATCACATCATCTCCTCAAAAAGGTTCAAGACGGTGTCCGAATTCGCGCTCTCGCAACCCAGTACCTACAACAAGCGCGCAACAATCCGTGGTCGAAGAGAGGGTGCGGAAAATGCACTATCCGCTCAAGTTGGAGCCCAGAAATTATCACCACTTCAAGAGAAGCTCTCAGCCGACTACATAATGGAAGAAGAATCCCTCGGACGCGCGCTGTCGCTGGCAGAGATACGCGACGTAGCACACGAGATTATCGACCCGGGCGGTGACGACAACACCATCGGGCGTCACTGGGTCCATCGCTTCATCCAACGCAATCCAGAAGTCAAGAAGAAAGCATTTGTATCTATTGAAGCCGCTCGTTCGAATGAGGCTACTCCTGAGAGGATATGACCATTCTATGAGCCTTATATTGTGACAATACACTGCGCCTAGCTTGGATGGCGATGTCTTCGGGAGCGAGTGGCGCCGTCTAGGACCAGGCCTTGTCCATAGTGATTGGCTGGAAGTTTGACTCGAATGTCGCATCCGGCGGGGTTTGGAGCCGATCACTCTGACTCGGCGGGGGAACAGGGAATCTAGGGGTCGGCCATCGTTGGGAGAGATCATGGGCCTGACGATCGGCGTGGGGAAAGTGCTGGGCAAAAGCCCGGTTGACCTCGTTCTCACGGCAGTCCTTTTCTATGGCCGATACCAACTTGGATATGGCCACCCGGTTCCTACGGATAATACTATTTTGAGACTCAATCCTCCTAAGATGAGATGCATAATGCCCTCCCATATATTATTACAGACGCTGTCTAAGTTCGGTTCTACATCAAGCTCTTTGCCGCATAGAACGATCGAGTCCCACTCCAACGGGAAAGCAGCCTACTTATTTTGATGGATGAAGATGGAGCAGAGGTTGATTTAAATTAAGGCAGGGGAAAAAAGACTGAGAGCAAGGGGGATTCATTCGGAGAGCACCAAACAAATAGAACAAAATAAGTACCAGCACTACCACGCCCCGGCCTTGGAAGGTTCATCTTGCGAGTCCTTCCCGGCCCTGTGGAACCTAGCAGCCAAGTAAGAGTAATCTACACTAGTTGTGCTGCTTCGGACAGTAGATGGATCAGAATGTGAGGCGGTTGGATGGGTCGTGGCTGCGCGGGAGGTGAGGGAGCCAGTTTTCGGAAGAGCTGCGACCTTTGTTGGGTTGGTGGAATTGGCGTCCGTAGCACTACATGAGGCTGGCTGATTGACACTCTGAATAACCTCCTAGCTGCATGAAGTTGTTGTAGCTTCTCTGGCGACGTGGGCTGGGTTCCAGACCTGTCCTTAGCAGGGGGTAAGCCAGCTTCTCCGTCAGTTCGCTTCCGGGCAGGTCTCTCAGCTGAGGAAGAACGGACGGCGAGATTCCTCAATGTTTGGATCGCGCTTCTGGATCTGGAATTCTTCATTCAGTTAGTGTTGAATGCTCTTATGGCCTTACGGAGTGGGGAGACAGAGCTGACATGAGAATTGCACTGACTACGACAGCCGAGGCAGTTCTTGGTGTTCCCAGCAACAGGCTTTCTAACCATACGCCATACGCCATACGGACCTATATGGTTTATGGTGTATGATTTATTTTCGTATGGTGAACTAAACCATATATTGCCCATACAGCAAATGACGTCATTGGCCCATATCTTCACGAACGGGCGCCGCTGTTGGC